ATCTACACATTAAAGTCTCTGACCGATACCAATGTTCTAAAATTAAACATGCAATGTTGTATTGATTTTGTTAGTGACTAAATTGTTGATTGATAGTCTTTTATAACTACTGGACTTTATGGAATTTGATGTTACGTTTACAAAACGAATTTGTAGTAAACCTAATACTCTTTACACTTGGAATGTTGTGATTAGGGTTTTTTGGGAATAAAATACTGGTAGTTCGAATTTATCACAAACCGATATCGGTTGGGCTACCGCTGAAAACAGGAAAGCATATGACAACTAGTATGGGACTACTCAGCAGTGTGGCGTGATTCCTATCAGATCATTTTGAAGAACAGCAAAATAAACTTTCATACTTACACAATTATGCTCATAATTGTCGAAACGAATTGCAAGATATTTACTTCTATATTAGTTTTCCAGCAAATATTATGAAAATGTCACTACGTAATCTGTAAAACGTATTGTTCATGAAAATTCCAAAAACTTCGCGTATACTTGTCGGGATTAAATAGACACTTTAGGTCCGTCGATTTTTCTTATACCTGATTCATTTTACCTAACAATAAATTCCCGTGTTGTTTATTTATTTTAAGAGTCCCTTAGTTTGCTCAATGTTTGACAATCTTGCGAAATCAATCATTTTATTAAGTAATCGGAGAAAATGTAACAGAGGTAAAGATTCATCAAAGTAGTAGCAACGTTTTGTTTTCTGCATTTAATTAATGGTTACCAATCATCTAAAATGATCGACAAACACAGTTACTCTTCGTTGTATTTAAGTAGTAGTAATTAAGACTTAAATCAGGTTTGTATCCGGAAAGAGATGGTAATCAACTTACCATTGTTATATCCGAACGAAGAAAATGTGAATATCAACCGCTAGGAATTATTTATGGGTTACTATCTTATATATATTCTTATTGTATGACTATTAAGTAACTATATTCATATTCCTTTATTATAAGCTCCCATTTGACCTGTCGACTACTATTATACGACTTGCCATTCTTAACTTATTCTCAATTCATTAGTTACAGTATTCGCACTCAACCACTTTTTGGCCTGATCTGGATTGTTTGAAATATATGATTCATTTGACGGAGGCTGATATTGGTGTTCTGAACTAAGTCGGTTAGGTTAGGCGAAAAGCTGCTATCTCAGTGGATCAATAAGGACTCAGAGCTAACTCTAGGCTGCTCGTGCTGATACGTGCATCATTGGTCTGGTCAATAATTTGGTGTTCTAATTGGCGATCGTATCATGTGATTATTAACAGGCAATAACAATCATCATCTTGACTCATTCGTGATTTGATTAAAATCTTCAAGTATTATGAATTTCAGTCAGGTTAAGGACCAATCTTAGCTAGACATGTGTAAACCCCCGAAGCACTGGGAAGCCCTTTTGTCCTCAGAAGTGTGCACCTACAACCCGCATCGGGGGATCAAACCCAGACGCAGGGTCTAGAGCGCGCGAACACCTAACCTCCAGACCACTGATCTGGCATCCGACAGTGTTTATGTTCTATACTAAAACGAAACAGTTGTCCAGTGCCTCCTATTTTCCTAATGGTGGTCTAGCTAAGATCAGTTTGTAAGTCAAGCTATGAAAATCTTACTATCTCCACCACCCCTCCTATAATAATTTTTTTAGTCATTACTCTTTTATCACTGTGTTTACTTCGTTCTGTAACCTCAGGTACACTAATGAGTTCATGTACGCTAAAATCATACCTTCATTCATCTGCTTTTTACTTACCTAATTCTTTAAACTTATATAAACTCTTCAATAATTAATCTTATCAGTTCCCACACTTATTATAATTACTACCTCACCCTCCTACTTTTGAATTCCATCTTCAAACGACTTCAATTTATTTATTAGCACATAAAGTTAATACTTATAATCTCTGTTTCCTAATTCTGTAAATTATCAGTGTCTACTACTCTATTATATTATATCCTAATGTTACTCCTTAATACGAATACTGCTGTAAGCAGCTGCGAAAATATAAAAATTAATTCATATACTAGGTATATTTCGGTAACGTAAGTCAAAATTCGAAACATTAATGTTTAGACCAACAGAATCCCTATGACTATATGTATGTTATTAGTCTATACTGCTTCCAATTGTCATCAGGTTGCATTTACTAAAAACTGACCATCACTACTCTTACACTGTTTAACATATAACCTACCTTATTCTACTCAAAAGGAGAAAATACGGAACGACTTACAACCTAAAATACGTACGACTATCAGGCGATTCACACTCAATCACTGGAATGGACATTAAATTTATAAAGCAACGAACAATCTAATAGTTATTTGTTCGCAATTCAAGAACAACGCGATCTAGAAGTGAATATATACGAGAATTCCACATAATAGTGATAACATACACTGATGGACAATTAGATGATAACTGAGCCAGACACTATGCTTCATTAATGAAATATGTAGTACAGAAATACTAAGAGGATTATATGAAATTATATAAAATTTTTCGAGAGCACAGAAAAAGGCTTCAGAAAGCAGTAAACTATAGTCTAATAAATTTATAGTTGCCATTTACTGTAAATCACTGAGTAGATTATCTCGTGCACGTTCCATCGAAAACTGTATAAGATTATTGAAGTAACGGAACAAACGAGAAGCAAGTTTTTATATCATCACAAAAAATAAAAGTATCACGTATATACCTGGAATAATATGTTGTGTTCCGAATTTCATGTTACAGTTTTAGTTGTATCTGTCGTAGCAAGTATATAAGAATGAAGGAAAGAGATCTTATCACGTTTTCCAACCGGTTACTAGGATTCTACGTCCTAAAGACAGTAAAGTCTATCCAAATTCAATTGCCAGGCAATTGATCGATAGTGGATAAAATCTATGTTAGTCTTGTTTTCAGAATAATCAACAGCCAACCAACATTAATTTAACTCCGTTTTGTAGATGGATACTATAGAATGCTTCAGGTCTGACCTATTTATAGAGAAGAAAAGCGTGATAAGGCTCTCTGACATCGTAACAGATTGTAACCAAATGACCTATTTACCTGTTGCATAATCTTATTGATGCTGACATATTAATTTGATTTCGGTTCCAACTATGTTGATTAGTTTCACAATCACTCATTATTGTTATTCTCAGGAAATCCTTTTTTTATTACTACTTTAAATTTAATGAACCCGTTTACCAGGTGGTTGAGAATGAGTTGTGTTCTAAATGTAAGGGCTAATGATGCTACTTAGCCGCCCAAACCGGAATAGTTGTGGAAAGGTTAGACTAAAAGTTGAACGCCTCAACTAATATGCAACTACTTCACATGATTATTTCTAACCGTAATCTTATCTTCTCTACTTTTAAACTTACCTATTTTGAACGATCCATCTAAACTTTATTAACCAAAGTATATTATATTTTTGTTTATAACTATATTACTTGTAATTTTGGGCTGTTTATATTCATGAAATAAAATGAGCTCGTTTTATTCTGAAAACTTTGTTGTTCTTGTTCTGTTAAAATACACAAAACAGTTGTTTGAATCGTATATATCTTATGCGTACTTACTAAATAGGTAAAGTGAAGACAGGGCTTTATATTATGAAGTTATTCATATATTTCGTGTATTCTAAAGCCTGAAACCTACATTATCACCTCATCAGTATTATGCACATTCTTACAAATATTATAAATTAATCCTATTTATATGTGCTTATATTGAGAAGTAAAACATACTTCCACAAGTTGATCATTTTACAATGTAAACATTAGTTTATTTCGAAAGGATCTTATTTCTGACAAAAACTTAGTCGCCTAAACTTTGGACAAGAGTATTTACTTTGTAATTTAAACGTAACTTTTACTCATTACTAGTTTTTTTTCGTGGTTTATTTATGGAAGATGTAAGGAATCGACCAAGAAATATATATATATATATATATGCGTCAAAAATTCCTAACAAATTACTCTGATTAATATACCTATCCAAATGAGGGGGGAGGGAATATTAAAAAGGTGTTAAATGATCCAATAATGAAATAATTGGGTAACAAAGTGGATAACTTAATAAGGCGTTAACTAAAAATAGAATTATTGTATTTGTGTTGTTGATAAATTCTGCACTGGCTTTTTAATTGATTTTTAAAATGTCAAGATCGCAGCCATAAAGCTACAGTGAACGGTCAATGACTTCAATAATCAATCACATTTATGAGTACGATAGCCAAGATATTTTAATAAACAGTTCTACAGAGATTAAAAGAGTAATTAAATATCTTCTAAATATTGCTACAAGATAGTGAGAGCCTACGATATACGACTGTTTACATTATCGACAACATATGATAATGAAGAACAATGAGGAAACGGACACAGTAATTATATGTAGGTTATGTTTACTGGACTATAAACGGTACGTCCTATAACGGCTCACACGACACATTAAAGGTAAGCCGTAACAAAGGAAAATAGTGTATACAAAAATCTGTCTAGCTGACTTTTTAGTTTTCATACAAAAATGTCTTAATGTGTATATGTGTGATCACATTGTTTGAAATATGTCACATAATCTTGATAACCTCCGTCTTCTCATTGCATTGTCGAAAATTATACGACACAACCTAGTTGGCGAAACACCAATGCTTATAGCGGAATCTAAACTTATGGAGATCCTTCAAAAGTTAAGTCCCTACACTAATAAGTTACAGGTGGATTGAAAGGCTAGTGAATTATTTATATCAAGTGAATCTCAAAGACTAGAGACAATGGAAGACTTCCTCGAAAGAAAATATCTATAGAGTAAAGTAACCAGGAGGAAAATTCAGACAAATCTGGCACACACTAAATTACGATAACATCTGAATAAAAGTATTTAGTAAAACCAGAACAAAAAAACTTAAAAACACTTTAATGCAAGTACATTTTTATTACATTACTCAGGAGGGATATACTTAACTGCTTTTTTTGAGGCTCTCGGAAGACCTATCATCTCACTATCATAATACACATTGAATCGATGACGACCACGTCTTTCATACACGTGACTCCATCTGGTTTGATTTGTACAGGTAGTAAGCCTAAATGAGGTCAAGAATTTTTAGAAAGCGATATTTCTTATTATAAAATAAATACTTTAACAAGCTGAAATCCTATTAAGCTACTTGGTAGTCTACAACAGTACTACGTAATATCTGTGAATCCTTTTATTAGCCCAAAATAATCTTACCTTGTAGATTTGGAATTTTTTAACAGTTTATTTTGGAACTATAGTTGGTAAGAGATAAATATCAACCGGAATAACAAAATATTATTTTAATTCGATCACTTTGTAATAGTGTAAATAAGAAATAAGTTTGTGAATTCTGTGTAGTGGCCGGTCCCTAATTGATTCAGCCAAGGTCGGGAAAAGTCTGCTCCCCTTCTCTAAATGCCTTCGAATGGCCACGCGTATACAGCCACTGCCAAGAAAGTCCTATTCACTGCCTTATCGCAGCATTACTGTTGTTTACGAAATCGAGAGGACGAAAAGCAAATGTCCGGCGCTTTAACCGGGCTGTTGGATACGGAGGATCCAGCAAGAGGAGTTGGAAAACCCTGATTTCAAATCAATATGGGTCATGGCCTCCGAGATCCTGCGGGAACAGGTGGCGTATGAACCGATTGTTGGTCACCGTCTACCATGGGACTGCATCTCCAAACGTTGTTCTACTGCCTTGTGGATCAAACCCGTAGGTCGAAGGATCAAGGAGTGGTTCCCTAAGAAAACTACCTGCTTCCGTTTGGCCCCCAAAGAGTATCCTAGCCCTCACACAAATCAAATGATTTGTGTGGCGCATATATATTTGGTACCTCCTTGTATGTGTTCAAACAAATAGACTAATCTCAAAAGAATGAATCTGTCTGACGATAAAAACCGATTATCTGTTTTGTGAAATACATTTACGTTATAGACGCACTTCTTTGAGGTTTAATGATTGAGATGTTACACTAACACTCCAGGAAAGAAAACAGGATTTACCACTTATAAATGTAATTATTATAACTCAAGATATAGTGTTATCGTAAGAGCTATCGATATTACCGGATTGTTCATACTATTTTAGATTTGATCCTGTATCGTGATTGAAAGCCAAATAAAATGATCACTGAGGTAACATTGTATGCACTGGAATGTTTCACAGTATTATATTTTCATGAACACATATGAAAGGATAATCTTTCACTACTTAAATTACCAGCATGAGAATTGAGTATCTTAAGCTATCAATAAGTCTAAATTAACTTACCAGCCTTCCTTGCGCGTTCAATCATTAGTTCCAGATGGATTTGCGACCGACAGCTTATACCTGAAATACGTCTAGGAAGAACAGTTCCATCAGGTCTTAGAAACTGTGATAATATTCGGACATCCTAAAAAGAAATCAGGTGACGTGATAGTAGCTTACTGTGTGACGAATATTTAAACCCAATCGACTAATTGGATCTCTATCTCGAGGGTCACCAAAACCATCCAAGCATACAACTTTGCCTTCACGTTCTGACGGGACAAGTACTCCTTCAACCTGTTTACCAGTATACACTTACAAAAAGCATGGTAACATACCGTTGTCACATTTTTATCCACTGCATACTTTACTAAATGTTACAGGATAAGCAGCTTTCATACAGGAATAACTAACCTTCTTTTTTGTTCCTAACATGAGAAGTTGAGAGAAATCTGCGCAATGCATCCGAGCAAAATTTAGTTGGATATAACTGGAAAGCCATTATTAAAGATTTGGGCGCCAGTGGTAGAAGTAGACCGAAATTCCTAATAGATTAACAAATCTATTCGTGGATTACAGGTCCCCCTACAACCAAAAGATTAGTGACATTTGCAAATATTTTGAATTCAAGTAAAAATCAGTAACAGGAAATATATTTATATGGCATAATGCCTTTGTCTTAAGATAGTGAGAATCCTAGTGCCGTCAGCTATTCCGTTATAAGACAATTGCCAATTTGGCTGTATTATGACCTTGGGATTAAAGATCAAAGTAAACCAGATGACAGGAACAAAAAAATTGTTTAATGACTTAAAACTAGGGAGGACATAATTAAGTGATCGGAAATGTAGGAAATGCGGGTGAACGATTAAAGAAGATAAAGTGATTCGAAGTTCCACCAACAGTAATAATAGTGGTAATCGGTAAAATGCGAGACGGGGTGAATTTCCCAAGCAACCAATAAATGGGAAAAAGGTGAAAAAAGGGAAAACAAAGCGGACGAAAGCGTAAATAAATGGGATGTCTCTTTTTCGCCTTTACGTCGGTTACTTAGGGGAAATGTAGATTTTTCCCCCTTACGTCGTGTATTTGGGGGATATTAGTTGGCTGCTTGGGTTATTGTAATTGCAAAGCGTATCTCCACATGAGTAAATGCAATCGGTTGGCGTCGCGGACTGAAAACAATGGACAATTATTCAGTTGAGATTGACCATATACTGTCCATACGTTTCGTATATTCATAATTTCCGTTTAAAATACTTAATGGGACCAAACTTGAGTACCACACACTCTCAAGGACACTGATAGTAGCGTAGATAAAGCGTTCAGTCTTAGAAATGAGGATAGTAGGTTGGTGAACTTGTGTTAATCCTGACAGGTTGCCTCCCAGTGAATTTCCAGCTTCTCCTTGAAAATATTCACTGATGGGGCTGATACCACATGTCTTGTTAGAGCGTTCCAGTCATTGACTACTCGATGAATAAAACAGAGTCGCGGTTTTTGAAATTTTTTGCTATGACCCCGTAGATTATTAGTGCTGGAGGGAGCAAAAAGATAAGACATATTAACACCCAAATCATAATTGAAGATACGAAATGCCAGTATAAGGTCACCTCGTGTCCTACGTTACCACAACTTAAAAAGAATTAAGCGCTTAAAGCACCCATCGTAAGGCAGTTTTAAAAAACCCTTCACTAATTTCATTCCCAAATTCTGAACACGTTGAAATGAGTTAGTGTCTTTTATTAGACTTGAGAGAGCTGCTTGAACACAGTACTCTATGTGTGCTCTTACGTAGGTGGGATATAAAATTTGAAACATTTCCTCGTCAATGCATTTGAATGCTCGTTGAGGTAACCATAACGCACGAAAACCTTTGACAGTGGCTGCGTTGCAATGCGTAGCTGTTTTCAAGTCATGACTCATTATTACTCCTAAGCATGTTCTTGAACGCCTGAAAGAGATGTACCATCAATAGTATAATTACAACTATTACCGTGTCCGATGTGCATGAACCCACTCTTCCTAGAATTAACTTTTAAGCCCCAACCTCGAGCCCATATAGCTAATTCATCTAAGTCCACAATAACTACTCATTGGAAGGCCGTGGGCTTGTATTAGTCCATTTCCAGCACTTTTGTGTGTATTTTGTTTTTTTGGTGATATGATGCAAAAGAAAAATATCCCTTCTTCTGGTTACAGGTAATGTGTTAATATATCTTTCCCCCCCCCGTGAAATATTAATCATTCGGTTAGAAAGTGCTTGTAAATATGAAATAAATCCAACCTATTTCAGACAAACACACCTACGTATAAATTAGTTTTCAAATGTATATTAATATGGTAACCACAAATGAGCAGATAAACCGTGTGTGTAGTGCGTGTTAATAAGTATTTTGGCATTTGTTCAATGTGACTTAATTTTTAGTAACTCAGCTTTTATGGTAGAATAAAGCCGTATATGATGCGTAAATACGTACTTACATGCACAAAAGAATCTATGGAAAGCAATGGTTTGTAAGGGTAATTACAACCATTGAAATATTTGTAACATGTCTGTAATGATAATCGTTAAAAATGAATTTATATTCAGTGTCACAGGATATGTGTTCAGATTAAAACGACACGTTCACTGATCGGAAAATTTTTGGCTTCATCGTGAAAAGATAAAATAGCCAGTAATCGAGTCAAGGAACTATTCTTTAGGTTGGCTTGCACGTAATTCAAGTGGACAATGAATTAGTTAAACGATAAATAGACACACGGACAGCAAAATCATACGTGTAAAAATATACATTAACAGTTCACAATCGCAATCAATAATGGGAATTATTATGGAAGTTCTACTAGGATAAGATGACTAATTTGCCTCATGGTGTTTGTCTGGTATTACCGATCCCGACAATAATAACTTTACAAAGGCTTCTGCTAAACCACTGCAAGATAAGTTGATCATTTGGTAAAAACTTGTACTTGTGTTTGAATTCCTCTTTGGCCTGTTAGATTACTTGGCACGCTAAAATTACACTAGTTTTGGAATAAAAGTAATTTGGAATAACAGTAATTTATACGGAAGCGTTCGGTTCATAGGATAAAACGGACACAGAGCTATATGTTAGTACTTCATATACTTCGAAGTAAGCGACATTATATCCTTCATATAGTTTCGCTTTTCGGCATTATTTTCTTGGTTATCTTCCCACAATAGTTACATAGGTTGTAGGACCAATGTATGATCGTAGAGAGCGCTTTAATTTTCCGATGCATTTGTAGTGGCATTAGGCCCTAACCACAAAATCACCAAAGCTGAACACGAGACAATTGGGGAGGTAGATGTTCAACATTTAAAGCGGAGAATTAACCAACGATGGGGAGGGCGGGAACAATCAATGGAATTAATTCAAGTTTATCGGATGGCAGTGCTCGGCCTTGCAGGTATGGTTGCTGTTGAACGTTACCTCATATCTTTAATTCATATGAAATATATTGTTCTATCTCTAGCCTAAGCTTGTCCTCCATCATGTATTGGTGATTTTTACGATGTATTGAGTTGTTATAGACGATGATATGACTCTCACGCTAAGTCTTACTGGTTAGGCATGACAAATCTACAATTTTTGGATTATGTCTATTATTAGAGCAGTACTAATATCATAGTATACCATAATGCTACACATTCTTCGTATGCCAAGTCAATGCCCATGGGATATAAATAATAGCAGTACTCTGAACCTATCCTACTGAACCAAAGTCAGTCTTAGGCAGGAAGGTTTGTACTGTACATAATTTTTTTGATATTAGGCTTATTAGGTCTGTGAAATTCTTGTTAGCACACTCATATAAATTTATTTAAGTCATTCTTGATGTAAGTGAAAGAAAGAAGGCAGTCAGTCGTGGTCTTCAACCCATGACTTACGGTAACAACGAGGAAAGTGAATTTAGGCTACCACAATGGATATTTCAACACCTTAATACTTGGTAATATACATTTATCCAGTTTCATAAAAAACAGCTACGTTAAAGGGCAGCGTGCTTTCATTGTAACACCCTGGCAAAATGCCGCGTTTGACACTAGGTACTCGTGTAATGCAATTTCCTCCCACCTCTAGCTTAGTGTCAGCAACCAATTAAAGCATCTTGATTCTCCTGGATTACTGAAACCTATTATACAGAACCTCACAGAAGATTTTATCGGTCTTCTGATTTTATGCTATGTAAAGATTTTGTCCACTTCTTTGTTGGTAGTGGAAGACTTGTTGAACAAAATGATCAACCCGAAGAACCGTGTTATGCATGAGCTAGCAAGCTTTGTGGCTTCCACAGAGACAAAATGGAACTGTCAATATTTCCAAAGACGGAACGACTATGTTCATCAAGCTCATCGCCTGTAATTTGAGCGTTGCCATCATGGTTGTAGACATGATCTTCCCGGTTAAGTTTTAACTTATTGATTTCATGGTCTTCCTACTGCCACTGTGTTCATTCAAATCTGTGTGATTTAATGAGGATATTGTTCATTCGAACCCGCCGGCTTTCTCATCACTATATCATCACGTATAATAAATACGGCAGCACTAATGATAAAGATGTGAAGTACAAAAGTTGATTTGGTTCGCGAGAATCATAGAAATGTGGCAGAAACATAGAAAAAACGAAGGACACAAAATAAATAATTAGTAATCGTCTTAGTTGGAATTAAAAAATTAAAGGAATATACAGCTGGCGGGATTAAGAAGAATGTCTTAACACTTAAAAATAAAGCAAAAAGTTTCATTATTATTATGAGTATGTAGAATTATGGTCTTCTATGATATTAGTACTGCTCTAATAACAGACCTAATCCTAAAGTTGTAGATTTGTCATGATATAACTGCCTAATCTATAAGATCTTACTTGGAAGTGACATCATCATCTACACCAACTCACTGTATCGTAACATCTACCAATACATGATGAAGAACAAGATTAGGCTAGAGAAAGAACAATATATTTAATATGAATAGAAGATATAAGGTATATTCAACAGGGACCACGCCTGCATGGCCGAGCCATGCCATTCGAACAACTCCAAGTCATTCAATACTTTCTTCCATCCTTCTCCATCGTTAGGTCTTCTTCCGCGTTAAATATTGAATATCTATTTCTCGAGTTGTCTCGTGTTCAGCTTTGAGGATTGTGCGGTTCTGGTCCAATGCCACTACAAGTAAGTGTGCGCAATTCTACATACATTCACACAAAACTCCTAAAAATATCTTTAGTGCCATTTATCTTCACATTTTCGAGGGAAAACACATATTGAGATTCTAAAACAGAAACATATCGGGTATTACTCCAGTAATTTTGTAATATAGGATGACCGTTCATTTTGTATTTGTCAACACATGATATAGACAGATTGATGGAATAGCGATGGGTTCGCCTCTAGGTTTTTTATTTGCTGATTTGTTCCTTGCGAAGGCAGAAAATGGACCTCTCAAGGAGGTTACTGATAAGCATGACTTTTGGTTTCGTTACATTGATGATGCGTTCGTGGTAGAGTCGAATCGCAGTTGACTATGATCACTACCACAGATCGATTACGTGCCAATTACCAGGTTAAATCCCTCCATGACATGAATATTAGAAGGAAAGCTGTAAATTGTACTTACGATACATTTGGTGGTGATCTCGTGGTATCGAAATAATGCAGAGATCGTGCCAAAGTTAACGGGCGAGACTGCCGTGCATACGTGAGTAGGTGCAAGGTGACAAACTACGGAAAAATTGTGTTTTTGATGCAATTAAACAAAAAGGTTCATTGAAGCATTCATTAGTTCAGTTGATTACAATAATAAATGTTTCAATTGCACCAATCACGTTTCCTCTATAAACATAGATCACTACACTTTCATTATCGTCAAAAAGAACACTGGGATAGTAAAACTCTTAGAGCTACTTAACAACAAACATTCAGAAATCACATTCATATGTGAAGAGGAGTTTGATAGGAAATTACATTTCCTCAACGTTTTGTTAGGCAGTAAAGAAAGGGATTCTGTCAGTAGAAGTGTGTATAGAGAAAGTTCCTCAGCAATCCAGTACACACATTTCTTGAGCCTTATACCCGGCCAACGAGTTAGCGAACGCCATCAAAGCAATGAGCAGCCCTGTCCTATCACATTCGATCGATAACGGTCACACAGTCGACAAAAGCAATTCATTCAAAGTAATTTACTGTATTCCCACTAGCTTTCCTAATAAGGCTCGACGTCATTCCTTACACACATCAGGAACTATAGAGATTCAAGCTAACAAACCAACTACTCGTGTTTGTAGGAAATTCGCAACGTCTTCATCTCCTCGTCGTCTAACTTGACCATATCAAAGGATTTTGTTGGCTATTCTGTGCTCCTTTTTGCCTATTTTCCTTCACTTTTTAATGATATACGCCTCCCTGTCCAACTGTCCAAACACTTCCTATTACGCAATTTTACAATTTTTATAAATTTTATCTCATAGTCCATTTTTTTCAAGTCGTCTACCTATTTCCTCCTATGAAACACTGAGTCAGACCTTTGACGTTCTTATCACAACTTGTACACCTGGCATCAACCTGTCAATGTGTACTTTTTACTTATTATTTTTATTTATGTAAGAAATTCCACTGTCATCACTGACTCATAAACTTTCTTGAGTATTCTAACCATGCATATAATTATTACCTCTTATAGGATTAGGGCAATAGTGTTTATATATATATATATATATATATATATATGATGGGAATTTTTGATTGATTGCTTCGGGGTTAATTCCGATATGAGTGGACACCATTTAATAACTTCAAGACCAAAATGGCTATCCGTAGACGATTTCTTGACTTCGCCTTTTTTAGTTATATGGGATATGTATTTATGATAGAAACATGAATTTTGAGCGGATGTCTGCTTCTGTAACTTTCATGGAAGGAAAAGCCAGATGCCTAACAAAGACCTTTTCGATCTCAGTTTAGTATTTTATTTGAGAACTGAGTATTATAATGATATGTTCATTTCAAATAGTCTTGAAGAGCTGCCACGAAGATTATGAACTATGCTATTAATAACTAGGAAACCGCGTTTCTTGTCACTTGGATCAAGAAATATGGACCATTCAGCTATCGGGTGACAGAACTATCTACAGTGCCTTAACGCGAATTCATTTGACTCTACCGAGTCTACTTGTTGGTCTGATAGGGGGCTTATCGAGTCAAAGAAGCCACTTGGATCTTTGAACATAAAAATAGATTGACGTATCGATAAGTTGGATAATAGCAGTTGTTAGTCAATGTCAATGCTACTACTATAAGTGACAGGGAGTATGTAGTTTAAAGAGTGTTGTTTTGTATTAAGGGTTATCAGGGAATTCTATCAAGATTTCTTGGAGTCTTGTGGAGTCTCACTGATGACCAGCTCCATAGGGTGCTGGGGCCACGCCACTGCCATTAGAAGGGTGTCCAGATGTTGGAATAAGCAGTTTTCCATGGGCTAGATGACATCACTAAATAGGGGATGTTTAAAAGGCGATAAATCAAAAATAATTTCCTTCTTCCTGAACGTTTACGAACGGCAAAGCTGAAGTTAAATGCTGAGGAGTATCGGTTATTTAAAAAAAGAGTGGTGTCATCCGATATTGATTCAAGACAAAGAATAAAACATGATTCACCAAAACATATTTGAAGATAAATGTCAGCCAACCAGGTTGAGCTTAAATGCCTTTGAGGTATAAGACACGAGATCTACTTCTTAATCTTTTTATTAACAGCAAACATGTGACAAACTATTACAGAAGTTCCATTCATTCTTGCATCGGTTGCTTGAATCTTCTCAGTGATGTTTAAGAATGCAATTGATCAGTTTTAGACAGGACGAAATGCGCGTCCTGGATCCCATTGTTAGCCTTCATCCATCTCTGCTTATTATTACAGTTTTAATTTCTACCTACGTTGGTTCCTACCTAGCAATGTATGGGCTGTTAATCGTATGATTAGGAATTTGTTGATAATCGCACACATCATGTAAATCCAATTAGTGGAATCTTATCTAATAACTTCCGTAATAAATGCATACACCATTGTGGTAGAAGAAAAATGTCACTTCTAACAATAATGATAGAGCTTTTACGTCAAAAACTAATGCATTGATAGATCAAGTATAAATTACACACTTAAGAAAAGTATACAGGACGTTACTTAGATTGTCAGGAATCGGCGTGTTCGAGTTCCTCATTGCTTTTGTAATCCAAAATTATAAGTAGTTAATAATTTCAATTATAATTTTTATGGTTGGAGATTTATATCCAGATAAAGCATACATTGAGAATATAACTGTGATCTGTAGACTTAGAAAATATATCAAACCTCTGTTATCATAACATCAGAAAATTCAGAACAAGAAGCATATGTGTGCAACGGTGTCATGATATAGGAGGTCCAAAAACGAAACGAAAGATCCAAGCTCATGATTTTTAAACAACCGTTTTAAAGCCAATTATATTAATTGTACCAATTATGAGAATTAGTGAACGAAATTCACATAGTAGCAAAAACTAATTAGGAAATAAGTCTATTTTAACTATCTCTACTCCATGGTACATATCAAGACAACTAAACTAAGGAAGACTTTCGTTGCCAGTGTAAGTAAACTTTCTAAAGAGCTACTGAGATATAACGTTACCAACTATAACTTTTTCAATATTTTTCTGCTTATGTGCTTGAATTCTAATGTATTGCAACAGTGCATTCATGTATGAACATTTACAAACCTAAAAGCGAACAAAAACGTGAAAAGGAACACGAGATAAGAAATCTATGACCTGCCACAAACATCTTCACATGAAAGCATGTAATATACCTCCCCCCATTTATTGAGTAGTTTGAGGTTGTCCATGTATTTAGTGCCATTGGCGCCTAAGGGTTCTCAAGGCCACCGTAGTGTCTTACGAAGGTTATTAGTGGGTTATAATCTCTCCTCAAGTTACAGCATATTTGAAATGGGTTAACAATTATCTGTCATATACAATTTACAATTTAACTTAAATGATCACTGATAACTCCGGAAAATCACATGATGTCCTGCTCTCTAACGAAAAGTTCGATCCGATCGAGTTGGAAAATCGATATGTTCATCAAGTACGTTTATACAAAAACTGTTAGTATGCTAAATACATGAAGTGTCCTGTAAGTTCGGGTACAAAATTTCCATACATGAAGTAGTGCAGAAGATCCATTACAAGATATTTCCTGGTAAATAACTTTGAAGCAAGAGGTTGCTGGTGTTTGCTTGTCCATTGTCGGAGGGCTACATATACCACTATGCTTATAAGGGTAGGACCATAATTTATGGACGACCTTTAAGCAACGACAAAGTAACCCTAAGTGTCTACCTACTTACTAGTGCTAATTAAGGACTATAAAAGTTTGAAGAATAAGAATTATGATTCACAGTTGATGGTCAGGGTTATGAATTAGATTTACGGTTTTCCATCACGAACTGACATCAGCTAAAATCCCAAGACTTATTATCCTAAATCTGATTGGTTCTTTCGTAAGTTAAGTTTTCGCCTGTGATGATATCCATCTTCACCATCTTAAACCTACCATGTGGTAGTTTTTAATATCGTTTATGTTACTTAAATCGTATTGTTAGATAAGTCAGTTGGTGCTAATGCAAGTTGGTTTCATAAGGTAACCTGGTTGGCGTCCGCGCAGTGACCACAACTGATGGTTGGTTTTGGATGACATGCAACAGAATTGTTTGCAATCATGCAGGTGCATCCACTCTTTACCTCAACTTAATTACATACAATTGGTTAGCATTTCACCGCTTATTTCAAGCCAAAAATATTCACTTCCTCCACTTTTCTATTTTTATCACATGTTGAAGTTTTTCTATAAATGTACTCACTACTGCTACTGCTGTATAGAGCTAAAATGTATCGTTTATTTCACCAGAAACTAATGATGCTGTATTAGTAGTTAAATTGATGATAAGGTGCTCTTTTATTGTTGCTTACTTTGGTTTGTAAATTACAGACCTTTTACTAAAAGTGTGAGTGATGAAACTCCTATATATATATATATATATATATATATATATATAAAGTGACTCAGGATAAATCCTTAAGCGCAATAAAATACTTTTCAGTCTAGTTTCCTGTGACTCCGTAAGAACTATATGATCCAGCTATTTTTTTGTATACTGCTGAAGCGACTCGATGTTGTGGTTTATTCGGTTGTGCGCCATTACGGCATCTGTCCACTTACATCATTCCACTATTTATGTGCTTGACAGTATCGGAAACGAAGCGTATTAACCGGATCATGTAACAGAATTACAGGTGGAATCCCTGTTTTTCTCTCATGTATACATACCTTAGATTGTCATGTATTTCGCCATATATTGTGAGCAATATTTTTGATAAGTGCCCTCTCAACATGAAGGAGGTTCTTAATTTCACTTCATTTAATTGTTTTAAATCTCAACATGTATATCTGTTGTCTGGATAGGTATATGATGTGATAGCCTCTGAGTTCAGTTCTACTCGACATTCACCTTGGCCTAGTGTTGTGAAATTTATTGAAGCACAATCACCGGGTAGCCTTGGTGTTGACGTAGGTTGTGGAAATGGAAAATATCTTACTGCATCGTCAAAATATTATGCTGCTATGAGAGCTAGCACTTCATCAACTAGTGTACAGTGCAAAAGTATAGTTGCCACTTCTAATTTCATTCCTATCGCTGCTATGGAGAGAAGCCCCAAACTAGCAGAGATTGTATATAACAGAGGTAGGGTGTTTTGCCTTGTGTAATTATCTATTGTATCAAGCATCTGCTTATTGTTTTATAGTAAAGGTTTCACTTAATGTGAATATAACGAGTGCTTTAACAGGTTGTTTATAATAATATACATATAGGTTTCAAAGAATTTATAAACTTGTAAGGTTGAGTAGTGACTTAGTGGCTTTAAGCCACTAAGTCTTAGGTTGCTGTCCCGCCCCATCTTTTTCATTCTCTGTGGCCGGGTAGTATCATTAGCCCCCACACTTTATCTGGCTCATACTCAATTACCTATTAGATAAGTTAATTCCAGTTTTGAAAATTTCGGTTTTTTTCTAAAAAAAAAGTTGGAACTAATTAGCTGATAAGTTGTCTTTGTGGGTTGGTGTGTCATTAAATTTCATAAGGTTTTATTACTTTTAACGGGAGACTGGTTAACTTCCCAAAATCTGATATCGTTGGTGATTTGGTGTCAGTTTTGTATGTTTGTTCTGCTAATATCAAATTTAGGTGATAAGAATTACTAGATTGTCATATACCGATTTCTTGAAATTCATTGTAGATCTCAATAAATAGTTGTAACAACTTGTTGTTCTCAGTGAAGTTTAATAACGTGTTATGAATCGTTCCAGTCTTCTAAAATTATTGGCTCGGTAGTTTCAAAGTAGCTATCTGTTAGCGGGACATAGACTAGATTAAAGCATACTCAATGCATGATTGCTTTTTTTTTTTTGATTGGCTAATTCTTATCCAATCAGCACTAGCCGATAGTTGGAGAACACTCTGGAATCTTTTTATGTAAAAACTATAAATATATTTTTTTTTTTTCTATTTTGCTTCTGACTTGCTATTTGGAATATAATCTCTTTCCTGTTCAACCGTGTTCTGATTTGGGGACTTGTCGAGTGAATCGGTGTCCGAGAATACTAAGCAATAGGAATAGCTGGGTCATAACCGTAAGAAAAGCGATTATAACAGTGGCGACGGGGAAAAACTAAAGAAAAATGGCGATTTCTTTAGAACAGTTGCGGTTAATATTACAGCACCAGCAGAAGTTGTTAGCCTTGCAACAACAACTATTGAGCACACTTTTCACTCGACCAGAAAATAAGAAATCTGTTTATGATGCAGTAACAGACATTTCAGAAGCATATCCAGTGGAGGGTTCAAATCCCTTTATACCTGAATCAGAACGTAATATTTGTAACGTGTCCGGCTCACAGCAAGAAAATACTGTGCTGAATGCTCATAAAGTTGTGGCAATACGAGATGATCAAGAGCCAGACCCTGTAGATGAAGCCCGGAGTCCAGAATTGAATGAAACACTACTGGTCCTGTCTAGCTCTGAAAATAAATTTCAGCTAGAACAAAATTATGGTCCACGTGATATTAGCCGAAAAAGCTATGGGGACTCGTATTCAGAAAATAACTGCAGTGACACGATGAACCCAATTATACCGAATGTTACTCAAAATCATTGTGAGACAGAAATTTATACTGAATCAGCTTATCCGATTTCTAATGACAATGTATCAGATATGGGTTCTCAGAATAATGCATGTAATTTTGATGAAATTTCTCATAAAAATGAGGAAAATATGTCGGCTGGGTCAAATTATGGTCAAAAGTCTAATTTAATTTTGTTAGATGTTGATTTCCGTAATGATCCATTATCCACTGATGAAATTTCTAATGCATTTGAAAGTAATGCTTCAGAAGAATTAAACTCTGACCTCAAATCAAAGGTCGTTCATTATCATCTAGTCATTTCTAGTGGATCCGACATTCAATGCAAGAAACATCGTTTAAATAAAGTCCTATTATTTGTAACTTGGAGATATAAGGATCCGACATTGTTTCGCGGAGGAGGAGAATGTTGGAGAATTAAAAGTTATGCATACTTTTATTTAAAAAAAAATCAAAACGCCGGGAACAGACATGTCAGTATCTGTGCAAGAAAAAAAGTGATAATTCTTTATTGCCTAGACGATGAACTAATCGAAAGCACAAGCCAGTCACTCAGTTGCAGTTGGACCCTAGCACCAGATCCTACGAATCTGCTCAAAGGGGAGGTGTTAGCGGGACATAGACTAGATTAAAGCATGCTCAATGCATGATTGCTTTGGTGCACGCTGATTGGCTAATTCTTATCCAATCAGCACTAGCCGATAGTTGGAGAACACTCTGGAATCTTCTTATGTAAAAACTATAAATATACCTTCTGACTTGCTTCTGACTTGCTATTTGGAATATAATCTCTTTCCTGTTCAACCGTGTTCTGATTTGGGGACTTGTCGAGTGAATCGGTGTCCGAGAATACTAAGCAATAGGAATAGCTGGGTCATAACCGTAAGAAGAAAGCGATTATAACACTATCAATAGAACAATTTGATGGTTTCTGAAATATTCAGAACTTAGCTAAATGCTTTGTTTCAAGAGCATTTATTATATAATCTCGGATTATTCAGAAAAGCATTTGATCATATACAACGGAGAATGACACATTTTTGCACCGGTTTGAATAGCCACATTACACCGGCTCAACGAGACCTCAGAGTAGTGGAGGTAGTGATAACATCAGTTGTAATTGGAAAGACTAAAACATACGTAATATGATTTGAGATGAAAATATAAATTCTTGGACTAAAAATATGTAGAATAACTTTAAAATTCAGAAAATAAAGAATGAATACGTGTGCGCCATTGCAACTGATTCTGAACGTTTCCAACCATTAGTTACGGTAGTTATTCTGAACTCAATTAGGCATTCCACATCTACCACCATGACTCAGTCCAATAGCCGACAACTTCATAAACTGATATCAATTTCCGGTTTGGTCGTCCATAGCTTACTCTAAACCCATTTCTACACCGGCAAACATTGTGCTCCGAGTGTTTTTGCGAATTAAAACTTTATTTGACCATACTCATAACAACCCGATTTATCAACCTTGGTGCTGTTCTGCTGTAAACGTTGTATGTGTATTAATAAAATATGTACTTTCTAGAAAATGAATTTGTGTTTATGTAAACAAAGATAATGAAGACGATCAATCTGTTCGATATCATGCGTCCTCCAGTTTCATCAGATTATATTCAGCTCATTATTCCCGCTTGCCATTGTGTATTCCAGATTAGATAATTGTGATTGGTGAGATTTTACTCATCTGTGGGATATAACACATTCCTAACGATTTCGGCGACCTGATTTTATTTTCGTATATATTTTTACTTAGAATAGGCGAATCTATCTTTTTTGTTTCTTCATTCTAGTTCTGTGCTCCATAATAAAGTTGGTAATCTTTCAGGAAGGAAACTAAGTGGATATGTATTCCTAAAAAAACAATCATTTTGACTTTTTCTTATTACTCAGTGTAGTGATAGGTCTGTGACGGGATGATTATATTGCAAACATGTAATCGATTTATTTCAATCTTTTAGTCACTTTATTTCTCGTTTATATTTATTATCAATTTTTTCGATCAATTATTTTTGAACTTTTCAGGCTTCGATGTAGTCATAGGTGACATACTACGAATACCTTATTGCTCAGAACGTTTTGATTTTTTCTATGCATAGCTGTTATTCATCATTTATCCACTATGGCTAGGCGTATAGAAGCAGTTAATGAGTTGGCTCGTATTCTACGCGTTGGAGGTCGAGGGTTAATACAAGTAATTTGCAAATAACATATTAACATATCCAATAAATACACAAACTAAAGTTATTAAATCTTTATTTTATAACAACCTTGTCGCTTTTAAAGTAGCCTCTGCTATTTCTGACAACACAATTGCATCATTTCCATTTTAGTTGTTCAAACATTCATGTAAACCTTTAAAAGATTTTTAAATACTTTATCTTTGTAAATATTCCATCAACATCCCGCAGGTTTGCTGAATATATGTTCTAAGTCTCACTGACATTATATATATATATATATATATATATATATATATATATATATATAGACTTGATGAAAAGTAGTCTGTACGCTAAATGCCTTGTTTTTAAACCCATGACTTTTACAGGTCTTATAACGAAACCGATGTCATTCAGCATTTCGGTCGGAGTCCAGTAGTCTATAATGTAAAAGTAGAATCATCTGTCTTTGAATAAACTGCCTGATAACCATCACGAACTTCACTGTATTTTGCAGATGATCTTAAAAATGTGTATCAGTGGTTCAACTAATCGACTTGTATTCCCGGAGCTATCAGTCAAAAAATACCCAACTGTAAAACAACGTCAACGATCCTAAATAAAGGAAATATAGCTTGATCTTTAAATGAACCTTTCAAAATTTCATAAATGTCTGTTTTACAAAATCGTTTTGCTTGCTTTGTTTGACCAATCGATACTTATCGTTCTCACTTATTTCCTCTTACATACTTCCTTTCAAGGTTTGGGCTAAAGAACAACATGGTATTTCAAAATCTGAACCGTCATATTACGTTAATCGTAAGACAAAAACTGTTTGTAACGTCAACGATTCTCCAGAATCACTCTCGAAAATCGTTGAAGCTGTCCCTGGTACCTATTTACCTTTACACGTCAATGGTACAGAATTTCAAAATACAGATATGTTAGTTCCTTGGAAGAAAAAAAACTACACGGTGACCGATCAGTTGAAAGGTAAATATACTTTGACTAATTTATTGATTTCAACACATAAATATTGGTACAAAGGGGCACCAAGTACATATGCGCCACACAGTAACAATGAGAATGGGAAAAGATACAAAATGTAAAGTGCGTATAGGGAAAAAGAGAACAACAACGAAAAGAAATTAGTGTGCGAGAGTGAAATAATAATAATAGGAGAAGTAGTTCGGTTAGCGAACGTACAACCAGAAAGAATTCTTCCAGTTAAAAAAGTTAAGTTCATTTTTTATGAAGAAAGTAGGCGAAAGTTACAGCAGTATCGCCACTGGCCTTTATACTGAATCATGTCTGATAACGTCTTAATCCACTGTGTTGCACCATGTCTGGGACCCCAACCAGGGAGTCGTGAAGGACCAACAGAAGCCAGTCCTGTACAGCTTTCTTTCATACCATGACACCATGTCATACACTAACCACCTCTCCGCTTTTTTTCCAACCAGTCCCAGTGCCCGCAAATAATGCACGACGTGGAATTCTCTTGGACGGCATTCGTAGAACATGTCGAAGCCACCTAAGTCGGTTTCAAGATAGTGATACTAATTGAATTATCGTCGCTGTGCCCGTACACAATGCCAAACTCCTGCATTACCGACATGGTGTTACCAGTAGATGTCAGCAATGCTTCGGAGACAACGATGGTCAAACACAGAGAGTCATCTAACATCCTCAACTCAGAGAGTCCAGGTTTCACAATCATAGAGCAAGATTGTTTTAACCGACGCGTTGTAGATCCGATCTTTTACAGTCAGACTAACTTCATGCAGGCGCCAAAGATGGCCCAGATTGGCACAAGCCACTCTGACCTTCACTATACATGAATTGATCTCATCACTCAGGACACCACCAGCACATATGCACCTACTCAGATGCATGAACTCCTCAACTACTTCTATCTGCTCACCATCCAGGGTGAGTACAGGATTAGAATCCTGCCAGTCTTGTAGAAGTACTTTGCACTTCGAAGGTGCAAAGCACATACCGTACCTACGGACACTAATTGCCAACTTATTAAGTGCGGATTGCATGGCTTGGGCATTATCGCACAGCAAGACAATGTCATCCGCATACTAAAGGTCGAGAAGTCTTTCTCCGGGCAATAGATCCACACTGCCATTCCCTACGTTCATCAGAGCTATCTCTAGAACATCATCGACAGCAAAGTTGAAGAGGAATGATGAGATCCGGGCAACCCTGTCTAACACCACTGCTTGAGTGGGACAATGGGGAGAGGTGGTTGTATGCCTTCACTGTGCCTGAGGTGTTTGTATATAGGGCTTTTAATATGTTAATAAACTTCTCAGGTACACACTTCTTCAATAGACAATCCCAGTGAATAGTCCTACCCAACGAATCGAAGGCAGCTCTGATGTCAAGAAACACTAGGATTGTTGGTCGGTGATAAGTATGACGGTGTCCTAACATTTGGCAGAGGGTGAGGATATGATCGATACATCCTCGACCAGAAGGAAAACCATCCTGCTCCTCGCGAGTCAATATTTTCTCCGGTTTTGAACAATCTACAAAGTCTAACGGAAGCTAATTGTTTGGACGCGATCGGAAGTAGACTTGTCCCTATGCGTAATCATGGAAAGACTTTGGATGTTCCTGAGAGTCAGTTACTAAGGATATATATATATATAACTTGATGCTCACACTTTGGAGAATTCAATGTTGTGATTTAGAAAATTCTTTTCTTAATTTATTCTGATGGAGTCGTTAGAAAATATAACATTTCTCAATAAATAACTTTACAGAAACATTTTTTCTCAAAACGTTTGAACAGATAGTCATTTGGTATGAGAAATTTATTAAAGCATTAGTAAACATATCAGACATTGTTAGAATAATTGATGTACAAATTCGAAGATGAGAAGAATTTGATCACATTTTTATCCAAGTAATATTCTGGGTGTTATCATATTAGTATCTGATAGGTTTCAAAACGACTTATTATTTGTCATTATCTCGGTTGATATTATTTTAGATCTGTAGATTTATACGTGAATTAGGTGTCTATTTCATACAGTTCATCAGTAGTCTTAAATAACGTAGGTTATGTAACATATAAATGCTGTATATTACCGCAATTTGCCACAATATGTTCATTAGTATAGCAAAACGAAGTTAAAATAATGAAAAAAGATAGTAGTGTAAATATTACTATTATTAGCGATCATCTTAAATTAAGCAAATGAAATATAATTACGAAAGAACAAATGAAATTCAATATAAAAAGCAGTATATGATATTCAAGATGGTAATGAATAATACAGCTGCACTACTTTGGTCGATTTTTGACGCACAACATTAAGATATCTAACAGTAAATAACGATTATTCCGCAAATATCAGTCAAGAATGCCTACGTCTTCGTAGATACACGTTCATCCGACAAGTAATTACCTGGTGGTAAATTCTTAGGAATATCAATAATTTTCTCTTTTGGAATAATTCCAATTTAATATAACAGATAATAAGAATGACAATCATTTGTATTATTTTGTTTATCATAGAGTCTAATCAACCATTACCCAATTCAATGTATGGTCGTTATTATCACTTATTTGTTATGGGAGAATTGGATGATCTAATATCAAAAGTACCTGCTCTAAAAATTGACAAATCTTTCTACGAACAAGGAAATTGGGTTGTACATGTAACAAAAGTTGTATAAATGTAAATCTATATATACAATAAAAGTTTATATTCATTTATATATATATTGATTACTGTTATGTGAGTGTATTCTTCACTTTCCTGGACTTGTTAATTAACATTTAACGGAATAGTAACACTGAGTTGTTGACCCATTTCTGGTGAACTGGAAGGTTTTTCTTAGTTATTTCATTATATGAAAATCCTAATACAGTAGAAGACTAGGTAAAAATGATGCAATAGAAAACCATAAAAAAATCATTGACTTTCGTTTTGAGCCATGACTGATAACGTTTTCAGCCACTAAGATTGGACCTCGACTGGGGAGTCGTGACGGACTGATAGATTCTAATCCTAAACAGTTACTCCTAGTACTCCGGTGCTATATCGTCAAGGTGACCACCTCTGCCCTTTCGACGTAGTTGCAGAATCAGCAAACAATGTGAAATACTTCAGTCTCTGGGATGGCATTCATAAAACATGTCCAAATCGACGAAATGTTTTTACAAATATAGTGACCAACAGAATTATCGCTTCAGTGAAATCATGAAGCCATGTTAGTCAGACCTCCATTAAAAACATGGAGCCATGGTGTTCGTTTCTTTCTAGCATGGGACCCCACAGCAGCGCGGATCTACATCCCCGCACATGGGGATCGAGCCCAGGGCCGGGCGCGAACGCCCAACATCTAAATTCAACCCGCGTTATTGTACGATCTTTCATTGTTCTCGGTGGGTAGTTGTCTCACAACCGACATGGTTAAGCTCCACTGGTCTCGGCTCCTCACTAGGTCGGAGGTCTTGGGTCCGCTCTCTGCGTTCGGGGACATGGATAGACACCGCTGAGAAGTTCCATACAAGGATGGGATGGCTTTTCTGCACTTCCAGGCTTTCAGTGGTAGTCCAGCCTAGGTTGATATTTGAGTTAAACTATGAAGTTCTACGATCTCCACAACCTCACACTGATAATGTTGTGATGTAGTGAATGAGAAAATTAGTTTATTAGTTTGTTATTGACAGCTAATTACATGAGCGTATCACATAAGGAAACCATATTAATTAAATGGAATAAAATGGGAGTTTATATAAACGTTTTATAGACAAAAATATTAGGCTCATACTTTTGAATTCCGATGTAATGTGAAGGGCGAAATCATGAAGCACAGATAAACTTGAATGGGGATTGATTTATTTGTGGCAATAAATTTGTCTCATTTCTTTTCCCATTGTTCGAAAAATTCATAGAAGTCCCTAGAAATCGACTTCGTCAGTTATCTCGATGTTATCATCTTATCGTTCTAAATTCGATTAATCAATAATCATCTGGATAGTGCATTGTCAATCATAAAGCATAGGAAACCATACGCTTTCGATATTTTCAATACAGGAGATGTCATACGTTTCCTGAGGGTTTTTCACGTTTCAATAATCTTTAATATTGACCTGTTATCCAGTAGTTCACGTATTTATTAGAATGACCATATGTAATCAGTCAGACTCAATATTATTTGGATGTGGAAGTGAGTCGATAGTACGAGATTAATCATTCTCATTTTTCTGTCCTGTATATTCTATAGAATCAACTAAAAAACTACATAAATAAACACTATTAACTTATTCTTACCCAAGAACTATACTAGAAAGGAATTAAAAACACACTGTAAGGAAATATATTTTAAAAAAATGGTTTATTAATATTATCTAATCAAAAGTTTACAAATTGTAATCAGTTATAATGTAAATCTTTGATAATTCATTATAATTTGTTAATAATATAGGTAGTTTTGGACATATTTCATCTTTATTAGGAGGCCATGATTTAATCCATTTAGCATTGATATAATTCATTTTGTTAAATATTTCATTAGGTACAGTTGTTAATTGTAAACTAATTACTTTAGTAATCTTTAATAGACTACTTAAATTATACTCCGTTTGATTATGAATACGCTTTTTAGTATTTCTATGAATTATTAAACGAATAGAATTCATAATTAGTCCATTTTTAAATATTTCTTTGTCTCCTGGCTTTCGAATCTAGGGAATGATTATGACAGGAAGAATACATGTAAAGGTATATATATATATATATATATAGGGGGGCTATAGTTTCATTTTATTATCAACTTTGTACAGTTTTGTTGTTAAAGTGTTAAGTGATAGCAAGTACTAGTCAGTTAATTAGAACGAAAAATAGGTAGGAATTGTTTGAAAACATTTTATTTCTTACAACAACGCTTGATACTGTTGAGATCACGAACTGACGTGAGTTAGACACTAAACATCTGTTTCGTCTTTGTATGGAACTCATCAGGGTTAATACTGCTAAAAAATCTGTCCCTTAACATAAATAAACGAAGGCAAATAGCCTAAAAGTGTGAATACATTATTCTGAATTAAGAATATCGGGTTATTATAAGACGATTAATTCTTATTTGCCATATAGTCATATTCTAACAATTTACTGTTTCAAATACAAGTATGCTTTGTTGTGTATGATCGTGGATTTTCTTGAGAGCAGTTACAACGTTTCTTTTATATCAAAGAATACTATCTTCTAATTCTGACAAGTGCAGAGCATATGAATATTCAACTGGTATTCTATCTCTACATGAATATGATATAGGTCAGCGTATAAAATCATTTTAATACATTAGATTCTGTATTTAAGTAGCCCTTTATTCATTTTGTTTCATTAGGTATTTGGATTGTTATGATAATCGGAAATAATTAAACAAATTAGTTTGTATGTGTCTGAACAGAAATCTGTGCAATACAATGAATTTAGCTTCTTTTGGAAATATTGTCGTTTTTGCTTTGTTTAAGATAAAGCAACTTAGTGGCCTGTTTATGATATTATGTCTTGGAATCATTGACGATTGGTATGTGCATCTCAACTCCATGGATTAAGTTTTATAGGCTATGCTTTGATTTCAGGTATGACTAGAAAGATTATCGCGAATAAAACTCATTCAAGTTAATTTTTTTCTGGATTGCTGTCTGTATAATTCTGTTAAACTATTTTGTGTGACTTTCCTTCTGATGCCCATGTAATAACTAATCTATCTTGAATAACAGCAATATAACATATCTGTATTGGTTAAACACAAATAATAGTCTAGTTCAAAGAATTTTGTGTAGATGGCTTTAATATGTAAGTTTTATCTGCCACAGATTAATCTCAAGTGAGGTATCATTGAAAACCAGGAATCACTGGAGAGGTGTTTCGTCCCACTATGTGACTCTTCAACAATGTATATCCACAACCCCACAAGGGATTGCACAAACGATAAATATAACTCGTAGGTCAAACTGATTTGCACAAGCTTAACTGAACTAAAATAGTTAGCTCACTAGTTACTTCACTTAAAACGCTTTTAAAATTCCATTGAGAAATAGTGACTGATGGAGTTCAAGTATATCGTGAATGAAACAATTGTGATTAGTGGTATCAGATGATCGTTAAGCTATATCTTAAACTAGTTGAAGGTAAGTTTATACAAGTGGAGATCGACCCAGTGACAAACTATTTAGCATAAGACTCCTGTGTCCAATCCTCAATCTGGTTGTGAGTCTTGTACTGAAAAAACAAACAGATTCCTAGTCACCTTAAGTTTTCAATGGTACCTCAACAGAAATTAATCTATAACGAATGTAACCTACAAATATTAATCTTTTAATATTTACCACATTATGGTTCTTAGATTATATGTAATTTAACTCAATACCATGGATGGAAAACTATTCACTACATATCATCTATCAACTTGAGATAATATTCTACTTATTCTATACGATGGTTAATCTCTATGTTAGTTTACTCTTTTAAGGAGTGTTATTAACCCTAATCTAAAAAGAAAAAAAATAGTTACCGTAAATTATGTTACTTTTCTCATAACTTACAGTAGATATTATATGATATTGTTCCATTGAATTATTTAATGTAGAATATAGAATCCAATCAAATAATGATTTAGGATTAACAATAATTGAAGCTGGTAATGCTAAACCAATTAATTTCTTTATATCCCATGAATTCATTAATTTATAAAAGTGTTTTGCAATTAATAATTGATGTTTTAACCATATAAATAATTTGTAATTGTTTGATGGATATTTTTTGGTATAATGATGATAATATTTTATAGACCGTAAATATGCGTAATACTGAGTTGTCAACAAAAATATAGGTGAAGTATTTTTAATGGACAATGATGATGCCGATGCCGATGATGATGATGATGATGACGACGATGATGATGATGATGATGATGATGATAAATAACGTGATTCCAATTCTTTGAAGGTTGTTTCAAGTATCCTAACACCGATATCAATAAAAGTAACAAACAATATAAGATTGATTCATTTTTTATTTTAAAAATGTATGTACAATTTTACCAATTTACGTACTATTCATTACAATTCTAGAACATAAAAATACACCTATCTTACTGTAATAAACGAATATTTAGGTGGGGACAATCAAATGTATCTCTAATACAGAATTATAAAGTTCTATTGATAAAAATATGAAAACCATATATTCAAGCATTCATTTACAAATCTTTCATCAACTATCTCAAACTTCATCGTTTCTTCATTGTCACAACAATTACTCTCTATTTCTGTTCTATTCTATTCGATCTTCTCAACCTTCTGTTACCACTCATTCCATTTCTGACTACTGTTATATACTACTTATATCGACATAAGTAGCATACACCATACTACTATTAACTATTTAATTAATTTTTATTAATCAAGATGGTTTTATTGGTGCTTTTAATGAATACTACCTAACTAGATTATTCAGTATAAAAGTCAGACAAAATTGTTTAGTAATACGCATCAAGTTTAGTGATGATAATGAGTTTTCAACAAAGTATATACAAATTTTCAAGAATTTATAATATTATATTCAGTCAATTAAGTAAAAGATTAATTTCATTGAAATGATTGTATATCCATATCAAGGATTTTATAATTTTGTTTAAATATATGGCTATACAAAATATGATCTCCTCTTTAAAAATGTGTTGAACATCACCATGATATCATGTAAATAATACAAAAAGTATAGTTTAAATATGCTCAAAAACAACTACCATGCAATATGTTTTAATTTCAGTAGTATATTACATTTCTCCTGTTCAACTAGTACGATATTGTTTCACTTTTTCGAATTTATTTCAACCATTACACTATGTCGGTTAACTACGTTATTTACTCATGAATTTTCAATAAAAAAATTAATATCTATCATCAAGCTTAATGTTATAGTGTGTTGTTAATATCATCTCTCTGAGAATGAGATACTGATTTGAATCTTATAGGTGAGCATCACCTTCTTGAAGATTATAGTTACACCTTTAGTGATGTAGTTAAAATTCAGGGCTTCTTGCTAAACGCCTTCAATTACCTAACATTTAGCTACAATATAAAGAAACTTAGTGTAATGTACTACTAATCCAGGCATATACTACTGTTTTTCACCATGAATAATTCGTTAAAAGTGTTTACTAAGTAATTATTACTCTGTAGATATTATTTCAATAACAAAAAATAGTAATTTTTTATATAAACTTATGTATAGTTGATACTGTTTTCCTAGAGTCGGTCCTTAATATAAATTACAAAATTCAACAATCTTTACAAAATCCCCTTTATTGGTAATAATTAGTAGAGTTCAGCCATGCCAACTTTGAGAAAGATTTCGTCAAGCCAAATGGATAATGATTTCACAAAATCGTGTGTTAATTGGAGATATAAATCATTGGATGTCGATTCAACGGTCTGAAAGTTAAGCACAAGCTGTGAGACCTAAACGAAGGTTTTACATATGACCTCTGTTTGGATGATGGTTGGTCATTGTTAAGAAGTCCTGCACTAGGATGAAAAAACTTCGTTTAACCAGTCCTTTTTACTTTTTCACTTTTCAATAATTATCTGCCCCAAATGCTCTGGTATGATCGAGAGTGGAGTGGACCCGCCCTCCCTCTCGAAATGCTCTCACATGGCCACGCGTATACAGCCTCTGTCAGGGAAGTCCTACTCACTGCCTTCTCGTGGCGGGGGTGTTGTTTACGAAAATGGGAGGACGAAAAGCGAATTTCCGGCGCTTTAACCCGATTCCAAACCAATGGTGCACATAGGCTCCAGTATCCTGGGGAAACAAATGGCGTATGAACCAATTGTTGGTCACCGGCTACCATGGGACTGCATCTCCTCACGATGCTCCACTAACTTGTGTACCAGACCTTCATGTCCAAGGCTCGGGGTGTGGTCCCCTAGGAACACCACCTGCTTTTGTCCGGGAACCCGGGAAGTATCACAGCCCTCACGCAAATCGAATGATTTATGTGGCGCATATGTATTTGGTACCTCCTTGTACCAATGTTTGTGTTTAAATAAATCAATAACTATCTAGCTAAAGTTAGTGCGTTATGTAAACTAAAATTCTTCTATCATGATATTGAAAGAATTATACTAATTTTAAAGGTTTAAAATAATTTCCAAAATATAGTAACACAGTATAAGCTCTTAACGATTGTTTTTCATATTCTCACATTAATTCTTCCTCAATCGTAGCCCAAATTGTATCTATCGATTGTTTTCGTTTATCCATGTCTTGTTTGTTGTATATACATTCGTAAAGTTTGCTGACAAAATAAGAAACATAAAACAGACATTATTGTTACACGAATAAATAGATACAGACTGATCAATCGGTAACAACCCATATTTATTGTGTAATCAGTGATATTGATTGAATTATATATCTATCTATCGCGACAAAGGCTCAATGTGGTAATTAATCCAAATGACTCGGATTAAAGTGTGATTTTTTTGGTATTAGATGGTTTGAAATAAGTAGAGATAATTCCTGTCAATTAAGATTAACTACGTGGGTCTATCTACAAGACGGATACTTTTGATGATGGGTACATGGTGATGTAAGTTTAAAAGAATATCAGTTTCACTGAGATTAACATGAAATTTAAATCTCAGATATCTTGACGGTTGACTCCGATTACCCAATATGTATAGGAAATTATGACTTAATTTTGAAGAAAATCACAGTATTTGCTTAATTTTTACCAGAGGTTTTATGTCACCAGACAACAATGTTCAACTCAATGAAAGAAAAGAATCTTTTTATATATTCCTTTGAGACATTCAGTAGATATATCAATCGTTTGTCAAGAACTTTTCAGTTATCATTGATTTATACACCGATTATTAGATCTTTGCAAAATTAGACAAAGAAAAGTATTGAGATGGTGGTATTCAAATACATATTATTCATCTTGTATTTGTGAAATATATTGATATCATTTGACATTTTGTAAAGATAAACAGAAGACATGGAGAGTGTCTTAGATTATGACTTACTCAAAACTTCTGATTCTTCATAAATTTTATCAGGTTTTTCCACATAGGTGATGTATTTAAGATGAAAAGAGCTTAACCAAAAATAAATTCCGACCAATGATTTTTGAGATGTGAAATAAGCTATAAAACCTAACTATAATAGAGATACGAGCTCCGTCTCAACTACCGAATATTGTTCACGATTATCATGTAAAAGATGAGCATGAAATCATAATTAACTTATCTTACAACTCGTTAAGCCTGGTTACAGAAATCTGGACTTTCTAATCAACAGATTTTATCAACGAAAATTCCGATAATGATCGAGAAATCATAGTCAACGATATTTTATATAGGAATTAAACTGATGGATTCATGTTTCATAAGCTTTCTGGTATAAATTCCACCGTCATATAGTGAATACATCAACTATATATATATATATATATATATATATATATATATATATATATATATATATATATATGACTTCTACAGAAATCACTGCCAACAAAGAATCGAACATGGATGCTTGGTTTGAAAACCTTATAATGATTCGTTTAATTGAAAATTAGATTTCTTCATGAATTGATATGAAATGGAGAACTACTGAAAACCAGAGAATCGAACTACTCTCTCGTTCTAGCATAAAATATCATAACAGTGCATATCTAAGACCCTCTAGGAACTGAACATACAACATTCCAATATTGTTATCTTTAAACCATTGATAAGGAATGTACTGTTCAAAATATCCAGCTTTCGAGAGATACATAATACAGTGCAACTCGGTTCAATGCAACTGATTGATAATTGCCCTAATACCGACACGGTTAAATGTGTGATATTTCATTAAGACTTAAAGAACTCATCTCAAAACCAGTTACTTGTGAGCATATGATGAATGTTAAGCAGGGAAGTTAATATAGAACACTTTAAATTTGATTTCGTTTCTCATTACAGGGTAGTATAAAATGTATGGATGCTTCTTTTGAATATCTCATGTAAACACTGCACGAGAAATACTCAACATATGAACACATTAGTCTTCTTGGAAATATGAAGAGATTTTGGTAACTTACTCAGATTCAATTTTCTCATATAGTCCATTAGACTCTTCTAAACACAACTGTGAATTTTCTTCGTTTATAGAGTCATTGACATTTTCCTGTGGATAGCAATCGGCTTTTCTTTTTTATTTACCAATGAGGTCTGAGTTGTAAAGTAGTAAAACCAATTACGTATAAATAACAATATTACTGTTAATGGGCTTGTGGGTGTCATTATTACAGTTTTACTTGATAATTTCAAATAATCAGTATAGGGGTTGTGGAGATTATTAAGTTTTTGATTGAGATCATGAACCGATTGATGTCAAACCACCGTTGGAAAGCTGGAAGCACTGGACGGCCGTTTCGTCCTATTATGGGACTCAGCAGTGCGCATCTGGCTAAGCGTTCGTGCACAAGGGTGAAGGCCCTAAGTTTGAATCCCGCGGGCGGGATCGTAGATGCGCACTGCTGAGGAGTCCAACAACAGGGCGAAACGGCTGTCCAGTGCTTCCAGGTTTCCAACGGTGGTTTAACATCAATCGGTTCATGATCTGAATAAAGAAATTCAAATAAGCTGAGGATTAGGTAGATTGTCATGAATAAGTAACATATTTTTAGTGTCGCAATGAGTAGAAAAATTGAGTTTTTAAATTTTCTGACATGGCTTACATTGAGTTATGAAACGTCGGAAAATTTAAAAACTTGATTTTCCTACTCATTGGGATATTACAAATATTTAGCTTATTAATACTACTATAACATATTTGGGTAGTATAAACTATTTAACAAAATAGCACAATAACGTTAACAGACGATAATTTTGGCCTCACGAATGTTTTAATAAGGAGCTAAATCGTGTCGAGTGTGAGGAAGGTAACCATAGATGACAATGGAAGATGGTCGTGCAATATTTCGAATTGCTAAAGGACAAAATGTACACCATTTGGTTCCGACTCAGCTGTCTGGAGATTAGGTGTTCGCACGGGAGATCTGTAGATGTTGGGTTCGATTACCGTGGTAGGGATGAAAATGAGCACTGCTGAAGAGTCCCATAATGGAAAAACCTGACCATTCGGTGTTTCTGAGTTGTCAATGTTGGTATAACTTACATCAGTCAGTAATCTCAAAAACATGAGGAATACCATCAAAATCTAAGATAGGTAATTCGTTAACACATTACAACTCAACTAAAGCACATGGAAATCTAGACTTTGTTCCTCTCTCAGCTATAATTGTGACATCATTTGGAATATTCAAGGATCTGATTTAAGTAGCTAAATTTTCAGTTTCGTTCGCATCAGGACACTATAATGAACACGTACGACATATTCTGTTCTCTCCTACCCTTACTCTATCTTAAATTGTCACTGTATTATTTATTAGTCTAAATCGTCTATTCATTTTGTATACAAGACCTGTTGTGTAATAGTATTTACATTTTCTCGAAGTAGTGTATATCCTGCAAAAGCTCATCTTTGTCCCTTTTATTCGGCAAACCATTACGTGAAATTAGGATTGTTCATTTAGTTTTTCTCTCGTCGAGCCCTCAATAGTTGTAGTAGGCTAATATTCAATCTTTACTTTATTCATTTTGTAGCAATATACGGGATTTATCGTGCTATCACCATGTCATGTCGCCAATACATTTAGTCACAAGTGCGGTCCCGATGAAGTACTTTCATGAATCTCTTTATGAGACCAATTACAAACTTTTCGTACTTATAGTGATAATATACCTTACATATTTGTATATTATTCTACTTAAATTTATATATTAAAACTTTAGTTAGACTATTTCGAAGCTAATTACTAGTATATGTACAAATGTGGAAATATTCCACAAGTAATTTCGATTCCAAACTGAAACTACTGAAAATCAAAGAGCAATGAACATATCGAGCAGTAAACCATAACCGGTAGAGCTAATCAACTCCATAGTCAAACAGAAATTCACTGATATCACTAAATATATCGCGAAGAGATTAGTTTTAAGATAGCTGAACACTGAGTTCTGATTAAGTAGATACGTAAGATCGCTCTTGTCCAGGTCTTGGTCTTTTTATCTTTTAATATATGTGGGGTTATAAGTACACATAACTGAACAATTGTCAAATTTGAATAAAGCAATCTTTCAACACTCCTTGAATTTAATAATTATCCAACTGATTTAGGTTAATGGTGATTATAAGCTTCAAAAACTATACATAACTATCATACTAAAATATTAACTACTCAATTCTAAAATTACATCAATTACTGATGTACTTACCACTTTCCACGAACTCGTATTAAATAATAACTGATCACTCTCATATTGGAATAACAATGGTAGACATTTTAATCTTAACCAACCTAGGCAGAAATAAGCGAAACGATGATTTATTACTTTAAAAGAAGGTGGATAGAGTTTTTCTCTCTCAAAAAACCTACATAATTTTAAAAAAGCACTATGGTTGCCGAATTTGATGATTGTTATATCCTAGCGAAGATTAAATGATGAGTAACTTCTGAGACCTATTAGTAGACTAATATTGTCTACATATTCTTATGGTATACCTATTCAGTAATTAGATTATGTATATCTATATTCCCTTTATTATAAGTTTCATTTTGACTTATAGATTATTCTGGTACGATTTACTGTTCGTAAGCTATGTTCAGTTTATTGATTACAGTCTTCCACGTTCACAGCCACTGATATCAACTAAACTAGAGAGAATTGGAGAAAAAAACTAATAAGCACTAAATAGTCACAAGGGAAGCTGTTGACTTACTGAAACTTTCAGGTCACTGTTTTTTTCCAATAATACATTCACTGTCATACAATTCCCTGTTTTAGCCATTTTAATCTGCTAATTATGTCTTTGATATAATGGACAAATGGAAATAATATCTCGCTTTGACGATAATATTAATAAAATACGATAATCCAACCAGTGACTGAGATTTTACTACCACAAAATAGGAAACTATTAATAGTCTATATACAGACTAGATCCCATTGAACCAGATATAAGATTCGTGACCAAATAAAGAGAACCAGAATATACACTAGCCAATACTTGATTCAATACAATTTATAAGCAGTCACAATTAGTGAAATTCAGAGTAGAAATCAATAGTGGGAAAGGAACTCATATGTATGTCCACGTGCAGTGGATACTTAAATTTATTGTCACTAGTCATACATCTGTTATAACTTGTGGCCTATGTGCCCTGTTAATATATAACGTGATGATACCGCCAATTAGAGAACAGTGAATTAGCGATCGGATCAATGACGCATAAAACTCGTACGAGCAATCTAGAGTCCATAACAGTCCTGCTTCCTGCATAGCCCAGTCTGCCTGTTAAGTCTATAACACCAATCTCAACCCCTGCAATATTAATCATTTATTTCAAACATACTGGGTTTATATATAAACCAAACAGACCACATCGTACCATAAAATAGAAAATAACATCTAACCAAATGTGGCTACGAATGTGGGAGATAGTAATTAATACGCTGGGCATAACTCAAGAATGGTAAATCGTATAATAATAGTTCATAGGCGAGAATAAAGCTTATGACAAGAAGAACAAAAATATGAATAGTTTAGTTACTTAACTATTAAACGATAAAAATATCCGTATGGTATTCGTCCATAAATGGGTCCCAAAAGTCCCCATCCATTATTCCCATGGGGATATAACAACATCAGTCTTCCAAACTATAAACTACAGTGCTTTCAATAAAAGGTTTACTACTTATTTCTGAAAAAAAACTCAATAGTTATTCATATATTAAATATGTTAGGCAATGAAAACAACTGTCCTGAAAGCATGATTGGTCGTAATTGATGGCAGCTAACTACTGTTAAACTACTTTTTGCGTACACTTTCAACCCTAAACTGGATGGAAACTAGGATGATCACATCTTTAGATGATTACGATTATTTCAGATCATTAAATCACATTCCAAAATTTAATTCATGAAAATGACAATGCCACTATCATCGGTGATATTGATTTCATTCTTGTTATAATTTGAGTATAACAATGATAGGTTCTTCCTAGAACTTCGAAATGAGCAATACATCTAAAGTTTGATTTTCCTATTTCAGTTATTAAATAGTATAAATTATAACTTACCCGGTAATCTATTATACACGGATACTATTTGTTTTCCGGATGTACAACATGTGAAATCAATTATAATATCAAAACATATTCCAAGTTTATTAATTAATATAAGCTTTTCTTCATTCCGTAAATGATAAATTTGTTTATACCTTAAATTATAAAGACCATATTGTAATAATTCATCTAATAGTATATCCATTCTCTTGTGAATAATGTGTAAATTTTGAAGAACAATTAAAACTCTTTGATATGGAAGTATATTTGTATTGGATCCTGAACAAATAAAGAAAAAAAATTATATTCAATAAAAATACATTTACATGTTCGTGTAAATCTTTCAATGCTCAACGTTAAATCTTTAAAGAAGCAGTAAAATTTAAATAACCCGCCCGGAGCCCCTATAGAGCTTTTGCCGGTCCCATGCTCGAATAAAGGAGGAGGGTTGGACATGGGTTTAACGACTCCATCCTGTAGAAAACTAACTCGCCAAAAAACCGCTAACCAGAAAATATAATAATTCAAAATTTATATATATATCGGGACATAAAGCAAGTGAAGAAGGGTTAATTCATATAGGAACTGAACAAAAACGAAATAAATACAACACTAACCTCAAGTGACTTATCTAGTCTATTTTTAGAATCCTTTGGTACAACACTGTAATGATAAATTTTGTCAGTGATACATACTTTATGTGAAATAGTTAAATGTAATCGCCAGTAAACCCTGGGTCTAGGTTTCATGCTGGTTGACACTCGACATGAAATTTTATATTCAATCTTCAAGAAACTGATGTACCGTGTCGGATTTAAATTCACGTCATCAGGCTTCACAGTTTGAAATGTTACTAATAAGCTATTCGCATTGCTACTGATATTCATTTATTTATTTGAACACATAAATATTGGTACAAAGGAGCACCGAATACATATGCGCCATGCAAGTCATTTCAGTTGTGTGTGGGATGTGATACTAACCGGGTGTCCTGGCCGACGCAGGTGGTTTTCTTAGGGGGCCACACCCGGAGCCTTTGAACTAAAAGTCTGATTCACAAGGTACTGGAGCGACGTCAGGAGATGCAGTCTCATGGTAGACGGTAACCGACAATAGGTTCATACACCTTTTGTTTCCTCAGGATCCTGGAGCCCATGTACACCATTGGTTTGGAATCAGGGTTTTCCAACTCCCGTAGGTGGATCCTCCGTATCCACCACCTCGGTTAAAGCGCCGGACATTCGCTTTTCGTCATCTCAATTTCGTAAACAACATTAATACCGCGAGAAGGTTGTGAGTAGGACTTCCCTGACAGTAGCTGTATACGCATGGTTATGTGAGAGCATGTCGAGATGGAGGGTGGACTCTCTCCACCCTCGGCCCTTCCAGGGCATTCTGTAGGATCGAGATACCTCCAGTGACTAAACATTTAGTGATGACCGATTTCATATTTATCTAGGCCTCAGTATTGATCAAATGCTACCAATAATGCTGAAATTTAGCAAATAATGTTAATGATTTGATATCATTTACATTATGTGTCGCTTTGAACTAGCCGATAAGTAAACTTTGTGTCTAGTTTTTGTCTTAACCAGTATTCATCTCATTATTCTCAGTTCAGCTTCTAAATTTCCTAGTTGTATTCATTCTTAAACGATCTTGAACATCTGCTTTTTTTTATAAAATCATCCTAATACAAATGTGTCAAAACAGAGTTGGAGAGAAATCGATTTTTTGATACTATGCTCTTCGTTTGTTTCCTTTTTAATATGTTTTATTTAAGTTTAATATCAGATGGGTTTTGTGGATATTATAGTAAATTCAATGGTTAAGATCATGAGTCAGTTGAAGCTAGACCATAATGGAAACCACGAAGCACTGGACGGCCGTTTCGTTCTATTGTGGGACTCCTCAGCAGTGCGCATCCACGACCTCGCCCCCTGCGAGACTCGAACACAGGACCTACTGGTTTCGCGCGTGAGCACTTAACCACTAGACCACTGAGCCGGCATCCATCGGTGTTAATGTCTAACTCCGACTAATCCACGAAATTGAGCGACATATTCACCACTGTCTTCAGTGAGCTAATATCTCACAACAGACCTGGTTGAACTCGAGACTGGAAAATCAAAATAGTTTAATAATGAATCCCATTAAAAATCATATCAGTTATTACTCTCACTAATGAATTATCATTTTGTACAGGTGAGTCAAGCATACTAATAATTACTTAGGCGAGACTATAATTTATGAATGAACCGATCACGTATAAGATAACAGGTCTGGGATTTTGGTGCAAAATTCACTCATCCATTGGGTTAAATAAAGTTTTGGCATTACAGTTCGTGATGAAAACCCTAAATCTAATTTCTAACCTTAATCATCAGTTGTAAATAATAATTTTAATTCTTCACACAAGTATATAACACTCATTTGGTCCTTGTTATTAGGTGAGCACTCTCAAGGTCACTCTAGTGTTGCTCAAAGGTCGTCCATAAATTATAATCGCACCATTACTCAATTCATCGTGTCTTTTTATTAAAGTTAATTTATTTGTCAGATAAGTACTGTGATGGCGGGCCACGGGAGAACTCGAGGAAGCTGTAGGAGGCTCAGAAGGAGCCAAAGTATTCCATCCAATCACCTTTGGACGAATGTTCTAGAATTCCTACGTGTAACTTCCCGACTGGACAATGTTAATAACCCCCTGTATGCTGATTGATGGACTGTAATGATGATTTTGTTCTTACTAAAAACTATAAATACCTGACAATTTTGTACTATAATTGACACTGTCTAGGAATAATATTCCCTTCATTAGTCTTCTGTCTTCTCATTGCGACTTGGAGGGGTTCTGGCTTTCTAGTGTTCACGTTATACGCGGTATATCAAGAACAACCTTCTAGATATAACAAGAACACTGTATTTTGTGCTAAATAATTTGAAATGATGTAAACTAGGAAAGATTTCCTCAAAATATTATACCATTTCTTATGAACTATTTCATATTTACTAAATTATCACACTTAAAATACAGTCGTGATTATCTTCAAATTTTTAATTTATACTGTCGAATTACATGCATTTTACTCAGGTTAAACTTTGTCAAAATTAACAGCATTTTAATGAAAAGTCTTATACATTTTGTTCATTTTTAGAGATACTGTTTACTTTGTTAGAATGCAAATGAATATTTGGGTTAACGTTTTTTAGCAAGGTCATTTCTTACTGGATTAGGCTATTAATCCTATGCCCAACCCTTCTCCTATACCCGGGTTTGGGATTAGCCATAACCTTAGGATGGTTCCAGGTGTAGTTTAGAATATACACAATGTCCGGAAATTGTTATCAAATCTCAAATATTAAAGACAATTACAATGCCTATCAGTCACTCGGAAATGTATTGTAGGGTCAGTGAAATGTCACGGAGCCCTTGCCAAATCATCTGGCAGTTGGGTCACTGAATATCGAACAGATTGTCGGTCCCTGTCAGGATCAAGGATAACCAACGCTCATCAGTTAATGGTATGCCATGGACTGGCATATGCGGTGGCGGTCTCATTGTCTTCTCTGTACTCATTCTTACCAATATATTTCCATAATAACGTGTGTTATACGGTCTTCAAAGCATCCATAGTACTTTGATAATTCAAAGTTAGCTGGTTCGTTATACCATTCCCGTCTAACTCGAGTAGGTCCCTAATCATTCGATATAGATAATCTACGCTGGTGATCTACAATATCCCACTCTCAACATTCATTATCTTTTTTCAATCTATAACAGCCAGCCTACCAACTTGGGTTTAATCTCTTAATTATTATATTACTTACCACATACTGATAACCAGTAGGAGATATCAGTAGTATTTGCACAGTCTATAGGAAATAAAGTTCTATTTGAATATATCGCCATCTTATTCAATGTATTTATTAATCCATTTGAAACAACTACTTTTCCAGATTCATCATGAACAAAGAAATCCTTATGTTTAAATTCATTCAGTTCATTTGGAAGGATTACTGTGGAAAAAAATGCACAAACATTTATACATACAAGTGTAATGTGAGAAAGGAACTGAACTATTAAAGTATATCATCACCAAACAATATAGTTCGATATTCACCATATCTATCAAAATTCTTTACCAAAATTAACAAAATACAGTTTGGCAAAACAAATCTCATTTCATTTGTTAAAATATTGAATTTATTATAGCCTTGACTATGTCACAAATAATTAATCCGCTAACTCACTTTATATATCCATCTAGACAATCGATATTAAGTGACTGTCATTCTATTTTGATGAGTTTCACCCATCACGACCAACCAGATTAGATCAAACAATACTATCAAACTAGTTAGTGTTTTGATTCGAAATTGGGGTCATTGAATGTTAATCGTTGATAGATTATAGTCTTAATAAGAACACTACTATTGAATGTCTTTAAAATGTTGGATTATTTCAAAGAATAGTATTATTTGATTGTGACGAAGAAACGACATCGAAAAAGTGTAGAGAGATGTGTAATGGATCAGTTTTCCGACGCTATTCATTCCAAGAACAAAAAGTCTATCAAAATTAGTCTATCCATGACAAGTGGACTGAGTCATGTTGGTAGGTGTAGACTACCTGATTGCAATCCGCGAGATGATATCAAACGATGATTAGAGACCTTGGATGACATGACTCAAAATCGTTTGCAATAGGGCACTTGCATACACTCTTTGTGTTCTCCCAAACTCTAATCTTCTGAATCCTTCATGTCCACTTTCTTTTTCTCTTTCCAAATTTATTTCACTGGATTATACTGCTTGAATAACATCTTCAAAGCCTAATCTTTTCGATTATTGCTTATACTTTTACTACCTCTACCACTATGGGATTTGAATCGACAACTGCATCTCTGTGTTAATGTGGTACGACAACTCGAACTGATGTACGTACGTACGAAGTTCTACGTTGTTACTGACTGACTGACTGACTAAATCTACCTCATTGAAAGTTAACTCTGAAACAAGTGATGGTGTTTGTAATATACTGAGTTAGAAGCCCTTTTGTAGACCTAAAAAATGTTAGCCAAGTTTTAGCAATGCAACAGAATTAGTACTATCAAAATATATTTAGTGTATCATTGTTTCATTTGTTTTTATTGATCAATGGTATTGGAAATTTTGTTGAAATAATTCGAAACGCTGCTAAATAAATGAAAATATAACAAAAAAAGAAACTTAAAGTAGACTGGGTAAGTAACTTTTCAATCTAATTGCATCATATTCTCTGGATTTACAATAGAAATATTCAGAAATGATATTTTGAGAAAGTGAAGTATCAGAAGGTCTAAAGCTTATCACCTAGAATTAAAAAGTGTTTTCAATCAAGCATAATGATATATACTAATAACCAAGGAGCTTGTGAGTGTCTCTGTATTTTGAAATTGTAAGTAATGTTTGATTTTTCAGGCTTTACATTTCAAATAATTCTTCCATAGAGGTTTATTTTCTGACTGATTGTAAGCTAACTTCAGTCAGTCAGTCAGCTACAACGTAGGACCAGGCACATGTATGCATCGGTCCAAGTTGCCATACCTCATTAACACAACAAGATGAACACCGGGTAAGCTAACTTAACTATCCACGATCATTTTAGATCATCCCTGATCGGCAGCATAGCCAAATACAACCGCAGTTTCATTAATCGCTGGTTCACTTTGTTTCTACAGTTGGTATCAGTGCGTTATGGAAATTAGGTTGTAGTTATTTATTCCATTTTACAAAATATAGTATATTTCAAAACTAATGATTAGACTTGTAGCAGACAATAATAAATACAAAAAAACCCCATTTAACTCACAATAAATAACTGAAGATGAGAAGTCATTCTCATTCGAATAAAACCTTTGTACTCTTTTCATAATTTGTGGTTGAAACAATTCATCGATACGTAAATGCTTTTCAGCTTCAAATGATCTACTAGAATATTCTTTATTATTATTTACTGTAATGTGTTGAGCCATTATATGATTTACGAAAACTTTTGATATGATGTGGAACTAGTGTTAAATAAATGTAGGATTTAAGTAGAAGAATAACACTGTTAGCGAATACATTAAAATTCTACATAAAAGACACACATGAAATACTATGCAGATGAATTTTAATCGAAATAACAATCAATTCATCAATATGGCGCATAAAACTGAAGCTTTATTGTTAGTTCAAAATTTTACTTGGGGGAGTGGAGAATGAGGGACGAGTCAAATGACCTGGTTGTGGTATGATGATATTATCGAAGAAGTTATCGAAATATACATCCCAGCTACTCTCATACATAATTCTCAACCTAATTCACGTTAGAGAAGAACATAATAAAATAAGTCAACTATGAGAATGAATTTTTGAATATCTATATTTCGTACACCAATTGATCTGGACAGACAACCAAAGGAACGAAATGGAGAAAACGAAGAGGAGAGAGCGAAGCGAAGAATGTCGTTGGAGAAATAGTAAACGGAGTGACGCAGAGAAGGTGAGCGAGTCAGCTGCATTTGATCAAGTGCGACTCCATATTTATAGCCAGACAAAAATAGTGTACTAACACGTACTATCACGTACTAACACGTCTATCACCGTGTTCATAGTATTCACTGCATATTTTAAATTATACTGACACTTGCAACGAATTATGTTTTGAGTAGGCAGGTTTCGCCTTAGCTGATTTGAGTCGCTTATTATGTCTTCAGTAATAGATGTACGAAACATATATATTTAAAATACTTTCATGAACTGATTCAAGTTAGAAATGTAGACGGCGAGACTATAATTTATGGACGAACTAATCAGGTTTACGATAACAGGTCTTCCATTCATTTCATTCATCCATTTGGCTAAATAGTCTTGGCATTATAGCTGATGTCAGTTCGTGATGAAAACCCTATATCTAATTCCTAACCCTAACTGTCAACTTTAAATCATAATTCTAATTCGTCACACAAGTATACAACCCTCATTTAGCCCTAGTAAGTAGGTAGACACTCTCAAGGTCATTTTAGAGTCGCTTAAAGGTTGTCCATAAATCATAGTCTCACCCACGAAAGTTAAGCGCATTTATAGGGATACTTGAGACCTTAAAACATCTTAAAAACATTTTAAAACTGGTCCTCTACGGAAAAGCATTTCCTCCAACCGATAGTAAACCTTTTGCCCGTGAAACAATTACTTCACCTGGTCCAGATAAGTGAAGTTGTCAACGCGTTCGACTACTTCACTCCCTATCCTTAGTTCAGGTGTTGACGCAGACCAGTCCTGGTCCTCTAGAATAATCTTCAACATTTAAAAAAACGCTGATCAGTCGAAGTATTTTTATCATATTCCTAGCTTTTGAAGACTTTTTCAGAAAACAGTCAAAGACTTATAACAAGTCTAAATAATGAGACTATTATTTATGGACGACCTTTAAGTGAAGCTTAACTTTTGTGTATAATCTAGCCATTGAAGCAAAGCTTTATTCATGCTTTCCACCTGTTTACGGTTGGGGTATTAGTCGCAAATTTTTAAGGAATAACAAATGGTTATAAAGTAAAGATCTAGGCGTTCAAGTAAAAGACTTATCAGGACTACTAGATTCTAACTCATTAATCTAAACATTATACGCTCGTTACAAACACTAAAGAATAAAAGCTCAATCCCTGACTAAAGAAAGAGTATGAAATACTGAGAAGTTCCATACTATAACAAAACAGATAGTATGTTCCTTGTAGTTATTGATTATTGTCTAGCTGAACATTTTCTAAAGAAAATCTCAATATGTCATATTATTACTGAACTTACTAGTTCAGGTCTTATTGAAATCCAAACTAAAAATACATGTGATTCAGGTATTGGTAGTTTCGTAGAGAATCCAGGCAATGAATGAAAGAAATTCAACTTTGTCTACATGATAATAATGTATTGATATTAACAAAGTAAAAAGAAACAGAAAACGAAGCATACAATAGATAATTATTCTAATTCATATTATAGTATCATCATTTAATGAATATTGATAAATATCTTTAGTACAGTAGATTTGTGGAGACTATAATCAAATGGATTAACAATAGTCATGCAGTAAACGAAAGCTTGGTGGAAATAACCTATTTATTGTTTAGTACAAAATTATACAATGCTTTCGTAAAACTTAAAAACTATACATTAAATACATTATTTGAACATCTTTCTTCAGTTGTCCTTTACATACTTTATGATTCTTTGAATTCTGTTGTTATTACAATTATTCACTGTTTACATTCCTGTTCTGTTCAATTCGATCTTATCAATCATTTGTTGCCATTCATCCCATTTCTGGTTGGTGTTACATACTACTTAAATCTTATAACATATGTAACATACAGGACAATCACACAATCAATGAAAATTTAGAAAATATTGACTAGTTGTTTCATTCAGATATGAAATTCTTCAATAGTGTGAAATCATTATCCTACCAGGAACAGAACTCAGAACGAAATTTATTTATTTACCTGATTAGCATGTGGATATACTTGAAAAATTGGGTCACTGATGGTGTATGTCTCATTCCTAAGAATTCATATGTCGGCTAATCATGTTCATTTGTTTTTTGGTCGATTTCTGACTGACTCAGTGTATAATCTTTTTGATAAGTCAAAATAAGAAGGCAAATTCACGTTTTCTCTGACTCAATGTAACATTATATGACTTAATTCTTATTATCAATGTGGCATGTCCACATTAAGATTATGTTTTCCAGTGTAAGACTATTGTAGGTCAATATGTTTGTACTAATTAAGTATAAATTTCATTCAGTGTGACAGGTATGAACTTTTATCAAGTGTGACAATTATATTCTTGGAATTATTCTGTGTGAACTTCGTATATGTTTCAAAGTAACCCTGGATATCTTTTCATTTTTATGGTGTTAATTAACTAATCATCAAATATGTGTAAAACCTGTATATAAATGAGCGCATTTAGTCTGATGATGAAGTAATTTTGATGATTTGTTTTCTAGGCGTGTTTTTAGAGAACTAGTAAGCCATCACTGATACTAGTCCCTGTAGTTTCTCTTCGTCTCTTGGGAATTATAGTGGTTTCCATTCCAAGTATAAGCTGTAAGACCATCGATGCAACAGAGCCAACACATATACAACAGAAGCGACGCTAAGCATACCGTGTTTTCTTCTGAAAAATAGGTATAGCTTCACGGATTGAGATAAAGGTGTTGGGAAGGAGACATATCAACATAAAAAGACAGAAATAATTCTAATTGGGAATAGAACTACTTACCTCAACTATTTCAGTCCATATTAGTGGCTCATTCATTAATGCTTTTTCTAAACCTTTTAAAGTTGGCAATTTTTCTTCCAACAGTTGAATACGTTTAAGAACCTGATAATATTTATGGAAATGAAATTGAATGATTTTTGATGAGAGGATTTTTATGCAACTTTTGCTGAGAAGTATACATTTTGAAAAATATATTACCATCTGATATCAGTAATTTGACAGTGATACTGTGATGTACTTCTTGTTGGTGTGCAGCAGTTCGCTGAATCTTGATTTATGGGTACTGAAAAATAGCCATTAAGAGTAAAGGATATTCATAGTTTTTTTCTTCGAAGCATTACCCGTGTATTTTAGGACCACCGAGTAGGCAATCCCCAGGTTAGAAATAGGCTACTAGATGGTAAATCTTCATCAGCTGAGGGGGACAAGAACATGTATTACGTATCCCAGACCACGGTCTATCTTGACGGACGATATTTTTTGGTGTAGGAATAGGTTAGAAGAATGCTAGAGGGAGGCAAATCCAAAACACAGCATCAGCCCACAATGTCACTGACAATTGAACTGAACCATGTTAATAGGTGTCGACTGCCTGGTCGGGTTTCGCGTGATTATCGTAAACAATAGTTATAGACTTTGAGTGATATGGCTCAAAATCACTTGCAATGACGCAGGTGTATCCATTCTTTATTCTTCCCCAAAGTCTGACCTACTGCATTACTTTCTTTGTCTTTGTTTCACTAATTTATATTTTCTTGAATTATTTCTTCGACGCCTAATATTTTTTATCACTACTCATACTAGTGCTATCTGTATTATTCTGGAAATCGGGCTGGCAATTCCATCTCTCGGTGCTAATGAGGTATGGCAACTTGAAATGACATATGTACGTATCAGATTCTACGTTGTGACTGATTGATTTAGTTGTGGAAATTTCAGTCATTCCGAACAACATTATCATCATCCACTTCATGTAGAAATAACCTTTTCAGTTGTTGGTTTTGATGATCTTGTTCATGAATGGTTTTTTCACAGGCTTCTTTGTCTTTGTTAGCCTTTGTATTTCTACTAACTATTTGCTTGACTTCTGATCATCTGGTCGATTGGCATATTTCGTGTGGATTGATAATTTGGATCTACACTGCTGTGTTTATCGAAAGGTCCTTAATCGAAATTCCCTGTTATTCTTAGGACCTCTTCGGTCGGTAATTTTTGACGTTCACAATCAAATTAATGTTTGTTGTCGTCTACGTGTGTCAATATCAGAAATAAAATATCACGTCATTTCGTTATTAGTATGTCCTAGTGAAGGTTCTGTCCTCCTAAACCAGTGTAGTGTTCTTCACAGGTGGTGCTATCTACTTCGTAGAAAAATGTTATCTCTGTCTTTTTTCTCCGTTGTATAATTCGATCTATATCAAATCAAATGATTTCTGCGAGTTGGCTAGGGAGTGACATTGACTCTATAAGGATTTCAGTACACTTCTCATCTCCGAGATATTCTACACAACTATTAATCCATAATGAAATGTGACTGACCAAATTATCTTGAATAATTGATCGATTTTCAATTATAGTAATTTTTTGTATTGACAAATTCATTTGACAAATGTATAATTATCAGTATAGGGGCTAGACATTAACACCATTGGATACCGGCTCAGTGGTCTAATAGGTTAAGCATTAGCGCATGAGACTGAAAGCCCTGGGTTCGAATCTTACGAAACGGGACCGTGGATGAACACTGCTGAGGAGTCCCACATTAGGACGAGACAGTCGTTCAATGTTTCCAGGTTTTCAATGGTGATCTAAAATCAATCGGTTCATGATCTCAATCTAAATGCATAATTATCAAAGCTTACCTCTGATTTATTTTGGTTGAAACAATGTTGATAGTTATATTCACATGTAAAAATATTACTGAATATGATTTGTTTAAATAGTTCAATTTCAATTATCTGATCTGGATTATGTAATTCATAAATAGTTAATTTAGAATATTGAAGTATATTAAAATATATTGAAATTTTTATTTTTATTATTAATCCTAATGGATTGTTCCATGTGTTTAAAGAATTGAGAAAGAATTCCAATAACATATGTATAATACGTCGACCAATTTCCTTGCAGAAAAGATAAGAAAGTAAAGTTAAGTAAACTTATGAACTTCTAATCATAAAACGTTCAAACTACAATTAATTTGATGTTACTATTATTAAGTTTATATTGCTGTATTCAAAAGTGGTTAGATTATTTAAGACAGCTATTTAGTAATTTATCAAAGCCCATTATGTTATATCCCCATAAGAATAATGGATGGGGACTTTTGGGACCCATTTATGGACGAATACCATACGGATATTTTTATCGTTTAATAGTTAAGTAACTAAACTATTCATATTTTTGTTCTTCTTGTCATAAGCTTTATTCTCGCCTATGAACTATTATTATACGATTTACCATTCTTGAGTTATGCCCAGCGTATTAATTACTATCTCCCACATTCGTAGCCACATTTGGTTAGATGTTATTTTCTATTTTATGGTACGATGTGGTCTGTTTGGTTTATATATAAACCCAGTATGTTTGAAATAAATGATTAATATTGCAGGGGTTGAGATTGGTGTTATAGACTTAACAGGCAGACTGTGCTATGCAGGAAGCAGGACTGTTATGGACTCTAGATTGCTCGTACGAGTTTTATGCGTCATTGATCCGATCGCTAATTCACTGTTCTCTAATTGGCGATATCATTACGTTATACATTGATAGGGGCACAGAGCACAAGTTATAACACATTAGGCTAAAATGTCACATATCAGTGTTAATCGTAAACTGTCAATTATTTAGTAACGAATTGGATTCATAATTATCTTCACTGACTTTCGGTAGCTCTCATATGATAAATAATCGTAGACTATTATTCCAATTAAATGTAGAATAAAAAAATGAAATAAATCAATGAAATGAAACAAGGAATTCGCTCATCAATTCAGCAGGACTCTAAAAGGTTTGATAAGATTATACTCTTCATTCATAAGTTATTAGACCTCAGTTTATTTGACTAATTCTTGATGAATCTCAGAGAAACACATGAATGAAATCCATATATTAGGAAATCTGTTTCACAATCAATCATTAGTCGAAAAGTCACTTTGCTGAATTTAGTTGTCGGAAAAGGTTACACAGTGATTTCACTATATTCTGTCGATTTAAATCATAATATTTCCATCTGAATTCAAATCTAACTGTTATCTAAGTTTAATTTTTACAGAATTAACCAGATGTTTTGATAAACTTCATGGGACAATGAAGCGGTTAATCATATATTATCACAGTAGCTGTTCCATTACACCTGATCTTAAAACAAATTAAATTAAATTCTGTAAACCGAGTGTCCGGTTGGTATACATGTAACTATCATTAAAAAGTTTATTTTGTGTTTATTAGATGTCAATTCCATTGACGTAAATATTAAAATTCTAGTTTCTTATCAAATTGCGGTAAAATAAGTCTTGATGTGTCTATAAACAGTGCATAGTAGTGTATGTGTTTGGTGACTGATAGATGACCACAAGTGTTTCCTAGGAATTTGTCAACAGCATGTATGAAGCATTTAAGCATATAACATTGTATTGACTACAGTATATCATCGAATAGTTTCATTTTTTGACCAACAAAACTCCTGTTAACAATGAAGCATAGGCTATGATAATGTGGTAGATAATATGGATGTTTCCATTTCAGCGTGAGTTAAATGTTCTATGATATGCAACATTCGTTAAATAAAATTCAGTTACGAGTAAAGCACTGTTCCAAAGTGAATACTCATATAGTTATATAATAGCCATTTCTCCCATTTAGAAACTAATCAATGTAGAAGTTATTAATTCAATATGATGAACATGGTTTGTAGCACAAAAGAAAGATTCTAAAAGTTTCACATTCCCTAGGCCGAATGCTCCAAAAAGAAGTGGACTATTAGAAGTTTTCTGGGTCAGGGAAAGGAAGAAAACGATTAGAGCATCAAGTTGATAAAATCATTTGTTAGTCGCCTAAGAAATTTTGATGACTCCTGTTTTTTGGCTTTTTGGTATTTAGTTTGATAGCGTTGTTCAGAAAGACAATCAACCTTTTACAAATAAACTATCTAGCTCAGAGATGACAGATCCTCTAAAAACTTTAAAATTACTACAATCTCCACAAAACTCCTTCTGATACTGATCAACATATGCTCATTAGTGATTGGCTTCAAGATGTATATCCTGGAGTAATATTGAGAAGCAGTGACCAGTGGAGTTCAACCGGGTCAGTTGTGAGATAGTAACTCACTGATGACAATGGTGGATGTGTCGCTTAATTTTGTGGATTAGTTGAAGTTAGACATTAACACCGTTGGATGCCGGCTTAATGGTCTAGTTGGTTAAGCGCCTGGCGAGAGAGTGATAGGTCCTGGGCCCAAATCCCGCCAGACGGGATCGTGGATGCGCCCACAACAGGGCGAAACGGCCGTCCAGTGCTTCCAGGTTTTCCATGGTGGTCTAGCTCTAATTGACTCATGATCTCAACTGTTCAGAATAATATAAATCAATTATTCTTCAGTGAACAACAAAGATAAGGTGACTATAATCAGAATCAAGTCAAACATGAATTGTATCTCACTAGAATTTACTTTAGTTACAGACATTAAATGTCGAAACAAACATAAAACAGTAGACAAATGAGAAAACTGAACAAATAACTATTTCAAACAAGAAAATATGTTAATCATCTACTTGTATTTCATGTTCATAACTGATAAATAAATCAGATGGGGAGTTGATTTCATTAACATTTTCCAAATGGGAAGAATATAAACCTTGATCATATTTTGATAGAATATAATCACACAATCGTTTACATGGCCAACGAAATGAAATATAATCTTTATGTTGTATATCTTCTATACTATTGAATAATAATGATATTTTACGTGTAAAATTTATGATACATCCATTTGTATTATTTTGATTGGTAAATATACTAAGTTGATTGTTTAAATGTTCATGTTGTAATTGTAATTCATTTAAATGCATCATGTTACTTGATAATCTTGAAAAGATTTTAACTAATTCAATATGTTGTCTTGTTAAATTTAAACAATCTACATTGAATTGAATTGAATTAGTATTGGTCATTGAATTATTTATATCAGAATGGAATAATTTGTAATTTGTTAATTCATTTGATATATTCAATAGTTGAATCTATAAAAAAAAAAGATAGAAGAGAATAAGAAAAAAACTTTCCGGTTCGGATTGTGGAGATTATTAAGTTTTTGATTGAGATCATAAAGCGATTGATGTTAGATCATCATTGAAAACCTGGAAACGCTGGACGGCCGTTTCGTCCCATTGTGAGATTCCTCAGCAGTGGAGCTAATCCATGTCGAATAGAGATAGGTATCTACTTCAGTACAATGGAAAATGGTCGCGCGATTTCGTGGATTAATCGAAATTAGGCATTAACACTATTGGATGCTCGCTCAGTGGTCTAGTAGGTTAGGCGTTCGCGCAAGAGACTGAAGGTCCTGGGTTCGAATACCGTGAGCGGGATCATGGATGCGCACTGCTGATGAGTCCTACATTAGGACGAGACTGTCTTTCAGTGTTTCCAGGTTTTCAATGGTTATCTAACATCAATAGGTTCATGATCTCAATCAAAAAAATTGTATTCGTATTTTTGTAATAAAATGCATTTTTTAAAAATTAGGTATTAGTTGGACAGTAAAGGATCTATGCTAATTTACAAAGTTCATAGTGAATTGAATATCTCAATCGTTATTTAGTTGAATAGTTTGTGGAGATAAGTATAGTATTCATCAGTGAATAAACATGAAAATAATTTCAGGAGTTCTAGTGATAGACCATGATCGATGAAATTTAACCATACCGAGTGTGAGGCAGTTACCTACTAATGGCCTTGGATTAAAGTTTTACATCATGAATTAATGAAATTTAGAAATATAAACCACTGGATGAATAATTAGTGGTTTGAAGGTCAAGCACTGACTGTAAGGCCAGTAAGTTCTAGATTCGATCCCAGGCGGGGTAGTATTTGTGTATTGTCGAAGAGTTCCACACTAAGACAAGGTAGCGAACCAATTATTCTTGATCCCCCTTCATATTCTAAGTGAAATCAGTGCATGATGTGAATTACGAAATTTGTGATGTTTTATCTATCGCGAGTTGACATCAGTTGAGGAAACGTTGAAAATCAAGAGGCACAAACTACTGTTTTTAACATGTTTGGATATCTCAGACGGAGAGTACTCGCGAATCGGCCAAGTATCGAAACGAAGAGCTTACATTACATTTAGATCACTGTATCGATGCCCAGCCATCCGAATTTTTAATATTACTCAACGTGCGATGAATATATAATATAGCTAATCCCAATAAACTAATCTACTAAGCAATAAACATGGGATCACTAGCGATTACCTCTGCCAATGATGATGAAAATTCTATTGGCACGTCATTACCAATGAATTCCACGCATATAGGAAATGTAACGGTGATCACTGATGACTTTATATGATAGTTGAGACTGAATTTAGTCCATAGACTAATGTATTCCAACTCAATTTTTTAGATGCAGCATACGCGCCAAGATCTCTGGAAATCATTAGTTTGATCTCTGATGGTGCTAAATGTGCACTTCTAAAAAGTCATAAGCGAGAATAAGACGGGAATCTAGTTCGCAATTCTTTTTGGTAACTGTCTAGATAGTGCTAGTTTGCGAAGTAGAGAAGCAAGTTACATTCAAACCTATGTAATGATCAAATCAAAGGTCAGAAACTAATGAACAATTCTATCTAAAAACATTAGTATTTGAGTTCACGCGGTTATAGAACATGGAGAGGAAATTCTACTATTATTAATGAGTAACTGAATAAAGGCGAAACCCCAGAATCAGTCTGCCTTATTGAAATGGGAGTTTGATTACAATACAACTAATAATCTCAGTAGCACAATTACTGAATTCATCAATGAGATTAAATGTAATCTACTTAATACAAATACAAGTATTCAAACTTACTTTATCTTCACAAATCTTTTCAAAAGTTTCAATTTCATGAATCCTTAATTTTTGAAGTGAATTAAGAATGTTACAGTTAGGCAATAGATCTAACAAACAACTTGTTAATGCACTGCCACATTCCAAATGAGATAAGCCTAAATCAATTGATATAAAATCAACATGGCAAAATTTCTGTCTACATACAAATCCTAAAAGATTAATAAATATAAGATAGAAAGAAAATATAACTGAAGCAAAGAAAGGATATTCATTTAAGAAAATCTGTTTAAATAAAGGTATTTTGTAAAAGTTCGAAACTACTTACAATAATCGTTAGTAGTGTGGTATGTGGTATTGGTGGCGACGGTTATAAGTAGTATATATCATCAATCGAAAACGAAATGCCTGGTAGCACAAGGTTAAGAAGATCAAAGAAAGGAGAACGAGAACAAAGAATGATTTTTTTGGAAACGAAATAACAATGAAGCCTGAGATGATTGATTGATATTTGCAAAAGAAACAGTCAAGTTTGAGACAATTGATTGACATTTTGCGAATGAAGTATTTACTGTATGATACTCAGATTTTACTAAGATGTTCTGTAATTTTGTATTCGAATACATTCGATTGTTCCCACTTGTGTTCTCGTTCACTACAGTAGGAGTCAATTGACAATTGTACTTATGTCTATAACAGATATCATTTCTGTTTATGACTTCATTTACTTAATAGTAATTAGCTTATAGCGTTTAAGGAGAAACAATAGTTTAGTAGTTGAAACAGGAACTATTTTAACTCTACTAATCTACTTTAGTTAAACCAGATAAATAGTGTCACTAGGCATCATAGAGACATTAGGATTCAACGTTGAATACCTACAGTTCTACTTGATATACAAGGTGAACTGTTTAAACTCTAGCTCACCTATACTATTTAGTTTAAGAGTACTACATATTAGATTATAATTTGTCATTGGAGATTTGGTTTCAAGTCATAACATGTATTACATTACTGTTTTAAATGAACCATTTTGGGCTTTACTATGCCAACATGTTCATAACAGATAGTGTGGATAATTCCAGATAACTGAAATGAAATCTTTAGTGAAATATTACACTTTATTATGAGGAGCTCACACATTAAACATGTAGAAAAATGGCCGAAAATTTCAGATATCTCACACTTAGTGAATATTAAAAATGTTTTCGATAACTTCAATCAAGTTAATTTAAGACCCATGAGACAGTAGGATATAAATTTTGTCGGCCATTTACCTGCCAATACAAATAAGGTTTGAGTGTTAGATTGATATAGACCTATTGATGGAAATAACACTCTCGTCGACTGAACTCTCGGGTATTGATCTCCATCCAGGAGGTCCACTTATCGACTTAGAATACGCAGATGACATAGTCCTGTTTGGTGAAGACGCTGACAAAATGCAGAGTCTTCTGGTAGCGCTAAGCAACAATGCCAGAATGTTTGGGATGCGCTTCTCTCCCTCTAAATGCAAGTTGTTGCTTCAGGACTGGTCTGCGTCAACACCTGAACTAAGGATAGGGAGTGAAGTAGTCGAACGCGTTGACAACTTCACTTATCTTGGAAGTCTGATCAGCCCTAATGGGTTGGTGTCTGACGAAATCTCAGCACGGATTCGAAAAGCTCGTTTGGCTTTTGCCAACATACGTCACCTTTGGCGGAGGCGAGATATCCGTCTATCAATAAAAGGACGAGTATACTGAGCGGCTGTTCGTTCTGTTTTAATTTACGGCAGCGAAACATGGCCCTTAAGAGTAGAAGACACCCGTAAGCTACTAGTATTTGACCACAGATGCCTTAGAAATATTGCTGGCATCTGCTGGGATCACCGGGTAAGTAATAGTGAGGTTAGACGCAGGGTATTAGGGAATGATGGTAAATCAGTTGATGAGGTTATGAATCTTCATCGACTGAGATGGTTGGGCCACGTGTTACGTATGCCTGAACACCGATTACCACGACGTGCAATGCTAGCCGGTGTAGGGGATGGTTGGAAGAAAGTTAGGGGCGGCCAAACCAAAACGTGGCATCAGTGCCTAAAGTCACTAACTTCTAGTCTGAGCCATGTTGGTAGATGCAGACTACTTGATTGGGGTCCGCGTGACTTTCGTAACCAATGGTTGGAGACCCTTGGTGACATGGCTCAGAATCGATCACAATGGCGTCGGTGTATACACTCCCTGTCTTCCCTTAAACTAAGAGATTAAAATCACTTCATATCTTTCTTTCTACGAACTAATTCTTTCTTCCTATACTATATCCTTATTGCAATCTTTCTCCTATATATTACCACCTCTGAATTAACTACTTTTATGAATCCGGTGTTCATCTTGCTGTGCTAATGAGGTATGGCAACCTGGACCGATGCACATATGTGCCTGGTCCTACGTTGTAGCTGACTGACTGATATGATGGGAAAGCGTGGCAGTTAGGACCTAATTTACTGGAGAATGATTGATGTATAAAATGAATTGTGTCCAAAGGTTTGTGATATCTGAGTTTGTCATTTTACCGTCTCGTCCAATTGTAGGACTCCTCAGCAGTGCGCATTCACGATCTTGCTCACGGTATTCGAACCCAGGGCCTTCAGTTTCGCGCGCGTACGCTTAACTTACTGGACTACTGAGATGGTATCCAACAGTGTTGGTGTCTAACGGCCGTCCAGTGCTTCGGGGTTTCTAATGGTGGTCTAACATCAATCAGTTCATGATCTCAATCAAAAACTTAATAATCTCCACAACCCCTATACTGATAAATAATCAATCAAGTCAAAGTCAACAGAACAAACTATCAATCATATGTGAAGAAATTTGAACAACTCACTTCCGCCTAAAGTTTATATTGATAATGATGATAACAATGAAAACTCAAAGAACGAAACTCTACCACAAAAAGAAAAAAACTAGTCGATCTTACTCAACTAGCTCATCAGTGATATGAATAAAAGAAGGTATAATGTCATATACTTTAATTGCTTACCAATTTCAGTATATTGACTAAATGATGTCCATAAAACAATTTGACTATTTTTTGTACTGGATATATTTTTATTGAAGACTTGATTAAAATAAAATCTTAATAAATAGTTAGTATTTTCTTTTGCATTGAAACTATGAAATTGATCCACATTAATGAAGATTATCTTATCTAAGAAGAATAAATTATAATTAATAATACATAATGAAAATGATTCATTGTTAATGAACTTGTTTGAAAATGAATATACAAATTTCAATAGTTGAAATCATGAGTTAATTGAAGCTAGACCACCATGGAAAACCTGGAAGTACTGGACGACCGTTTCGTCCTATTGTAGGACTCCTCGAACTCAGAACCTATCAATCCCGCGCGTGAGCGCTTAACCACTAGACCACTGAGCCGGCATCCAACAGTGTTAATGTCTAACTTCAACTAATCCACCATTGTCTTCAGTGAGTTACTGTCTCACAAATGACCCGGTTGAACTCCACTGGTCACTGCTTCTCACTATTACTCCAGGATATACATCTTGAAGCCAGTCACTAATGAGCATATGTTGACTAGTATCAGAAGGAGTTTTGTGGATATTTTAATAATTTCAACTATCTCCACAATCTCCATAAAACCCCTTCTGAATATACAAATCATAATATGTGAAATAATACGAATGTAATTATGAACAACTTAGAGAACAAGAAATAGAAACTATAATCCCAATGGAGATCGTCAAAGAATTACTAATAAAATGTACTATGAATGTACATTTCAAATTTAATAGTGAAATATATAGATAAATAAACGGTGTCGTGATGGTTCACCCCTAGGTCTTATATATTGGCTGATACTTTTTGTCTCTAAATTGGAAAACGGCCCACTGTTATATATTAATAAACTGAAAATTATAGAAAGAATTCTAATTGGGCAATGGCTACTATCCTGAAGTATATAAAAAGTATAGTAGGCTTTCCAGCTAATATCATCTTCACGTTAACCGATTATGATCATAAACTTTGTACGACTTATTCCACAGGTAATGATAGTTATTATTAAATATTTACGTATTTTAATCTCAATTCTGACCCAGATTTTAAATACTTATCTATTAATTTATTATCCTCCGTACTACAATATCATGTTATGAAGATTGTTGAATTTAAGGTCTCATATTACAGATTGATCTTGACCAGATTAAGGATCAAACCTTTAAATATCAATTCGAATTAGAAATGAAATACTTATTACTAGCAAAGTTATTTGTTCATATTGGTGAAGAGAATCAACGTAGAATAGAATATAAGTTATCAAGCAGTTTCTAGTCCCTTTTATAAATTTCAATAGAGTAATGATAAGATAGAGTTAATTTGAACAATCTAATAACAATTCCATCATCTCATTATTTTGTTATCAAAACATCAATGATAAATAACCCTAATAACTTACTTGTATGAATGGCGTAGTTAAAATTGGATATAAATTCTTTCATGTCTATGTAAAGATCACAAATTAACTGATCTTTTTTGCTAAAAATTAGATTAAGAAAAGTACAGGGTAATATTACTTGATATTTCTACATTTAAATGACCCAACAAAAACCATTGACAATTTAATTCAGATACAGTTAGTTATATAAATAAATATGGAAGTCAGAAGGGGTTTTGTGGAGATTTTAGAAATTTCACTGATTGAAATCATGAGTCAATTGAAGCTAGACCATCATGGAAAACCTGGAAGCACTGGACGGCCGTTTCGTGGATTAATTGAAGTCAGACATTAACACCGTTGGATGCCGTCCAGCTCAGTGGTCTGGTTGGTTAAGCGCCTGGTGCGAGACTGGTAGGTCCTGGGTTTGGACCTCGCGAGGTGCAGGGCCGTAGATGAGCACTGCTGAGGAGTCCCATACTAGGACGAAATGGCCGTCCAGTGTTCCCAGGTTTTCCATGGTGGTATAGCTTCAATTGACTCATGATTTCAATCAGTGAAATATAGAAGTGTCAAAATATTACTAGAATTGGTTTCTTAACCCCTTAATAGAATTAAATTCATTTATTGGGTATAACTTGATATAATCAGAGAGGGTTTTTGTGGATATTATTATAATTTAATAGTTGAATTCATGAGTCAATTGAAGCTAGAACATTATGGAAAATCCGGGAGCACTGGACGACCGTTTCGTTTTAGTATGAGACTCTTCAGCAGTGTGTATCCGCAATCCCACCCCAGGAGATTCGAACTTGATATGTTAGCCTATAAATTATATTATTTATTCACCGATAAGTATACCGTTCAAATGCTTTATCTAAGTAGATGAGACTCAGAAAACTCCCTTTGTAAATAAACCAATACCTTTGACTTTCAGGTTTAATTTTATACGTCTTTTTATTTTTGCGAACCTCTGAACGTTTGTATTAGTGAGTTTTGCCTCATATATTGGCATTATTAATGGAATATACACATACTAAAGAGTGATAATAATTGATAAATATATAGTGAAATCATGAATTCGGTAGATTAAATTATCTAAAGTATTCAAACTGTATGCCTGCAGATTTTCTGCCATCATTTATTCTCACTGTTTATAATAAGGCAAGCAAATTAAGTTTAACTGAGTACCATAAATGTTTGCATTTATTATTGTTGTCTTTCAACCCGATTCTCTTTGAGTGCATTAGCTTATATTACTTATTAATATTCAGTAACCAATTTTGATTCTAATAACTTCAAGAATAATGTGTAGCGTATCTCTGTTGTGTGTAACCATTATAAACAAAGAAACGAAATTGCAACATTCTATTAAGTTACTACTGTAATTTCAATTCTTTAAGATTGAAGCAGTCGTTTTCAATTGTATTGTATCCAGTGAATGTTTTTGACAATTTTCATATTTCGTGTTCTTAGTTCTAATTTTAATATTATCTAAAATTATAATTTGGACCCAAATATTAGTAGCCATATACATTTCATGAATTACCCTTCTTTGACTATATAACTTGACACAGTATGTATCGTAGACACTTCATGAATTGATGTTCATAAAGCACTTCATATTAATTTCGCAATAATAATACTGTCTTTGCAGATAATCTTATGTCAGTTATACACTGGATTTTACGCATCACTTAATCGTGTGAATGACGACTTCGATATGAATTTACAGTTTGATAAAGTAATTTTTTCCAACTTTGAAAAACTAACTTGAGCCAACTAGAGAATAATTCGGTATGGGATACAATGATCATTAGAGTGAAGGAATCGACAACCTCTGACAGGTCCGATCCCGTGTCACCAGCTTCGCAGTCAGAGACGTTACCACTAGTTATCCAGGCCGCGATTGACATCCTGTAGGACTGAAGTGTATTTACAATTGATTGATCATTGGGTGGTAACCGATGTCATGTATGTCAGGTCCTTCTTAGTGCAGATCGAAACCTAGGTCCAGAGTTTCCTGTTGACCACCTCTAACCACCATCTTATCTCAACATAGTGCACGCAATGTCCAGTAACCTAGACTGGTAGCCACATTGCAACTTAATCGATAGGAGTCTATCTGCACTAAGAAGGACCTGACATACATGATATTGATCAACACCCAGTGACCAATCAATTGTAAACATTTACTTTAACTGAACGACAAACTTACCTTGAAGAAATGTTATCACTTTCATCAGTATCATCTTTTGTTAGTAATAATGATTTTATTACATTGATACCAGTTAGATCTGGATCGTAAATAAACAGATATAACATTGATTCATCAACATTATCACTATCACACTGTTTAGTATGAGCATATCTAACCGACCATAGAATTGTAAGTATAGATAGAATAGCTTCAAGTATATAACTAATATGTCGATCATTATATAAAAGTATTAATTCTGGTGGAAAGTTTTGTTCAATGTAAACCATTTCATTAGTTCGTATGGCTGTGCTTGAATAATTTTAAACAATGGTAAATTTTGAAGAAATTTTTCACATATTATCAAATTTTCCTTTTGATCATTCGTAGTTTGGTGATAGACTTCCTAGAAAACAAGTATAAAAGTATTATTTTCTAGACTTTCTTCAGAAGTATACTGTAAATAGAATAGTATGAATTGAAATACATGGTGAAACTTTAAACAATAATAAACACAAGTAATAATTTCAATAGTTAAGATCATGAGTTAATTGAAGCTAGACCACCATGAAAACCTGGAGGCACTGGACGGCCGTTTCTTCCTACTGTGGGACTCCAGAGTGGTTTAGTTGTTAAGCTCTCGCGCGCGAGACTGATAGGTCCTGGGCTCGAATCCTGCGAGGCGGGTCGTGGATGTGCACTACTGGGGAATCTCACAATGGAACGAAACGGTTGTCCAGTGTTTCCAGGTTTTCCATGGTGGTCTAGCTTCAATTGACCCATGATTTCAGCCATTGAAATTACTACAATCTCTACTAAAACCCTTCTGATACATATGTAATAGTTTAGATTCTCCACCTGTTGATATTCAAGAATGCACATAGTTTTTTTCTATTTAGGCAAACTGGCAACCTAATTTTATGTCTTAATATTATTTATAGTTAAGAGTTTTGAAAATTTCAGGTCGTGACTAGCAAAGGAATCCAGAATAAGATTTTTTTATTTGGGATGAGTCACTAGCATATACTTCCATAGTACCGTTGATGATGTGGATATCGGAACTCAGTAGCTTATGTGATAACACCATAAACCTACATTGGTTACGGTGATTTATTGTTCAGCGTGGTGAGTTCCACATTGTTTTTCACATTATTTTCCTTATTAACTTTATTTTCCATCACCTTCCATTTTAGTTTACCTTTATTATTCATATATATATGTTCTTAACGTATATACGTGTGATCGATTTGTTCAAAAGGTATTGCTCGAATAAATATCATATAGCTCTGATAATTTTCTTCTCATTATTACATTACCCAAATTTATCAAAAGACTATTTGCTGTAGATAACACACTGCTTTACAAAACGATCAGTACTGGGTGTGAGTTTCAGTTTGAACAACAAGACTGTATTGTTTATAAATTCAACTGAAGTGGCCAAAAAGGACGAAATGTGCGTTTTTAGTTCTACAATTTATTACAATCGAAAAAAATCATGAATTTTGATCGAACTTGACTTCTTTTAAATTAAAATTAAAACTCATATCTGCTGCACAACCAGGCACCCTGCTGAAATCAGTAGCTAGATTAATAACATAATGGCGTTTGGAGCGAACGGCACTGGCTTTGAATCCTGGAGTGAACTCCAACTCTGGGGTGTGATGGAATTCAGCTGATGAATCCTAAATAGGATGGAACCCGCTCTTCGGATCTCACTACTAGTGAAATTCCTTTTCTTCTTTGCTAACGTGTGTCATAATTCGATGTATCGACGTGATTCGCATGGATGAATATACACTAACTAATCATCTTGCCAAAATTCAGTCAAGAATATCAACAACGGGATAATTCAATCCGTCTCAACTTGAACTGAACCCGACATAATTGTTTGGTTTGAATGCGATTGATTCCAGATGTTTTACAAAGCTTTTTTCATTCTAGTTTCCGACAGTCTTTGGTCGAATATATATATATATATATATATATATATATATATATATATATGACTCAATTTTGCTGAACTAATTTCGAACAGTCATTTTTAGAAAAATGATAAAATTTACGAAACGTGATGATAAATAACAAAATAAGTGTTTCTTTAAAGTAATCAACTTCACCTTCATTTTATTCCAAACAAGAGTTTTGAAATTATTCCACAATGAAAATCTGTAAAATAATAACATATAAAATAAATAATACAAGAACCAAGATATTGGTTTGAACTATGTACTAGGACTACTCAGTTATTCGATCTTATTGATTTTTAATGGATGAGTAACCTAGGTCGGTTCGTAATATCACTAATATTCGGTAATCTCCTCAAACCACCACATTGATAATTATGACGGGCCCGCTAGTGACTAGTTTTTAAAGGTAATCGGGGAATTCTAGTAAGAAGTTGTGACCAGAGGAGTTCGAACGTTTCAGGTGTACAACAATTAACTACTGAAGAAAACAGAAGGTTTTGACATACTATGGCAAGGTAAAACGTCGAAGATTAGATCCTGGCTCAAGGGTTAGCGTTCATGCGCTTTACCAGTGGGTCCTGAGTTCGTTCCCCAACAATGAGGTCGTGAATAAGTACTACTGTGGTGTCTCATACTTGAATAAAGCAACTGGTTAGTACCTTCTGACTAATAATGGATGTGCAACTTAGGTCAGTTTGTAATATCGGTGACGGTCAATAACTCTCATAAACCTCCATACTCATATTTTATTTGTTAGAATAATGATGGTTAATGTAGTTCTCCTGCCTTTACTGATTCATCATGAAATTTATCTCCAAATAATTACAAACTCCCATAAAACCGCCTAAATAAATGAATAATAATTCTGTGATAACTAATGACTATCTTTAATGAGGATTTCTCGAAATTCCCATAAGAAGTTATGGCTTGTAAAATAATCCTATTCGTAAATGAGACTGTAACATTGTTCTAATGCTAAATTAGTATGATGTAGATAATCGCTGTATATTATGAACTGACTGATGTTGGATAATGTGACCATAGAATTTGACTATTTTTAGAATGAATACTAATCTGCTGACTAAGAGACCTGAAAGTCATGGCGTTCAATACCTCCTACCATCCTGGACGAACACCTGTAAGAAGTTCATGCGTTACAAGTAACAACCATTCCATATTTTCTATTTTAAAATGGTTTTCAAGGTGATATCAGTCATCAATGAAATCAATCAAACTGTTTCTGTTATCGTACTAGGACAAAATTAAATGTACACATAATTTTTACCTAAGAAAGAGAATACATTCAGAAGAAATTATCATGAATATAAATTGTTTCAATAGGCTTAGTTCATGATTTATCCACATTGAAAGTTATAACCTATTCATTTGTTAAATCCGTTTTAAACCACAGCAAAATTTGTTTAAAAAGAATAAAAGCTAAAAAGTTGTTTATTCAGTTTATTGTTTAGATTTTGATTGAAATCATGAGTCAATTGAAGCTACATCAACATGGAAAACCTGGAAGCACTGGACGGCCGTTTTGTCCTAGTATGGGACTCCTCAGCAGTGCGCATCCACGATCCCGCACCCCGCGAGATTGGAACCCAGGACCTATCAGTCTCACACCAGGCACCTAACCAACTAGACCACTGAGCCGGCGCCCAACGGTGTTAATGTCTAACCCCAACCAATCCACGAAATCGCGCGACCATCTTCCATTGTATTGAGGTAGACACGTGTTTCTACCCGACACGGATTAGCTCCACTGGTCACAGCTTCTCACTAGAACTCTGAGAATTTTCTCACGAAGCTAGTCACTAGTGAACACATGGTAATCATCAGTTTAGGGGTTGTGGAGATTGTTAAGTTTTTGATTGGAATACTAAGACAAAACGGCTGTCCAGTTCATCCGGGTTTTCCATGGTGGTCTAGCTTCAATGGACTCATGATTTCAATCAAAAACTTAACAATCTCAACAACCCCTAAATTGATTATTGTTTAGAAGTGCATGTTTACTTTCATGTCTAAAAAATTCCCCACTAGATCAATCCAAATCTTATCAAGCAACTATATCAGATCAAATCATCTATGTCCTTTCATTACACAATGAAATTATTATAAAAGTGTTATACAAGGGTTCCTATTAGCTATATGAGTAGTTGCAATTGTTTGACAAGTCTCGGTATATCACGTCCTTGTGCTTATATGCCATCTTATGGTCAAATAGTAGATGCAATACTATATTAAGGGAAGCAGATTATATTCCTAGTCAAGTTCTTAGCTTATACGTCCTTGTCTAAAATCAGAAGGACAATTTCGAGGTTCTAGTCGTTTCTCAGTTTTCTTCACTTACACGATTAGTTGGACAAAAATGTATAAAGCATGAGTACCAGGATCCAGCGTTGTGAATCGTAACAATAATCATTGAATTACTTCTGATATAACATAATTTAAAAATTGATATAATTGTAACTTTAAATAGAACACTAGTCAAAGTTTTAATAACCTAATTACCATCACATTACTTACTTCACTGCATATTCACTAAAAAAATACAAATACGACCTTCATTTTGAAACAAACATACACACAAAAGGACAGAAAGTAGAATACTAATTACCTATGCTTAATTGGTAATGTTTGACAATACACTGTCCCCAATGCTCCGAGTATATTGAACCAAAATGAAAATTTTTAGTTGCATCATGATTACTAGTATCATTGTATAATTCAGATAAATTACTCTGTATAGTTGATGCTAATGCTTTAGCTTCATGAATTTTATAATCTAATATCTATAATAAGAAAAAAATTAGTAAATGGATTTTTATCCTTAGAAGAAATCGATTTCATTGGTCATTCCTTTAGGACTGACCAATGACATTATCAGATTAGTAACTAGTATTGATTAAATTTGTGCTCAAATGTATTAGGTTACACCACATGTTAATAACCTGTCCAATTATATTAAGTTCAGAGGGACTGTATTTTGGTTCATATAGCTCATTATATGATTGATTAAAAACAATAGAATTCCACGAAGAAAATTTTCGTTCCGACAAAATCGCTCGTATTTATCGTTGTTTGGGTAGATAGATGAATCTTTATGAAGAATAGAAAGAGATTACGTCATAAAGTGATCTGAGATTTCAAATATCAAGAGAAGGTTGAGTAATGTCAAGGGTTTAGAGAAGAATAAGAGGATGGAAATAATTTACTGGTCTGGAAAGTGCGAAGTATAAAGAGAAAGTGAAAAACATAAAGGTCATAATAACAAGTGAATAGTTATCTCGGAAAATCACTAGAGGATAATATCAAATGATTACGGTTTAAAAAGCGTACAAAATAATAATATAAACAAAAACAAGACATAATAAAGAAGAGAATTAGTGCTAAGGAAGGATGAGAGGTTGGATGTATCACTTTTGTACGTAGAGTTTGAAATTGGGGGTCGTCGACACCCCAGCAGTACTCTTAAAAGAATTAGATCAAAGAGAGGCCGAGTCAAAAAATTATGAACTGCTAAGGCGATGGTCATTAGCAGGAATAATGCAAGTAAACATTAAAGACATCATAATAATGGTAATTGTTGAATCTGCGTTGGAGTTGTCGTCGTTGTTAAATATGTATGAACTCTATTAGATCTGAAGTCTTACTGATTATACTTGACCATTGAAATTCTCACAATCCAAAGTGTGGACATGAAAGACTGGTGCAATGAAGATGTATTAGCTCTCCATAAACATTTCCCTAAACAAGTTTCAAAATCACGTTCAAAATTAAATCGCTTATTAGGACAAAATACATTCATTCACGTACTAATTTTTGGATATACTTTATCAGTGTGGCGTTGTGGAGATCGGAAAATTTTTGATTGAGATCATTAATCGATGAATGTTAGACCACCATTGAAAACCTGGAAGCACTGGACGACCGTTTCATCATAGTATGGGACTTATCAGCAGTGCGCATCCGCGATCGTGGATTGGTTGAAGTTAGACATCAACACCGTTAGGTGACGGCTCAGTGGTCTAAAGGTTATGAGTTTAGGCACGAGACCGACGGTCTCCATACTGGTAACATTTTTCTATTAAAACTGTCAATATTTGGGACATACTTGATATCATTTTTTTAATAAGCATTAAAATCAATACGAAAAACGATTAAGCTTACATCGATATTCTCTGAAAGACGTTTAATTTGATGTTCACATCCGACTAAATGATTATTAGCCATTTCTATGTTTATTTTTGTTAGTTGTAATGATAAATGTAAATTGCCTAATGCTGATTCATTTCGTCTAACTTGTGCTTCAATTGAAGAATAATCATCAATGTGATTCTGCAAACGTTCTCCAGCATCACAGCAATCACATAATGCTCTTAACCATTGACATAATCGGGCAGCAGCAACACTTACCTATTAATTCGGATAAAAAATTTTGATAAATTGAATGAACCAGTCATTATTTTAAATGGTTAATAAGGAGACACATCAAGAATGAAACTTGTTTACTCATTGAATTATGTAGTGGTAATGGATATCGTAGAGTTGGAATGTAGTTAGCAGTTTGATCCTATAGAGATGTTTTTCCTATTTGATAGTCGTCAGCTGAATGTATCTCCATCTTGGTATTGGTGTTCAGCATCTTTCTTCTAAAACACCTAACACATTATCCACAGAGAAATTAAAGACGAAACTAGACCTCACTGATAGCCAAACACTAAATAGATTAAAACTTTTGATAACTCTATATCGAAGGACTGAGCTCAGGATACTAATGTAATAACAGAGAGTAAAAACCTGCAGTTATGAATGTTAACAACGGAAAATCATAAATCCTTTTTGATGATTGCCTTGTTCAATGAAAGAAGTTTAGTAGGATAAAAAGGCTCAATAAGAACGTAAAGAGTTTTAATAAGATTAAAGATTTTTAATTAGTACTGATTTAACGCATAATATATTTGCTAATTATAGCCTTTGCGTCTCTCTATATGTGCATAGATTTTAGTGTGCCTGCTCTCTATACTATTTAAAGGTATACTACAAGAAAGTTGTCAATTATGTGAATGGTTTGTATTTGACAAATTATCACTTATTACTTATTTGAATAATTTCAAATGCTTATCGACAATCATGTTCATAATATCAGTATGAGAATTATGAACATTACTGAATTTTATTGAGATCACCAAGCGACCTAGGTTAGACATCCATTGAAAGTCTAGAAACATTGGACAGATGTTCCGTGTCAATGTAATGCTCCTCACTAGTGAACATCCTTGACACCACCACTGGAGATCAAACTCAGAAATTTCAGTCTTACTCATGACCGTTTAACTTTTAAACCACTGAGCTAAAATCCGGAGATACGTTCACATAATTTTAATCGATTCACACTAATAAGGTGTGTGACAGCAGGAAAAAATGGTTGTTCAGTGCTCACAGGTTTTCAATAGTTGTCTGGCGGCGATCGGTTCATGATCTCAGTAAAATATTTATGATAATTTTAGAAGAGTCAACTCTTGGCCTACGAGTGGCCTTCCACAAAGTGTGCAACAGAGTCTAATTTTCTCGACAAGTTCCAAGATACGATGAGTCGATTGGGATAGCTGAACATTGTATCATTTAGTGAATGAAGGTGCTGGGTAACTAAATAACTACAACTTCCACCATCTAGATTTCCACTTCTTTTCATATTTGTACTAACTATTCATGTTATTTCAGTCCGCAGGTATTTTCGGTATTTAAACGTATTCAATGTTTTAACTACATGGCTGAATGATAGAAAAATTTATGATTAGGGATATAATAATTAATAGCTAATGTATGAAAACGTTTCACTATTTCGGCCTTTATTAAGGCAAGGTCCCGGGTGTCAGGATTCATCTTTTTATAAAAAAATTCTTTCTTTAGAAATGAAATCTCTTAACAAACTAATAAATTAAACACTATTAAGTGGTTGAATTCGATCGATAGTTAGTTCTCGAGATACAGTTCATGTCAATTGAAACTCTTAAACGAGGCGAATCCGTCATCTTAAGAAAATCGATTTTCCACATGAGATTTAAATCAACATCTCCCAGTGCCGAAATCAGTATCTAGAACAAACAAATAAACTTATATGTTTAGAATGGTAAAATCCAGGAATTAAAGGTTGATACTATTGTTAACATAAACGGAATGAAAAATTGTACCCTTGACTAAATTATATTATGCTTGTGATGAAATCTCAAATTCTTGAGTTCGAGTCTGTATGGGATGAAGATTATATACTCTTTAGATTTACTAAACCAGAAGATATATCTGTTTAAGATTACTTGTTCAAGTATTAGTTCATAATCATGATCCATGAACGAAGACTTTAAATGACATAGCTCTAGATTCCCATTTCAAAGCTTCCATCTTATTCAACTTAAATATATTTTTTTCTAAAACCATTTTACTTACCTGTAATAAATTTTCAAATGTTAATATGCTTGAATTATTTAAACGTTTTCTTAATTCATTATGTTTATGTTTATTAATTGATTGAATGGAAAGTCTCAAGATTTTACTAATAAATTTGACTGGAACCATCATATGTTTTGCATTTTCCCAACTACAATTATTGAATAAAGAAAAGTATATAAGGGAAATAATAAAAAAAACAAGAACTTTACACATCATAAAATACCTTATTTCGAGAAAATAAAATAATCGAGAATATATACATATACAGAATTAGAGGTAGAGAACACTACGGCGTACCTGAGAAGATAGTCAATATCATACGGAATTCCTATGATGGATTAAACTGCGGAACTGTGCATGGAGGACAGCTCACAGACTTGTTCAAAGTAAAAACCGGTGTCGGGCAAGGTTACTTACTCTCATCCTTTCTCTTTCTCCAATGATCGACTGGATCATGAAGACGTCAATATCTAAGAGGAAGCATGGAATACAGTGGACAGCTAGAATGCAGCTGGATGATTTAGACTTCACAAGCGATCTAACTCTTCTACCACACAACAAAACCAAAGAATTGGGAACATGAATGTATTCAGTCATTTACTTACAAATCAGTTCCCACTCAGATTCTAGTATAACCTTGTTTTATACCCTGATTATGCAGTTAGATAACCTGTGACATTAGTCTCGAAACTCATCAATCTCCTTGATAAGTTTGGCTACTTAGTATGACCTTGTGACTGAATATATGAGTTCTATATGTGACTAGTTGACCCTGAGGGTAGAGAACTACCCTATTCACTAACTAGCGATCTGACACGTGGATAATGAGTGATTGACAAGAGAATAGAAGATCAAAGTAATAAAAAACCTATATCCGAATTCCGGACTAAAGAAACTAAATGAATAATGGACATAAATATCTGCTAAAGTAGACCGCAATTTGCATTAAATGAAAAAGGACAGTATATCCCAAATTAGATCAGCTAAGGTACTGGAATAGTATACAATTTTTATGGTAAAGTTACAAAAGCTTTGAGATAGAATGAAAATATTACAGTAGCATCTCTAATGATAGTAGGATTTATACTAAAGCTTGTCGTTAAGAGGATTAGGAAATTACGTTAAATTAATATTATAATTAAGAATTAAGCGTGTTAATATTCTAAACAGTAGCTTTTACAGTTTATCAATTTTTCTTTATTATTCTGTTCACAACAAATCTTAAACCTTAATCTCAATCTTATTCCTTAATTCAGATCTTAATCGTCTTTCATCTTGAATGTAAAAAATTATTCGTGTATATATATCCTGTATTCCAACTGACTAAAGATTAACTCTATCTTCCGAGGGCCAATCAGAAGTCACTAAGGGTCATGAGTTGAGCATAAATTTATTGCATTGTACCAATACTATCATTGTTCATACTTTATTTAAGTCATATTACAGTTCAGTACTCCAGTTAGGAAACATTAGTGTTAACCCACAGAATTGAAGTCAACCATTTATATCTCAGTAGTTCAATATACCTCTTAATTTATAGATAACATGATTTTAAGAAATCAAAATACATTTTAAAAATATATAAACAACTGACTTTTCCTCTTCATCCATAAGCATACAAATTAAATAGACACAGTTTTTCACATCATCTGGTGGTTCACGATATGATCGTATTTCATCTAAATCTTCAATGGATAAATTATGTAATCCTTGAACAGCTAAACGATAAGCATTCTCTAACTAAAATCAAAATAAGTTTTTAAAAAAAGGCATAAAAATGTATGTTTACTCTATTTTTTGTCAAAAATGATTCAAAGAATAAACTAGAGTATGCTGAACTAGGTCTGGTAAACAGTGAACTTTCAACAATCAGACTAGTTTCAGACCTTGACGCAGTTATTGACCTAACATTCATCCTTTGTTATATTATAGGACTTAGACATACCTACTAGCCGCCTAGTGTAACGGTATTTAATAACCTTAAGACAGTATTTAACTCAATTGCTTGACAAGTAACTGTTGCCAAAAACGTATACAAACCTTATGATGGCCTCTTACTCGGACACTACTGGTTGAGTAAGAGCTTATGGTGAACTATCATCAGAAACGATGACATTAATTGATATTCACCACAATTGCCCAGTATCCTCATTCTTATTTCACCTTTTCATAGGCTTTCGTTTAGAGTTAACGATATCGCCATCTGGCTTATAAGGGTTGAACCTCTTATTCAGGAATACATGGTTAAGAATAGACAGAAATGGATCAGGTACATTCACAATTTGTCTTGTAAACCTTGATCTTTAAAACTGTCTCATGTATTTTACTCTTGAATAAAATCTTTCTTCTGGAATCAGAATGCCTACCTGTAATATCGTTTACTATTATTGATTCTATTATTATTTCTACTATTCTGACCTCTGTTTCGATAGTTTCATCTGACTGTTCTGATATTTTGTATCAAATAAATTCATTTTAAAACATGAATTAATATCTTGCTATATGAAATCAGTCGAACTCAAAACTGAATGTAGGGATCCAGAATGTTTTCAACTACAATCCCTGCCAGGGAAGTCCTACTCACTGCCTTCTCGTCAAAGGGGTGTTGTTTACTAAATTGAGAGGACGAAAAGCGAATGTCCGGCGCTTTAACCGGATTCCAAACCATTGTTGCACATGGGCTCCAGTATCTTGTGGGAACAAATGGCGTATGAACCGATTATTGGTCACCGGCTTCCATGGGACTGCATCTCCTTACGATACTCCACTGCCTTGTGAATTAGACCTTTGTGTCGAAGGCCCGGGGTGTGGCCCCTAAGAAAACCACCTGCTTCGGTTTGGGCACCCAGGCAGGTATCACAGCCCTCACACATATCGAATGAGATTTGTGTGGCGCATATGTATTTGGTGCCTCTTTGTACCAATATGTATGTGTTGAAATAAGTAAATAAATAAATACAACTACAATCGATATCAAATTAGATTCTATTAATTATCCTTCTTAATCTATAAAGGAAATACTTTAGAAGTAGTAAATACAGTTCTATAAAAGTACATGTGAAAACCTACAGAATATTTACGAATTAGTTTGATTATTTGCATTGCATTTCATGTGAATAAATATACAAGGAACATTATATTTAATGCATAAAATGTACAAAATCACATTCGAAAATATACTATAAAGAGTACTGGTATTAATGAAATATCCAAAAACTAGATTTGAAATCTTTCTGTTGTATCTTTAAGATATAAACATATTATGACTTCAGAAGATATGATAGGCATGATGTCTTCAATTGTAGAAAATGATTACTTTGAAAACTTCAATCAAATATTCCATAGTTTACCAGTTAGTGACTTCATAAACAGATATGATATCTCATGACATTATGTCATCCTTAATACAATCGGATTAAAAATGGCATGACATATACATAGTGTTAGTTGCTTTTTATAAGAACAAGACGTTGAAAACAAGGCGTTTCTCAGTCTAATTCTGAAAAAACTCCTTTGTTTTACGTATTATTTTATGTAATTTGCTTGAGATATTATTTAAGTAGTGTGATTTAGGGCAAACATTAATGAAATATATTAATAGGTACAGTTGTAGTTCAGTCATTATTTTAAGCCCATAATAAATCTTATTCTAGTTTTCGGACATCCCATTCTATTCATTCTACTTGAGTCATAAATGTTGACCTTGTTAATTATTCGCTTATCACTCTTCACTGTTTTTATATGAGCGTATATGTGTGCACACTTCATATCCCATGACTCACCATATGTCTGTGGTTTATTTTGTCTGCCTATAAATATCGAGTAATGCTTGATTAAAAATGAGTTGGCATACCAGCCATCCCCACTCGCGTCGCTTCTCTTCCTTCTATTCCATTCACCTCATATACAAAATATATGTATTCAAAATCCCATTCTCGTTATTTGACTTATTTAATTCCGTTATTGACTAACGTGATTAAAGTCGACGATGATATACGAGAATCGGCGATAGCAAACATCCATACGATCTAATTGGAGTCAGACCCACGGGCCACAAAACGGTAAAAACAATAAAAACGGGGAGTAAATTTTACTAATTCTCAGACGGTGTATCCATTTTCTTAATCACCCTAATATAGACAAATAACTAATTACATTAATCCTTTAACATTTAATTTATCATACTACTAACATTATATGAGTAGCTTTATAAGCAAAGATAGATAGTGGCTAGCAGTGGTATACAGGACGTGCGTCCCGTCCTATTTGCGACTTGAACCTAGCACCGTTCGCTTCAAACACCATCGCTTTATCCACATAGCTACTCAGTCCTGATATCCACCTGCTTGTGCAATGGGATGAAGTTATATTCACTTAGTGTTGCTTATTCGTATCTTATCATTGTTACTTAGGACTGTAATTGATCAGTCTCTGGTTGGTATATGTGCATCCTATGCTAACTATCTCGATATTGAACTGAAGTCATAAGTTATATAAGCAAAGATAGATAATAGCTAACAATGGAATCCATGAGACACATTTCGTCCTATTTAGGACTCATCAGCTAAATGTACTTGCATCCTGGAATTGATGTGTATAACAATGAGAAGATATAAATAGCTTTAAATGTATACACTATAAAAAATAATAAATTATACTTTATGAAATTCATTTTCAGCTAATTTCTTCACATGATCCATTGGTTTCTTCATATTCATTAATTCATTTTCTTTATGTAAAATTTCATTTTTTAAATATTGTAAATGTTCATTTGTATTTGTATAATTTAATTTAGCTTCAGGTAAATATATCTCTTGATAATTAGATAAATCTTTTCTCATTAATTCTAATATAGAATTAGCTTGAATGATTTGATTCTTTAATAAATCATAATTATTTTTCATTGAATTATAAAGTAAATTAGTATCATTGAATTGATTATATAATAATAATAATTGATGATTATTATATTGTTCATTTCGATCATATTGAAGATAATACCAAACATTGATTGTTTGTATAATGTAATTGAATGAATATTGATTATTGAATAATGTTTGTTGTCTATGAATATCATTGATATTTTCATTTAAATAATGATAAGTTAATAAATAAGCTTCAATGAATAATTCATATAAAATGTAATGATTCTTATCATTATTATTATTTAATAAGAAATCATAATTGTACAAGAAAGTTTTCAATATAGATTTTGGATCCAAATCTATATGATTAGTAATACTTTTAAATTGTATATTCATATGTTGTAAATCATTTGTTATTTCATTGAAATTGATAACACAATCCCATGATATATATTGTATGAGTTGATTATATATTATATCTGAAAAGGAAACAACAACAACAAAAATCAGATGGGGGATTTTGTGGAGAGTTTTTTAGAAATTTCATTGATTGAAATCATGAGTCAATTGAAGCTAGACCACTGTGGAAAATCTGGAGGCACTAGACGGCTGTTTCTTCCTGGCATAGGACTCATCAACAGTGCGCATCCACGATCCTGCCAACCACCAGATTCCAACTCACACCAGGCGCTTAACCAACTAGACCACTGAGATGGCATCCGACCAGTGAAATTTCTAAAATCTCCACAATACCCCTTCTGATAATAATCATCTGCTCACTAGTGACTGATTTCAAGAGACACTCCTGGAGTTCTAGTGACAAACCGTTACCAGTGGAGTTCAACCAGGTCTGTTGTGAGATATCAACTCACTGAAGACAATGGTGTATGGTGGCGCAACTTCGTGGATTGATTGAAGTTAGACATTAGCACCGTTGGATGCCGGCCAGCTCAGTGGTCTAGTTGGTTAAGCGCCTGGCGTGAGACTGAAAGGTCGTGAGTTGGAATCTCGCGGGGGGTTTGGGATCGTGGATGCGCACTGCTGAGGAGTTCCATACTAAGACGAAGCGGCCGTCCAGTGCCTCCAGGTTTTCTATGGTGGTTTAGCTTCAATTAACTCATGATTTCAATCAGTGGGGAAAAAATAAATAAATAAGGGATTTTATTGGTATTCGGTTACATTGTAATGAAGATTTTGATAACTATTACGTAATAATAACAAACTACGTAAAACAAATGAGTGTAGTCAAATTAAAGGGGTTTTTATTTTTACTGGACTGAATTGTAAAAATATAAAGATTATTTTCATCACTTCCTGATATCAGTTAAGATAACTTCGAAACCAAAGGAAAAGAGATCAATAAATAAGGGATTTTATTGGTGTTCGGTTACATTGTAAAATATCGATAATTAAAACTTTTGACAACTATTCGGTAATAATACAATACTACGTAAAACCAATGTGTATTCGAACCAAAAAGATTTTTTTCTACTGGACTAAATTATTTTCATCACTTCCTGATATCATTTATATCTAGAGTTTAGATTCTTATTATGCCGAGTATAACTTGAGCACTTGAACGCTAGAACACTCACAAGTCGTAAATGAGAAGATAGAAGACAAGTGAAAGAAATGCTATTCCAAAACAGTGTCTATTATGATACAATACTTTCAGGTATTTATAGTTTTCAGTAAAAAAATGAAATCATCATTATAGCTTGCCAATCCGCACACAGGGGGTTTTTAGCGTTTGTCCAATAGGGAAGCTATATGTTTTGATTCTGGAATATTCTTTCAAAAGATGATTGAATGGAATATCTTCGGTCTTTCTGAAATTCTTAGAGCTTCCTCGAGTTCACCTGTAAATCGTCCTCACAAAAACAACGAAATACTGAAGAGTTGTTTTGTCCTGAAGTTAATAACTAGGACCCATTGATTTCAATTTATATTAATTTGGAAATAAATAAGTTATTTTGAAAATGATCTCAACCATTGTTTTATAAGTGTTGGTATAAAGTAAATATGAATAGCTCAACATGTAATGCGAATAAGTTATTTGAATTCATCAGTCATAGACTCTTCTCAAATGAGAAAAACAATATTCTGCTTAATTGTTTATCTGTCTGATTAGATGTGGTTGATAAGAAAACCTTTTCTGGACATTGTTTCGGTTAACTTTAAATCCGTAAAGTACTAATGTTTAGTTTTATGACCGATTTTCTTTATGAATTATGAGCTTTCGTTTAATTTGTAAATTACTGTCATAGTCTCTTTTATTTCAAAATTAATCTAATGTCGTAGCTAGGATAAAATTGTATTTTACTTATTTCTTGTGAGCTGTGGTCATTTGTGTCACCTATTTATTCGTGTACCTATTTTGCATAAGTCAGATCATGAGTAAACCGGATATATGGTGCCAGCTATATCGTCTTCTCTCTCTCCCTCAGCTAGCTAACATATCCGGTTTTCAGTTGGTGGTAGGATATTGTTTCTGATCATTGTCGTTCAGTCATTAATCAAACTCACGGGCTACAAGTCACATTGATGTACTGAGTAACCCATTACGTCAAGGCTGTAAACAAAGTTGAGACAAGTCTCTCCCTGTTTATTAAGCTCAGACTAGTGGGCAGACAAAACAAGGACATACCAGTAATATTTTGATATGAAGTGAGAAAACATAGTTGGCCGTAAAATGATGCATTCTGTGTTTGAATTGACCTGGTAGACCTTACTGATGAACGTCAAATGGCATGACATACAGGTCAATGGATTCCTGTCGACCATCTGTAAACTACTTAATATATCAACAAAGTGAGTAAGAATTTAAGTCATTTACACTAGTGGCCACGTTGAATTAAGGACCGGACAAACATTAAAATACTCACTACCCTGTGACTAATCGATAACAAAATTAGTACACAGGCATTTATTTATATATAATAAGAAAGTTTTATGTTTCTGATATATTTTATGACTGTTGATTAAGTTTTCCCCTCTATCGCTCATCATCTTCAATCGCACACGTAACAACAAATGCAGGAGACGACCAGTGTAGCAACAGCCTCAGCAGCAGTACGCATCAACATACACAAAGACAAAACCAAGATTCTCCCATACAACATAATATGCACCAATCCAATCACAATCCACAGAGAACATTTCGAAGATGTAAAAACCTTTACATATATGGACGGCATCACTGATGAACACGATGGTGAATCTGATGCAGATGTGAAGGCGTGAATCGGAAAACCAAGAGTAGCATATCTAAAACTGAAGAACATCTGGAACTCATAACAACTGTCTAACAACCAACACCGAGATCAGAATTTACAATACAAATGTCAAGATAGTTCTACTGTATGGGGTGGAAACATGAAGAACTACGATGGCCATCATCCAGAACATACAAGTGTTTATTAACAGCTCTCTATACAAAATACTTCGGATCCGTTGGCCAGACACTATCAGCAACAACTTATTGTGGGAGAGAACAAACCAGATCTTAGCGGAGGATGAAATCAGGAAGAGTCGCTGGAAGTGGATAGGACACATATTGAGGAAACCACCCAACTGTGTCACAAATCAAACTCTCACATGGAATCCTGAAGGCCAAAGGAGGAGAGGAAGACAAAAGAACACATTACGCCGAGAAATGGGGATAGACATGAGCAGAATGAACAAAAATTGAACGGAACTGGAAAGGAAGGCGGTGGACAGAGTGTGTTGGAGAATGTTGGTCGGCGGCCTTATTATTTTTTACTATTATTATTATTATATGGATATAAAACTTACCATCCTTTGAAGCAATAACAAAAATTCCTTTCAGCTTATCATAATTCATTTCATTCCATGGTAAATCAAAACGTAGTTCCTGTAATCTTTGTATCAATAAAAGTAACACATTTACATCATCATCATTATCACCATCATTAATCTCATCAATATTGTTGCTATAATGATCATCATCATCATCATAGAAGGTCTGGTTCACATTTTGATTTGATAAATCAATAATAATCATTTCATATTGTTTATAATGATCCCAAAATTTTTCATTAGAATTTTGATTCAATTTTATTAAAAATTCTATTAAACATTTTGTATAATAAATTTTATGATAATTTTTTAATTTCATAATACATTTGATAATTTGTTTTTGTATATGAAAATTGACTCCATATGTTTTACAATTAGTAGAGTTATTCAGTAGTATATAACAAGGATTATGAGTTAATGAACTTGATAAAATGAAGAAAAAAAGATAAGAATATTGAAAAAAAAGACATATATGTATTTAAATAATTGAAATCATGAGTCAGTTGAAGCTAGACCATCATGGAAAACCTGTTGTAAGCACTGGACGACCGTTTCGTCATACTGTGGGACTCCTCAGCAGTGCGCATCCACGATCCCGCCTCCCTCCTTGGTATTCGAACCCAGGATCTATTAGTGTTGCTCACAAGCACTTAACTATGAGACTACTGAACCGTCCGGCATCCAACGGTGATAATGTCTAACTTCAACTAATCCACGAAATTAAGCCACACATTCATCATTGTCTACAATGTGTTACACACATTAGTAGAGTGCATAACCCATAACTCTTAAAATAAGATGAAATATTTATTTGTTTGTATCAATCCACGTAAACGAACAAATTTAACTACTCATATTCGTCAATTACTAAACTGAAAAAAAATTTATTAGATAAATGACTTCATGAAAATTAACAAACAATAAAGATAATTTTTGTCATTTGAGAATAGATCAGTTTAAATGTAAGGTTGATTGTTTACAAGTGGATGAAGTTGATCCCTATTTCTACTGATACTGTTACTTAATATTAACCAGGGATAATATAGTGTTTTCCCTGTAATAATTCCTACTCAATTCTTCAATTTAGCCAAACCATACACAGATTGAAGGAAGATAACTCAACGCAAGAATGAGAAGAAAAAGACAGCAGATGATATATATATATATATATATATATATATATATATATGGACTGTAGTTGGGTATTTTACAGCTATGACAAATGGGTTGATACTAATCTTACTATACATGAGCCCGACCACCAACTTGAATGAAAGGGCTGAAAAAGATAATTGAAATTTATTGACTAAACCAAGTATACAGATACGTGTACTAATTCGTGTGTATATTATCTGTTCTTTAGAAAATTAAGCTTGATGTTATATCCCTCAGAAGTGAAAGCCAATTCTTGGTCAATCATATAAGCTTATCATTTGACCGGTTTTTTATTGGCTGAATATATCACTGAGACGTTTCCAAGTTTTACTGTTCCTTGATTAAACTTTATTAAGAAAATTAAATTTCGAAATGTAAACTTTACACTCAAAACATAACTGTAGATTTTTATTCATAGGAGACATGAAAACAAGTGATATCTCAATATATAATAACATAAATTTCAAATGATATACAATGTAATGTCATACATCATCAACTATGACATGCCCAATAATTTTTTCACTTAGTATTCATTCCATTATCACTAAAATTGTCAATTGTCTTTTGTATTTAAAACTTAAACTCTCATTACTCAAATTATGCAATAAATAATATCAAAATCAGTGATAATATTCAATAGTTGAGTTCATGAGCCAATTAAAGATAGACCACCATTGAAAATCTGGAAGTACTGGACGGCTATTTCATCCTAGTATGGAACTCCTCAGCAATGCGCATCCACGATCACACTCGCAGCCCAGTGGTCTAGAGGTTAAGCTCTCGCGAGCGGAATTGTGGGTGCACACTGTTGAGGAGTCCCATATTAGGATGAAACGGCCGTCCAGTGCTTCCAGACTTTCCATGGTGGTCCAGCTTTAATTGACTCATGAACTCAACTATTTAATTATTACAATCTTCAAAAAAACCGCTTCAGATAATAATGATAGTTAAACATACCTGTAAATTAAATCTATTGCATTTCTAATCATATATTGTAATATTGAATCATAACTGTTGATTTCTATATCACATATAGATAAGTCATTTTTTAAATTAACAAATATAGCTTCTAAATCATTGGTCTGATCCAAACATCCTGGCAAACTGATACATGGTATAAGATGAGGATTTAATAAACCATACTTTGCCCAACTTCGATGACTTTTATTACACTTTTCATCATATTTTTCATAGAATGGTGAATAGATCGGTCTTTTATAATTTGATAAACTAGTTTCTGTTTCATCATTCAACTTCGAACATAACTGCTCGATTTGTGTACTAAATTCATAATTTATATCATTATCATTAATAGATATTGATTCAGTTGAAATAATCTGTTTCTCTTCTTCTTTTTTCCCTTTTTCAGCCTCCTGGAGTGACATACTGGAAAGTTCATTTGTTAATAAAGTGGTTGGAAATGTTGATGTTGAGATGGTGGGTGGAGTAGAAAATGAATTCACTATAGACATAGTAGAAGTAGTAGTAGCCATGACCGTATCAATGCGTGAGTTCGGTAAAGAGAGTACGGAAGAAGATAGAATAGGCATAGAAGTTAAAGAAGATCCATATACTAACGAATCAGATAAAGAAGTAAATACTGAAGTAGTGGAATAATTTGATGAAGTATAATTGTTCGAATTATATTGAGTAGATGTTGAAAAAGTGTTGAATGATTGTGTCGAAAAAGAATTATTGGTTATAGATGTGGTTGGTATAGACGAAGATGTAATCGAGTTAGAATAACATGAAGAATAACTGAAAGATGTTGTTAATGTTGAACAAGATACAGAAGGAGAAGAAGTTGAATTGATTGAAAATCCACTTTCATTACAAATACGTTGAGACACAACAGATGAGGATGTATTTGTCATTTTTTTCAAAGAATGTTTGTTTAAATGTAAAATAGACTGTCTGGTGATTTTTGAATCAAGGAAAAGACTTCCAGCTGGTCCAAATAGAAGGTATGAAATTGGAACTAAAAGACCTAATGAAGACGGTTTCATTAAATAATAATCAATGGATTTCGATAAATTATTAAATAACCATTCTGAACATAAATCTTTAGGTAATAATGGACTAAAATATCGTTTGATCTCTTGACATAAAAACAACACTGATTGCAAAATGTTACTGATTTGATTTTTTGAATTGAGATGAATCGATTCACTTATCACTGAAATATAAAAAAAACACTTCATTTTCATTAAGAGATAAAACAATCTTACGTAATCTGTTCCGTAAATACACAAAATAAAGTTTTATGTACGCTATTGTATAGTTGGAGGTAGTCAACAGGAAACCCAGTTGACTACCTCAACCATCATCTAATCTCAACATAGTGTACGCAATGTCAAGTCATCTAGACTAGTGGTCATATTGCAACTTGGTTGATAGCATTCGATCTGCACTAAGAAGGTTTTAACACACATCACATTGATCACTACCCAGTGATTAATCAATTGTGGCTATTGCATAGTATTTAGGATACATCATTTTAATACTTTTCAACATACTTCATTTGTTATATTTGTCAGTGCAAGTGTCACCTCTTCTATTGCTTAGAAAATTCCCTAAAATCTTTAGAAGTCAAACTGTTCAGATAACTTATCATTTCATGGTTTTCTAGGATTTTGATTATTGTCAATTTTCTTGAATTCAGTTCAACAAGAATCATTCAAATAGTTAATTAGCTATCGAAAATTGAAAGAGACCACATATATTCAGTGGTTTTAACAATATATCCGGTTAGCGACCATCTTGGTCTCAAACTATTTTATGTCCTCTGTCTTGACCAAAAAGTTTGATTTCTTTTAAAGGAAGTATTTGCTTTAGTGAGTTATGTTAATGAAGTCTCAATATAGTATATGAAATGTTGAATCCTTTAGACCATTATTCACATTACAAATATATCGATAAAATTCTTGAAACTTTAAAAAACCGAGTTGAATCCCTACCACATACAAAATAAAGCTATTCTCTAAACATGTTCATTACTACGAATGGATATTCAACTGGAAATTTCATGCTAAATATTGTCAATAAGTTACAACCAACCTTAACTAATCTTTTAAATATGAATATTATCTCAAGACGTTGGAGTGAGTTTTTAGCTGAGAGAGGAGGCTTATCTTGATGGAATCATTTTCTCTGAGTTTAGTGATTTAATCATGAAACTCTCTTTTTCTTTCCAGGAAACATTATCATCAGTACAAGTTTCAAAAGGAAGGTAGATATTTAAGACTTTACACATATAACTAACAAGTTGTTCTGTGATTCTGAATTTGAATCAGTTACATTCATAAACGACAGAACAAGCTCTTAGTCATGTAAGTGGAACTTTGACAGATAAGTATCATATTGACACATATATTATTTTACAGATTGAAATCACGAGTCAATTGAAGCTAAACCATCATCTAAAACCTGGGAGCAATGGACAGCCGTTTCGTCTTAGTATGAGACTCCTCAGCAGTGCGCATCCACGATCCTGCCCAACGCCAGGTCCGAACTCAGGACCCATCAGTCTCGCGCCAGGCGCTTAACCAACTAGACCACTGAGCTGGCCGGCATCCAACGGTGTTAATGTCCAACTTTAATCAATCCACGAAGTTGCGCCACCATACACCATTGTCTTCAGTGAGTTGATATCTCACAACAGACCTGGTTGAACTCCACTGGTAACGGTTTGTCACTAGAACTCCAGGAGTGTCTCTTGAAATCAGTCACTAGTGAGCAGATGATTATTATCAGAAGGGATTTTGTGGAGATTTTAGAAATTCCACTGAATGTATGCCATCTCAGTGGTCTAGTTGGTTAAGCGCCTGGTGTGAGTTGGAATCTGGTGGTTGGCAGGATCGTGGATGTGCACTGCTGAGGAGTCTCATGCTAGGACGAAACAGCCGTCTAGTGCTTCCAGATTTTCCATGGTGGTCTAGCTTCAATTGACTCATGATTTCAATCAATGAAATTTCTAAAACATCTCCACAAACCCCTTCAGTCATATATTATTAACTTTATTTCAATAAATCAAAAAACATTTTTTCTAAAAAAAGATGACCTACATAAAGGTGTCCATCTTGAATAAATATGTCTATTTATATTATCTGATACAATTGAACTATTCAATGGGATTTCATCAGTTGATTTGCATGGATAATAGTTTTTTAAATGGTATCCCATAGAATGCGAAATCTTATGCATGATTAACCAATCTACTTTTGTATTATTATAAGTACAACGTTCTTTCATTAAAGCACAATGCATGTACCATATTATCCAACTGAATCTCTTGAAGAGAAAAAAGAAACAATTATGTTGTAACCTCATCATAAATATTGTCTTTTTTAGAATAAATTGTACTTGATTATTAAAATTAAGAAAAATATTATTCTAGAATTAACTAAAGTCTGAAATTCAAACCATTGAATGCTAATGGCACAAAGGCTAAACTTTCACCGAGAAATCTGAAATTCCCGACTTCTTTCTCTGATGAGGTCGTGGATGCTCGCCGCTTATGGATAGTATGCTGAGATGAAACATATCTGATGGTTCCTGGTATTCAGTAGCTCTTCAACTAATTAATTGAAAAGTTCCTCCTGATTAACTGTTCACGTTGTTGCTTACTCTGATAATGGAATTTAGAAAACCCAGGGTTGTTTCTTTAGACAAGCTACATATAAATGATTGAAAATATTCAATCAATCAAAAAAGATATTTTAAGTTAAACAACTTTTGAAACGGAAAACTTTCATATGCAGTAACTAGATAGGATATTGTTCCTCAGTTAAAGTTGTCTAATTAATAGAAATCGGAACCTGAATCGTGTAACTTAAATCTATTATAACAACTCTGCACTAAATGGTTTAAATTTTGACCATTTGTTTTCATCTTCACATCTTGTTCTTACTATATAGATTTGGATCCAATAAATAATATATGGCATTCCTGTTAATAAAGCAATTTCCAATATCAAGAATTTATATCTTAAGAAAAAACAATGTGATGATGGCTAGAATTGGAATCCAAGGCAGGTTTCGTTCCATTTGGAATTCGTCAGTACCTGCATCATATGGTTTCGTCTTAAACAGAACTAAACGTTTGCTCTGGATTTCACTGCTAGCCATCATTCACGTCTGACTAAATACTTGTGATGTAATGGTAACTTTGAAACAATTCTCACAAGATACAAATAAGCCAAAAGAGTCTGGTCAGTTGGAAGTCACGACATTGATGGGAAGATTCAAGCAATTATTACAAAGATCTAATAACGATTTCCATTAACGAAATAATAAAGTTGAAATAAGTTATGCACCAGGTCTCATCTTCTCTGATGGCTTCATCACCAGTCTGTAGAATGTGGTACATCAACCAGTAATAATCAGGTTTCATTTATACATGAGACACATGGCTGATAATTTTACTATTTGTTAAAACAATTTAGGCCTTAATCGCATCTTAAATAAATTCGATAGTTATCATCAGTCAACCAAATTCATACTGGAAGTAAAAGTGACTGTGGAATTTCGTTTCCGTGTTATCCTGTGGAAAAGATCAAATAGTTTCTTACAGGGATTTATATGTAAAAAAAAAACAGACATGGAATGATTAGCACATTAATTTACAAAGTTAGGTGCCATTAAATTGATCATAAAACTTAATTCATTCCTTATCCTTGAGGATTAGGCAGACACGCTCTAATGATACTATAGATGAAAGAGTTTAAACAAACAAAAACAAAAGTACTTCAATTACCTCAACTAACATTCCACTTATTCTTGACAATGCATGACACATCATTGATTGACAAAGTAAACTTATTGGACTAAAACCATAAATATTTTGTTCATAGAGAAATCCATCGATATTCATCTCTTTTACAAATAATAAACAAGGGTCTGTTAAACTGATATATGCAAATTGATACGTTAAACTATTTAGTGTTGTTGAGAAGTGTAGTTGATGATTATGATCCAAAGATGTTAAGATTGGAATAAAATTATATTTTGCTTTAGAGTAATTATTATGATTAAGATTACAAGTAGTTAATTGATTACGTAATTCTTGATTCCATATTCTTTGTGCTTTTTGAGTTATTGAATGAAAGAAAATCAATAAACAATAATGATTAATAATTAAATAAAGCAGATTCATAGTTCGAACCACAAAATGATATTCATTCAACCTTAGTAACCAGTTAATCTGACTTCACTCTGAAAGAACATACTAATATATTATAAACATAAGTCTTCTATTTTAATTCCGTATGTTACACCTAAGCTAATCCCGTTAGTGTAATGGCAGTAATAAGATGGCAAATAAGGGTTCAATTGGTTGTATTTATCTCCGGCCCTCATTTATTATTCAGGTAAACATTGAAAATGACAAGCTGAAAAGTGATGAGAAGTAGAGGATGCGAACATGCCAACCCGATTTGATAAAGTGTGACTAAATATTTATAGTCAGACAAAAATAAGCCATAGACATGTAGTGACTAGTGTAAGCGATTAACTCGACCTCATATAAAAACATTCAATGTTAATAAGTGAATAATTGACAAGGTCGAAATGGGACTCAAGAAAGACAAATAAAGTGATCCATCAGGTAGCTAGAATAACATATGTGGGCTTGACAAGGTACTAGGCGCTAAAAAAAAACTGCCATTGAAAACCAGGATGTATTAAACGTCTGTCTCATCCTAGTAACGGACTCTTCAACAGTACTCAGCTACAAAACTATCATTACTTACTTACGCCTGTTACTCGCAATAGAGCATAGACCGCCGACCAGCATTACGAAACTATCATGTGCGATAAAAATAGTTACTATCTTCAAAAGTAATTCATAGAGCTCTGATGTGAAACCGTCACCAGTAGAGTTCAACAATGTTGGATGTAAGACAATCATTCACTTCAGGCAATGGAAAATCGCCACATAATATCGTGAACTGATCGACGTTAGATAATGTACATCATTGGATCCTGATTCAGTGTTCTAGAGGTTAAACGTTCGTGCAGGATATATTTGTGTTCTCAATTTGACTCCCTGAGTTTGGGTCGTGGGTGTACATTCCTAATGAGTCCCATGTTAGGAACAAACAGATGCCTAACGGTCTTTGGTTTAAAATGGTGGTTTAGTTGAGAAATAAAAATTCCACAATCTCCACAAAACCTCATATTCATATAACGAAAATTTGGTTAACAACAAACGTCGACATATCCATATTCTCTAGTATATTGGTTGGATTTCGGGTACTAGACATATGTTTTGTTCCACTTAAGATATATATATATATATATATATATATATATATATATATATATATATATATATATATTAAGAGAGAGATCGTCGAGTTTATTACTTTAACCACAAACTGACATTCTTAAAGAAACCACTGAAAACTTGAAAAAACTGAATATTTTAGTATTCCATTTATTAGCATTGGGCATCCACGACCTTACAAGACCTAATCTTATTGTCTTATTCCCCTTACAACATGCAATGCCATGTTTTGATGTATAAAGATCCTTCCTTGAGAAATAAAAGATCTATTGAACCCCTGTTTTCTGTCTTCTTACTTGAGTGTGGTTGCTGATCTGCCTAGTTGCGTAGATGTTTTATTATTATTATTATTATTATTATTATTATTATTATTATTATTATTATTATTATTGATAACTCCAACCATTATTATTTTGAACCCAAACCAGATGTAAACAAACCACAGCATGTCACCTTTCCCTCTGTTTATCGTTTATAAATGTGTCTAACGAGATGATTAATGTGTATCACTTCCATTTATTCATAGACGTATGATATTTGAAATTATATTAATATGCTTTTGACACAAATTAATATCAGATAGAGAGCCAATAAAAATTCCAAGAGTATTGGTTCGTTTGAAATCAAGAATTATCTAGTCTTACGCACGGGTTCGAATCTACACAAAATTCGAATGCATGCTTTCTGGTCATGTTGTGGTGTGTGCTACTGATGTTGACAGATATAGCTAGTATTTATCATCAATCGAAATTACATTGCCTAGCAGCGGAAGTTTAAGAAGATCGAAGAAAAAAGAACGAGAACAAAGAATGATTGGTGTAGAAATGAAAGAACAATGAGGTCCTAGACGATTGATCAACATTTTGAAAATGAAATATTCACTGTATGGTTCTCAGATTTTGTTAAGACGTTCTATAATTTAGTGTTAAAATCTATTCGATTGTCCTCATTTATGTTCTCCTTTACTACACTGTAATCAACATTTTATCATTATATTAACAACTCTATAGAAAATAGTTACACTTCAGTATTTTTATATCGTATACATATTTTAACGCAAATTCATTATTTCTTCTCAACTCATACTGTTTATGCCTAGTGTTTTCACTGAGACTGTTACTACCTCTACTACTCTGATATTTTTCTTGATTACTTCACCACTTAGTGTTTATGTGGTATGACAACTTAAACCAATGCACATATACACCAGGTTTTGCTTTGTTTCTGATCAACTAACTGAAGTTTATCATAGATAAATATGAAATGAGGAAGAACCCTCATTTTTTACACTGAACAATAAACGTACGACACTAAAAAATGAATAGGATAATTTTGACTTTATAGCTTCTTATGACTGAAGTTCTTGGTGTCACCCATCACAATGTGAAGAGATGTTATCAATGAGTTATTCAAATCGTGTTTACTTTTAGATAACTACACAGATCTGTGGTTTACTGCTTGTTTACCATTCAATATCAAACCATAAAGTGAAATCGATCCAATCAGACTAATGGTCAAACTATGAATTCATCGACAGAATTCTATCAAAAATAAGGATCTGTTAACATGAAACTTGATTATCTTCAGATCAAATGATCAATAATAGTATATTTGCTTACTTGTCGCTGTTTTGGAAATCAAATGTACATCTTCTAAAATGATAACATTATGCATCAAATTGATTTTTTTATCAAATATTTGTTTTGGATATTGATTATTAGTTTTTTGTGAATTAGAAATGATTCTATGTAGAAAATCATTTGATTGAATTCGAAATGAACTTGTACACTTTTTCCCCGTTTTATTATTATTATTATATGAACTAATTAATTGTTTAGATCGTTCTGAATTTTGACTTATAGCAATTGCAAGTTGTGATTTACCTGAACCAAATGGACCGGAAATTATTACTGGTCGACCAGATTGTATGAATAATGAACCAGTAAATAAATGAACTGTAAGCTATAATGAATAAATATATACATCAATAAGTGCATAAGAATAAGATTATTTAGACTGTTCTTATTTACACAGAAATAGAATATAAGATAGTTGTTAAGTAGTTGACTGTAATCGGTAACAGATCTGATAACTATCTTCTACCATCTGAAATCTCAGTTTTGTGAGGACGACTTATATTATTCAAACTAGTAACCGTTATTGTAACTCAGTCGATCGAATTTGACCAGAACTAGGAGATTAGACAAACGTGAAATTAATCACTATAGTGTGATCAATCAACTGTAAAAAAAAACGGCCCATTGAATATGTAAATCCTAGTGTTCTAATAGATTTATCATTAAAATGGTCACTTTTCATTTTAACATCATGTATTATCTAAATTTAATGTGGTCTATTAAAACAATGGTGAATCTACAATGTGACGAATGAAAAAGTAAGTTGACTGGTCGATTTTTGAATTCAGTCATGCAATTTTTAGATTGAATTCGTTACAGACTGATCTTTGCTGAGTGACTATTCAAAAACAGGGAGCACCGGACAGTTGTTTCGTCTCCTCGGTACGGCACATCCCCATGACCTCACTAGGAATTTTACATAAGACCGTCAGATCTCTCAGAGAATACAAACATTATGAGACAGTCAATTTCGGAGTAGGTTTCTTGATGACCTGAAGTTTTTGAAGTCCGATTATCAGTCCAGTGCCTAAAGTGCTAAGGTAGTGTCCTAGACATAGTACTCAGTGTCAAAATACTTGACGTACACTATACTACGTAAATTATTCACAAATAAGATATGGTTATTGATAAAAAAAATTCGTTAATAAAAATTAAAAAATTCATTGTCTTCATTGTCTCAAGGTTACATTAAAAGTACAGTTAAGAAATACATAACAGTATCTCGAGTAGATACATCTTACTCTATGGTATTTTAAGGAACTATTTAGAAACCAGCTTACATAAGCCGATTAGGCGGTTCGGTATTTATAAACTTTTAATAAAACTGTGTCCCCGTGTTTTCTGTAATCGATTACATATCTTATGACCCACAAAAATATCTTCACAGAAATGAGTAAATCACACGTCAATACAACAAATCTCTTAGCTAATTCTGAACACATCGATAAAAGAGTTAGTAACAAGGAAATATAATTTGCAAATAGGTGAAACACAGAAGACTTAGAAAATCTATTCTATAGATTACATTTATCAATATCCCCATACAAATTAAGATAGTATAGTCATGATCAGTGAATCTTCCTCAAAATGTCCAAATTACAAATAGCACAGATTTTAACTGATTTCAACTTTTCATTCATCATAAAGTATTTTTTACATTACCAAGTAATCATTAAATCATGAAAACATAATACGATTGTTTCAGTGCTAACAGTTCAAACGAGTTTCCGAAAAATCTAAATTAAAGCTTACTTTTGTAAGCAATGATGGATAGTGGCTAGCAGTGGAATCCAGGACGCGCATTTCGTCCTATTTGGGACTCGTCAGCTGGATGTATCTGCATCTCAGAGTTGATGTTCACTCTGGGACAAGGCAATATCGAGGCATACGCACAGTATGCACATATGCCGATAACAGACTGATCAATTGCAGTCTTAAACCTCAATGGGAAGATATAAGCCAAATAATACCAAGTGAATTAAAGCTTACTTGCCATTAATTATCAAGTTTAAGAATCACCAGTTTATTCTTGATAAACGTTGACAGTTATGTAACAATTTTCATTGGTTACTATGATACAATTACACCTAATCAATCTAATGGTACTTACTTTAATAAAAGTGTAGTATAAAGGTTAACTTGAGCAATTCTTCAAATGATAGAGTAATATCAGAGCCACTTTTTAACCAATTCATAGAAGATATGTCTAGATCAAAAGTATTTCTTGAAAAAACTGTTCGAGCTCTATTTTTAGAGAAATATCCTTATTACCATATCAATCTAAAGACATTAGACGTTGAAACTCTTATCTATTTTAACATTCTTACTTCCAATATAAAATTTTGAAGATGCCACAAGTATTTGAAGTTTGACAATGCTTTAACCAGTAACACTTACTATGAATCATACCCATCTAACAAAATCAAAAGTCAAAAGCGAAGAGGTTCAAAGATACATTTGATAGGCTATCAATATATCGAGAATCGACTGAACTAGACTAGCTAACGATTGTAAAAGATGTTGAACATGGCGTTCCCACTTATGATCTAGTGTGGATGCACAACCGAACGCCTTCAGTTAAGTGAGTCCATTAAAACTAATGTAGTCAACATCCAATATCAAAGACTAACAGAGCTATTGACTTCGAGGATTTATTTACCGATACAATATATTATTCGTAATAATATCTAATCATAGAACATTATCCTATTGAATATCTTTACATATTACTATGTAAATATAACTATCTTGAAAAAAGGAAATTCTAAAGATTTAGCAATGATTAATTATGAACTAATTCATTTACATGAAATAATGTTGGTAATAATGGTTTACTATGATAATTATTTCCCATTGGATGTATGATATCATATTCTTCTGGCCAATGTAATTGTAAATAATCTGTATACCAAAATGGTGTTAAATAACCAGTTCTTAAATCAATAAGACAATTAAATAAACTATATTGAAATTCTTTGATATTTTCATATTCATTTTCATGATGATTATTATCATTATTCCATTTCATACTTGTACAATAATTCATTTGATTTGTATAATAGGATTCAATAGATAATGTGAATGATGAATTGTCTGTTGAATGAATATTCAATGAATTAGGTAATCTAATAAAATCCTTTAATATTCTTAACATGATTGTTTCAAATCTAAAATATCATAATAAGAATAATGATGAATTGTATAGTTAAAATGAATGAAAGATTTTTAAGTATATAGAACAACATAGATATAAGTGAACAATATTGTTTTCGATTAGATCTTTATCAGGCTGTGGTATGGGTTGCTTATATCCATATAGATATTGGTACAAAGAGGCACCAAATCTATATGCGCCACACAAATCTCATTCGATATGTATGAGGGCTGTGATACTGCTTGGGTGCCCAAACCGAAGCAGGTGGTTATCTTACGGGGCCACACCCCAAGCCTTCGATCTGAAGGTCTAATCCACAAGACAGTGGAGCATCATAAGGAGATGCAGTCCCATGGTAACCAGTGACCAATAATTGGTTCATACATCATTTGTTCCCGCAGGATACTGGAGCCCATGTGTACCATTGGTTTGGAATCAGGGTTTTCCAACTTCCCTAGATGGATCCTCCGTGTCCATCAACCCGGTTAAAGCGCCTAGCACTCGCTTTTCGTCTTCTCAATTTCGTAAACAACACTCCCGCCACGAGAAGGCAGTGAGTAGGACTTCTCTAGCAGAGGCTATACACGCGTAGCCATGTGAGAGCATTTGGAGAGGAAGAGCGGACTCTCCCCACTCTCGGCCATACCAGGGCATTCGGGGGCTATATATAACGGTGGTCAGGCATAGAATGTATTTCAGTAGAAGATCGTGAAGGAAAGAATGGAAACGGAACGCAATTAGTATGAAAATGCATGAACAATGAAATCTGAGACAATTGAGCAGTGAAGTTTGAGACGATGGATCGATTGACCACTGCTGGGAGTCTTATATTAGGACGAAATAGCTATCCAGTGCTTCCAGGTTCTCAATGATGGTCTAGCGCAGATTGATTCATGAATTCAACCACTAAAATTATTACAATCTTCACAAACCCCATTCTAATTTTATGGTTATAAATTTGTGGACTGTTGAAACTCACTCAACAGGTAGATTAATAGCACTTCAGGTGACTTTTGCATGACTATTTTTCATCCGTTTTAATATCTTTCTTAAACAGCTTTTTACGTGTTATTTTCATTTGTTTGACGATTTTTAATTGATTTCGTCCAGTCCATCATGGATTCAATTAATAACTTCCTATCTCGTTATCATGCAAAACTGTTATTATAGTTCTTAAACATAGAGAACTATCTTTAATATCCGTATCAATAATAGGAGAAAGATTAAATGTAGAAAAAATAAAATAAAGGTAAGAGATTACAGAGTCATGTTCAAAGGCGAGACAAAGTATGGGTGTATCTGCTTCATTGTGAACGATTCTCAGTTATGTTACCAATCGGTTGCCATAATCACGGGAATCTCAACCAGGTATTTTGCACACACCTAATTGGGTCATTCCAATAGTCAGAGAATTTATGGACTGATGCCACACTTCCTTCGGTCAGCGCTGGCTTTTAATGGCTATGAATGCACGACATGATAGGCACTGGTCGTATATAAATAACATAACTAACATTTCCTGACCGTAGCTACTACCTTGACGTGGTGGTTGGGCTTGCCTATCGTGATGACCCAACCGAGCTATATTGGCTGAAACATATGTTCCTGAAGGTTCTACCATGCCAGGCAGGTCGATTGGAGAACGGTAAGACCAAAAGCAGAGACCCAAGGTCTGAGGGCGAAGCTGTACTACTGACTTTACAGGGGTGTGACAGAGGTAAGGTGTTTTCCTTGGACAACCAGCATCTACAGCGATGTGGTCTTCTCACAAGGAAGGAATGGGTTAGAAAAGGTTTACCCTGAATGGCAAGTTAATGTAGGTCCTTCGACTCTTTACGAAGTTGAAAAAGTTATAGGAGCTCTGAAGCAAGGGAGAACAGCAGGCCCTAGCAGGTTTACTCTTGAGATTTTTAAGGATGGTGGTTCAGTATTAGCAGTGAGATCGACTGTGGTCTTAGGTAGAATTTGGGAACTGGACGTAATCCCATCTGACTGGTCTCAATCACTGATTGTGCCAGTCTATAAGAAAGGACAAAAGTCCTCTTGTGACAATCATAGAGGAATCAGTTTGACTAATATAGTGTCTAAAATATTAGCTTCAATAATACTTCGACGCCTAACTAAAGCTCGTGGAAAGCAGATTAGAGGAAAGCACATTAGAGGAAACCAGATATTTGTTATATCTTGAAAAAGCTGATTTTCTTGATACAACCGCGTATAACTGAGCACTGGAACACCAAACCCTTCCAAGTCGCAATAAGAAGACAGAAGACTAACGAAAGGAATATTATTCCAAACAGTGTCAAACATAGTACAAAATTATCAGGTATTTATAGTTTTTAGTGGGAACGAAATCATCATTACAATCTTCCAATCCGCGTACAGGGGTTATTAGCATTATCCAATGGGGAAGCTACACGTTGGAATTCTAGAACATTCTTCCGACAGGTGATTGGATGGAACGTCTTCGGCTCCTTATGAGCCTCTTACAGCTTCCTCGAGTTCACCGGTGGTCCGTCGTCACACCTCCCCCCTTTAAAGTCCGTTGTGTAAGATTTTTTTCTTGGATCCACCTGAAGCTTGGGTGTCGCATTCCTCTTGCGCTCCATTACTCTCGAGGGTTGTACAGCTTTCTCTCTGCGTCGTTTGTCTTTTCGATATTTGCGCTCATGATGGTTCTTCGGGGATGAATCTACGAGCAATTGAAATGGAAGCCGGTTTTCTGTGACCACTGTACTATCATTTCTTTGCATTTGATTTATATGTCTTATGCATTTCCCGACATCTTTCCGGACTAGGTACAACACATTTCCGATTCGACGTTCTATGACACCTGGTTCCCACTTCTTATTACCTTGGTACGATCTGACAAGTACCTTCTCACCCACCTGGAAGCTACGATTGACCTTACGATTTTCATTCGTGGGTTTATTTGTCTTTCTGGGCGGCAACATACTGTTAAAAACTGTCCGGATTTTTCTTCCGAACATACACTCGGCCGGAGACTTTCCTTCTGGTACTGCCGGATTAGGGGTAACTCTGTAAGACATCAAGAACTTATTAATCACTTGTTCCGGGACACCCTCACCTCCCCCTTTGACCAGAGCTCTTTTAATTGTATCCACGAATCTTTCTGCCTGGCCATTCGACTGAGGATGGTATGGAGGAGATTGTAGATGCAATATGCCATTCTCGTTGCAGAAGCGTTTGAAGGCGGATGACATGAACTGAGTACCATTGTCGGTCACTAAGATCTCTGGAACCCCAAAACAGGCAAACAATCCTGACAATCTTCTTATGGTACTCTCTGAAGTCGTATTCGGCATGTCATAAACTTCCGGCCATTTTGTGAAAGCATCTACAACAACTAAGTAATTCCTGCCTTGTATCGGTCCGGCGAAATCAGCATGTATTCTTTGCCAAGGCCCGTCCGGTTTAGGCCATGGTTGTGGCTCAGCTCTCGTTGGGTTCTTTGCAGCCTCTTGACAAGACCAACAGCTGCGACATTTTTGCTCTATCTCATGGTCCATTGACGGCCAGTAAGCATAGCTACGAGCTAGTGACTTCATTTTACTTATCCCTGGATGCCCGCTGTGGAACTGTTTAATGGCTTGGTGTCGAAGATTTCTGGGGATAACGATACGATGGCCAAACATTATACATGAATCGACAACTGTTAATGACTCTCGTCGACGAAAGTATTGTAAGAGTTCTCCGTGTAATCTAGATGAAGGCCATTTATTGAGTATGCAATGGCGAACAATCTTTAATACATTATCCTTCTTGCTGGCCTCTTTAATGGCTTCAAATGTGACCGGGAGTCCGGAAACTGCGTCTGACAATATTTTGTGAACCTCGGCCTCGACATCTATAGCAGCTACAAGCACCTCTTCTTCTTGTTTTTCATGCAGACCAATCAATCTTGAGAGTGCATCTGCCTGTCCGAAATCCGTTGTTGGTTGATACTTTATCTTAAAATCATAACCCAGCAGTGTGGTAGCCCATCTCTGTAGCCGGTTTGCTGTATATACCGGGATGCCTTTTTTAGATCCAAAAACTGTCAGTAAAGGTTTATGGTCTGTAAGTAAGGTGAACTGCCTACCAAACAACATCTTGTGGAACTTTTTTACAGCAAATATAATCGCGAGGGCTTCCTTCTCTATTTGACTGTAGTTTCTTTCAGTCATAGTCAGTGATCTCGCAGCGTGAGCGATTGCTTTCTCAGAACCGTCAGGGTAGGCATGTGAAATTACTGCTCCAATTCCGTAGTTCGACGCATCGGCTGCGACTATAATTGGAAGATCGGGATCATAGTGTGTAAGGAGAAGGTTCGATGACAGAAGCTGCTTCAGTTTTAGGAATGCTTCTTGACATTCAGTTGACCAGAACCATTTAGTATCCTTTTTCAATAAGCAATTAAGAGGAGCACGATGGCGATGCAGATCTGGCAGAAAAACTCCATAATGACTAACCATTCCCAGGAAAGAACGTAAAGTTGACACATCCGTGGGTGGAGGCATGGACTTAATGGCTTCGACATTTTCAGGATCAGGTTTTCTCCCGTTTTTATCAATTATGAATCCCAAATACCGGACTTGCTCCATGTAAAAATCACATTTTTCGGCACGCAGCCTGAATCCATAATCTGCTATGCGTCTGAGAACCGTATCCACCTTATTCTCTAAATCAGCATAGTCTGTACCCATGATCAATATATCATCGAGATAAGCCGCGGTACCAGGAATGTCTTGTAACATAGTGTCCATAACTTGTTGGAAGATTGAAGGGGCGGTCTTTACTCCAAAAGGAAGTCGGTTATATCGGAACAATCCCTTGTGAGTGTTTATTGTCAAGTAATGCTTACACTCATCCGCTACCGGAATCTGTAGATAAGCGTCTGATAGGTCTAATTTCGCAAAATACTTACCCCCATTCAGTTTCGCAAATAAATCCTCTGGTACCGGCAATGGGTATTGATGGGCTTCAAGCGCTTCATTTAATCCAGTTGAATAATCTGCACATAACCGGATACTTCCATTAGGCTTTTTAACAATCACTATTGGAGCTGCCCAATCAGAGAAGTTTACTGGTTCGATTATTCCACTTCTTTGCAGACGCTCTAATTCTTGTTCAACAATAGGTAGCGCTGCATAAGGTACCGGACGTTTTGGTCTGAAGACGGGGGTGACTCCCGGTTTAAGAATCAATAGTGCTTTAACCTTTTTGCATTCCCCCAACTCTTCCATAAACACTTGACTGTGTCTTTCCAATACAACACTCTTCAGATCCTTTTCCACCGGTTTACTGGTTCTCACTGCGCTGCATATGTGGTTAATGGGGTGATTTGCTAATTGAAGTGCTTCTATCAAGTCTAGACCTAGCAAATCTAGTCCTGGATTCTGTGTAAGATATAAAGTTGCATTCGTTTTCGCATTTCCTTTCGAGACTGTACAACAAACCTCTCCAACAATATTTAGTTTTCCTCCAGATGCGCTGTGAGCTAACTGGGTCGTTGGGAGCACCTGTGGTTTACCGATAAGATTCCAAGTTCTCCGACTAATAAGTGTGATGTCAGAAGCGGTGTCGAGTTGCAGGCGGGCACGCTTTTTATTTATATCCAAGTTACATACTTTCTTTGGCGGCAAATTCGTGCTCGATTATGTGATACCAATATTTTGTTAGTTCGAGCACTAAATCTGTATTTCTTCGAGTAGGGTTTCAAAGAATGTCGTTTATGGGTTCTTTTTCTGCAGCAGTTTTCTTTATGTCCCTTGCGATGACACTTGCTACAACAATGTTCTTTATATGGGCAGAACCTTTTATAATGCCAACCACCGCAAGACCAACATGGAGATGAAGGCTGATTATCTGTGTGCGATACCTTTCTTGAGCGAGAATCGTTCTTTCCGCTTACAGCACGAACGTATGGCAACTGGCCATTATTTTCGACCATCGAAGTGTCATGCTTTAGGTTTACCAATCTCTGGCACTCTGCGGTTACTTCTTGTAGTGTCATATTCGGACATTGTTCAATTTTACTCAAAATTCTAGTTCTAATATCGGCATCTTCGGGAGATTGGAGGCTGCACACAAATACGAGACACTTAAACTGGTCTTCTGTCATTGCTGATAGTTTGAAGCGCTCACATTCACGGTTTACTAGACCCGCATGCTTCACCCAGTCATCATCACCTGCTTTTGTCATCTTGAGACATTGATAACGAATATTAAACAAGGATGACTGTTCAGCAAAGATTTGCGACAAAATTTCAATCGTTGCATCGAAAGAAAAATCTCTTGGATTCTTTGGAAGGATAAAGTTACTGTAACGTTCATGTTCAACAGTTCCAAGTTTTCGCAAGAGTATTCTGACCTTAGCGGCGTCATCAAGTTTTTTGAGGTCGACCTTGAACAAATCTTCATATTTCTTGAACCAAGTTTCAAAAGTAATGCCAGCTGAACCATCAAAATTAAATTCATGGATAGAATTAACAATCTGGTCAACATGAGATTTGAAGGGATCATCTGTAACTTCTTTTTGATCCAGGTTCATTTTCTGAGTTAGCATCTCTAGCATGCGCATCTGGAACTTTTCTTGACGTTCCAATAAGGCTTCAAATTGTTCCAAGGTAAATGACATATTGATACAATAACCCGTCGCCAGATGTTATATCTTGAAAAAGCTGATTTTCTTGATACAACCGCGTATAACTGAGCACTGGAACACCAAACCCTTCCAAGTCGCAATAAGAAGACAGAAGACTAACGAAAGGAATATTATTCCAAACAGTGTCAAACATAGTACAAAATTATCAGGTATTTATAGTTTTTAGTGGGAACGAAATCATCATTACAATCTTCCAATCCGCGTACAGGGTGTTATTAGCATTATCCAATGGGGAAGCTACACGTTGGAATTCTAGAACATTCTTCCGACAGGTGATTGGATGGAACGTCTTCGGCTCCTTATGAGCCTCTTACAGCTTCCTCGAGTTCACCGGTGGTCCATCGTCACAATATTCATACTACGTCAGGTCTTAGAACATAGACACACGTTCAGACGCCTCACAATCGTAGTATTTCTCGACCTTAAAGCAGCATTCGACTCTGTTGATCGTAAGGTTCTATGGCAGTGTTTGTCACTGAAAGGAGTATCAAAGAAGTACATTAACCTTGTAAAGGCTCTCTACTCCAACATAACTGGTAGAGTGAGAGCGAACTGTCATCAGAATTCATTACCTCAAGTGGTGTTCGTCAGGGCTGTCCACTCTCCCATTCTTGTTCAACTTTGTCAATGACGTACTTTTAGAGATAACACATTCCTCATCTAAATTTCCAAGGGTTGAACTTATACCAGGAGATCCACTTGTTGACTTAAAACATGCCAATGACATAGCTCTATTTGGTGAAGACGCTAACAAAATGCAGTCTTTTGACCACTATGAGCAACAATGCAAGCATGTTCGGGATGCGATTCTCCTCCTCAAAATGCAAAATCTCACTTCAGGATTGGGTTGTATCGACACCTGAACTAATGATAGGGTGTGAATTAGTTGGGCGTGTCGGCCAAAATTCATGAACAGTATTTCGAAGACACCAATCATCGAATATAAGTAACCTAAAATATCATCCGTTCTTAATATCCAAGTATCATACCTGTAAATTTGGACAGATTGAACTGCTGAGCAATACACTCATCGTTTATTTGAAAGACGAATATCTCATCTACGACACAGGTGGCATACGTTAACAGAATTTGAATGATTTACTAAAAAAATATACGATAGAATAACTAAATTATTTTACCGTGATTTTAATCTTGGATCACCGGCTAATCCACCACCAATACCCCAAATAAATGAGAATAAAAATAAATTTCTTATCAAGATTTCATAAAATACTGGTTGTTCTTCAATGTTTCGCCATTCGGACCAATAATAATCAATTAATGTAAGATTTGATTGATAAATAGATGCTGAATTAAAAATAAAGAAATGAATTTGTTTACTATAGTAAGAGTGATTTCATTTATTATACATGTGTGAAGTATGAATAAATAAAACTCAAACTTTAGGTTAGTTAGTTAGTTAGTTATTGCATCCATTGAGTATTCAGACCTCAATGATCGAGTTATGCGCGAAATCATGTAATCACAAATCGAAATACTTCTATGGAAGTAAATAACAAACTCAACAATGTTTACAAACCTAGAATGGTAAGATCTCCATGAATTGGTAACGGTTTAAAGGTCTAGTCAGTAGGAAAATGTATACAACCTAGTACATCAACTTCATTGACTACGAAAAGGCATTTGATAGCGTGGACAGAACAACACTATGGAAACTTCTTCGACACTACGGCGTGCCTCAGAAGATAGTCAATATCATACAGAACTCATATGATGGATTACACTGCAAAATCGTGCATGGAGGACAGTTGACAAAGTCGTTCGAAGTGAAGACCGGTGTTAGGCAAGGTTGCTTACTCTCACCCTTTCTCTTTCTCCTGGTGATCGACTGGATCATGAAGATGTCAACGTCTGAAGGGAAGCACGGGATACAATGGACATCTAGGATGAAGTTGGATGATCTAGACTTCGCAGATGATCTGGCCCTTCTATTCCAAACGCAACAACAAATGCGGGAGAAGAAGAACAGTGTGGCAGCAGCCTCAGCAGCAGTAGGTCTCAATATATACAAAGGGAAAAGCAGGATTCTCCGATACAACATAGAATGCACCAATCCAATCACAATTGACGGAGAAGATTTGGAAGATGTAAAAACCTTTACATATTTGGGCAGCATCATTGATGAACACGATGGTGGATCTGATGCAGATGTGAAGGCGCGGATCAGCAAAGCAAGAGCAGGATATTTACAACTGCGGAACATCTGGAATTCAAAGCAACTGTCAACCAACACCAAGGTCAGGATTTTCGATACAAATGTCAAGACAGTTCTACTGTATGGGGCAGAAACCTGGAGAACTACAAAAGCCATCATCCAGAAAATACAGGTGTTTATCAACAATTGTCTACGCAAAATACTTCAGATCCATTGGCCGGACACTTCTAGCAACAACGTACTGTGGGAGAGAACAAACCAGATCTCAGCGAAGGAAGAAATCAGGAAGAGTCGCTGGAAGTGGATAGGACACATATTGAGGAAACCATCCAACTGTGTCACAAATCAAACTCTCACATGGAGTCCTGAAGGCCAAAGGAGGAGAGGAAGACAAAAGAACACATTACGCCGAGAAATGGAAATAAACATGAGAAAAATGAACAAGAATTGGATGGAACTAGAAAAGAAGGCCCAGGACAGAGTGGGTTGGAGAATGCTGGTGGGCGGCCTATGCTCAATTGGGAGTAACAGGCGTAAGTAAGTAAGTAAGTACAATGAGCAGAACTTATATTTATTGAATTATATTATTTTATTTATGAAGTATGTTTATTTATTGTCAGTTTTTCAATTAATGAATTGATTTTTTAATGAACAAGAACACAAGTAGGGACAATCGAATGGATTTGAACACTAAATGACAGAACATCTTAGTAAAATCTGAGTACCACACACTAAATACTTCATTTGCAAAATGTCGATCAATCGTCAAAGGCTTCATTGTCCTTTCGTTTCCAAACCAATCGCTCTTTGCTAGGCATTTTACTGTCGATCGATGATGCATACTACTTATATCTATCGACATCAGTAGCACACACCACAATTGGACTGAATACATTTACTCATTTGATTAAATACCATTTGGGCATTATAACTGATGTCGGTTCGTGATGTAAACATTAAATCTAATTACTAACCTTAGCGTCCAACTGTAAATCTTTCTCATCATTCCTCATATTAATCTATAACCCTAAATTAATACTCGTAAGTAGGTGGACATTCTAAGATCATTTTAACGTTGTTCAACAGTCGTCTATTTATGGCAGTCTTACATCGATTGCCTATGATTTTTATGTTATGAAGAAATTCTGGAGGGTATATTCCTTTCTTCTTAAAAATCTATATCGACAGCTGTTTTATGTAGAATCATAAAATTTGAGAAAAATGATAAAACAAAAGTTAATACCAAAACTAAGTTCAAACCACTTTATTTTAATGTAAAGGAGTGTGAGGCAACTCTTTTCCATTTCGCACTTCTACATTGATCATTCTTATTATCTGATCTGTCATCTGGCATCCCACGATGAACTGAAAGAAGACGTTCGGCTGTCTGTCTGTCAACTACATCACCTTACTAGATAAATAGTTCGAGAAACTGCAAGTAATTTACGAACTCTCCAAGTTTAAAGTCTGGAAATTTCTGGGATATTTTATACTGTAATTGAATGTATGGAGATGTTCAAGCCTTGTTCTAGTTTAAGAAGGAACGATTGTGTTAAATACTTCATCCTTTAATGAAAAAAATCTTGTTTTTCATAAAGCGATGGTTACCAAGAATATAAAACAGAATAAATCTCAGAATTCTTTTAAAAATTGACTTGAATAACTTCTCTTTCCAGATTTTACCTTAGCGCTTGTTTTCAGTAACATTGATTGTCACAAATGTTTTATTATGGTATAGTGAACGAGATCACAAGTGGGGACAACCAAATGTATTTGAATACAAAATTACGGAACAACTTGCAAAATATCAATCAATTGTATCAAACTTGACTGTTCCTTTTGCAAATATCAGTCAATCGTCTCAAACTTCATTTTCCCATCGTTTCTCCTCACCAATCATTCTTTGTTCTCATTCTCTTTACTTTGATCTTCTTAACCTTCTACCATTAGGCATTTCACTTTCAATTGGTGGTACATACTACTTATATCTATCGACATCAGTAGCACATCACAGTAGTACTATTTACCTTCCTTATTGTCACAAACCAGTTAAAAATAAGAAAGATATTTTATTTAAACATTATTAACAGATGCCTTAAAAAAGGTTATCACAACGTACATGGTTTTATGCCATCTTTACGTAATTCCCATAATTCTCTTGGAAAGTATTTGTTCAATAGTTCAGACATCAAAGCTAAAGAGTTTTTAATACTTTGTTGATAAAATGCATTCTTATAAGATGTTATATTTAAAAAGCCTTTGTCTTTGTGACACCATTGATTCATTAACTCCCAAATTTGATCTAATATTGTTGGGATATGATTGTCTAGTTCATTAAGAATTTTATCCCATCTGAAAGTATTTTAGAAGAAAAATATATATAAGTTTAATGAAGTTAAATTTAATCAAAAATACTAATAACCGTTTAAATATTTTGATTGTACAATTGAACTAATCATGACAAAAACAAAATAATCGGTTTGACTCATGTCTAAACAGAGGTTATTTTATAAACTTTTGAGTATGTAACTTTTATCATGCTCATATTACTCTTTATTCTCAATAATGAACTTCTCCTATGTTTGTTTCTTTTACCTTAAACATTCCTAGAAATCCTTGAAATTTAAACTCTTCAACTTGTCATTCAGTAACAACGTAGAACCTCGTACGTAAGTACATGAGTTCAAGTTGCCATACCACATTAGTACACAAATGCAGTTGTCGAATCAACTCCCATAGTTGTGGAGGTAGTAAGAGTATAAGAAATAATCGGAAAGATTAGGGTTTGAAGATGTTATTCAACGAGTATAATCCAGTGAAATAAATTTCGAAAGTGAAAAAAAAGAAAGGGACATGAAGAATTCAGAAGATAAGAATTTGGGAGAACACAAAGAGTGGATGTACGTGCTCCATTGCGAACGATTTTGAGCCATGTCATTCAAGGTCTCTAACCATTGGTTGATAGCATCTCCCGGATTGCAATCAGGTAGTTTACACCAACCAACTTGTAAATTATATCATATTGCAGTACTGTTCCAGAATGGTAATTTGTAAATACTTATTTTTCTCAAGGGATTGCCTTCATTGACAGCCTTCAACAACTAATGAAATTTCTGGGTGTTTCCAAAATTTTATCAAAATTTGACATTAAATAATTTACCTATCTGTTAATCTGATTACATCATTAACAAGAGTAAAAATATCACTATAAAATCTTTTTCGATGAATCTTTAAGGTTTCATCAATACACAAATCAATTATTAGGTTTGTTTATAAGTCAGTTAAGATATTCAGTCAAGAGATCTTATAATGTCAAAGAAACATAAGCATTCAAGTCTACTTATCTAATATTTGACAACATCTTTACACTTTTTAATGAAAAATAAAAGAAGAAACATCTTACATTACTCATTTAAATGTGATATAGTTTGATGAGAAATAGAATTTATGATTTTCATTACTACTAACATTTATCTAGTAATACATGAAAGTATTACAGAAATCGAATGCAAACTAAGCAAGACATAAAATTCATGTATAAATTATATCTAAGGATTAACCGAGTTGAATTAAAACTATGCAGCATTATCCATTGGTCGTTATGATAAGGTGAATACATTTCAATAGTTGAGACTATGAGTCAATTAAAGCTAGGCAACCATGCAAAACCTGGTATTAGGGGTAAATAAAGTAACGAATTAGTTAAATTCTCTATATATTGATGTATAATGTGCTCTTTTCATGATTGAAGTTGATAGTGTACTTTAAAAAATCAACTTCATATGATACATGAATATATATATCGGTTGTGGAGATCAGTGGATTTTATTAATATCACGAACAAGCCTAAATTAAACAAGCACTGAAAGCTTAAAAGCATGAGACAGCTATTCTGTTCTAATATGAGAATCCTCAACAGTATGAATCCATAACCCAACATTCTCGACCACTAAGCAGGAATTCGATGATATACTTCTCTAACTTGAACCAGTCCACAGTATTTCGCCACTATCTTTTTATTGTCTTCAATGGGTACGTTCCACACACATATAACGATTGAACTCCACTAAGTGCTTCAAGATTTTTAATAATCAGTTTGTGATCTCAATAAAATTTATAGAATATTGTCATAAAACTAAGAAAAAAATTGAATAGAACAAGTTACTCCTTGCTATATACTTATTTCTTCATCAAGCAGCTTACCGTTATACATTTTTATTTAGTTAAATCAATAAACAACAAGAATATCTAACAGTTTAGATTTTATCGGCAGTGTTTGTAGTATGGTCGCTTAATTGATTAATTATACATAAAAATGTGCCGTAATTGATCTTTGAATTTCCAGAAGCGAGAACCAGTATGTTTTAAATGGCGAAATACAGAAACGTTCCTACTGATTATAATAAAATACACAGTATAAACTAATTCTAAGCCAATTAGATTAATATCTCTAAGATAAAGTCGTTTGGACAACGTACATCTATATGTGACCATATTCAGTGAATTCGATAGGAATGTATTTGAGTTTTGATAATTGAGTTTATTCCGAACATATATCAACAAACGTATTAAAGAAACCCAAGATGAGTTATTCTTTTTCCCCTATCCAGTCTTTATGAAGTATCAACTTTAGAAATTACTGTGAAATGAAACTGAAGACATTGATTAACTATTGAGATTAGATGGTGGTTGGAGGTAGTCGACAGGAAACCTTGGACCCGTGTTTCGTGCTACTTGGCACTCGTCAGCAAGGTGTACTTTTTATCTTGAGGGGACTGGTGCTCCCTGGAGGATCCGATCTCGTGTCACCAAGCTTCACAGACAGAGACGTTACCACTGAGCTATCCGAGCCGCGACCGACCTTCTGTAGGACTGAGATGTAATCACAATTGATTGATCACTGGGTGGTGACTTGACACAGATGACATTGATCACCACCCAGTGATCAATCAATTGTGATTGATTAACTATTTATACACTGTTGGACGAGATAGTCAATTAATAGAACAATTACAACTTCAGAGTCAAACGCTAATTACCATTTCAAAATATATATGACCAATAAGATATATTTCGAATCGTTGTAACTATACCCTGATAAAATTTAAAAATTCTTAGTTTCTGTTTTTATAATCCTTTCAAGTCACAATCTTAATCATCATTAACGTAATGCATGGCAGAAATGGCTTTAGCCTAAATTGCTATACCATAACATCCCGACTGGATAAAATTACCAAAATAATTTATCTTGAGTGTTGTTAGAGGTATGAGGGCGGTTATCACTTCCCAGTTGTCCAGACCGTAGAAGGGTTTTTCTAGAGATACCTGAAAAGGAAATTGGATTAGAGGTGGTCTTAGTGACCTGAGGGCGTGACCGCAGTGTCCATGGGACAACTGCTTGAGGTCGGTCACACATGACATTTCTGTGGGTAATTTCCGTGTTAGATCCGTACTTGTTGAGACCTTACTGCCAAAGACGGAAATCTGTGGGATGAGGCGAGGTGTGCATTTCTAGGGTCGATCTTTTCTAACCTCTTCCTTCCTCGTGGGAAGACACCATCACTGTCATGCTGATTGTGTGGAGGAAACACCTTACTTCTGTCACACGTCTGTACAGTCAGCAGTATGACTTTGCCTTCAGACCTTGGGTTTGTTGCTTTTAGTCTTACCGCTCTTCAACTAACCTGTCTGGCATAGTAGGACCTTGAGGAACGATTGTTCCAGCCAATATAGCTCGGTTGCTTCATCACGATAGGCAAGCCCGACCACCACGTCAAGGTAGCAACAATGGTCGGGAAAATAATGTTATAACAATGATTGTGAAGAAGTTTAAACAAAATAAAAAGGTTTGATGATTGAATACTGTAACTAAAAATCTGAAGTGAATTTATTTAATTCTCTATGATCAATAATGGGCCATATCACCTAATGTCTTCAACCACTGATTACGATCATCACGTAGGTCTCAACCAGGCAGTTTACAGAAACTGAAATGTCTTAAATCAACAATGAATGAGTTCACTGACAAATACATCATGTTGGTAGATGCAAAATACTTCCTTTACTATATCCTTATATGCAATCTTTCATTTATATATTACCACCACTGAATTAACTACGTCTATGTATCTGGTGTTCATCTTGTTGTGCTAATAAGATATGACAACTTGAACCGATGCACATATGTGCCTGGTCCGACGTTGTACCTGACTGACTGACGACATCACATTTCAATTTCAATTTCCAACTATTACACTAAACATAATCACTTGATTCGAACATCTTAGACATATATGTCATTTTCAAATTAAAAAAGAAAATAAAGTAACCAAGTGTAATGAATATGCATTCAATTAAATGCATCCTCAAAATGAAATAAATTAGGAATAGCTTACACAGAATTTATAACTATATATGATAAATAACTTGTTTTACGCCAAATTCTCCATATATGTGACCAATTCAATTCATTATTAACTTCAGTTGACAATATTGAAAATTGATGAATTATACCTGGAGATAAATCATCTATTGTTGTCTTTTCTATGAATAATTTTCTTGTGACTAAAAATAATTATTGAACAATTAAAATTATGACAATGATTTCTTTTTAATTTCAATAATTAAGATCATGATTCAATTGAAGCTAGATCACCATGGAAAACCTAGAAGCACTAGACGGCCGTTTCGTCCTAATGCAGGACTCTTCAGCAGTACACATTCACAATCTCGCCTCACAAGATTCGAACCAGGACCTACAGGCTTTGTGCGCGCGAATGCTTAACCTCTAGACCATTGAGCCTGTATTCAACGATGTTAATGTCTAACTCCAACTCTAATTTAGTTAATCAATATGATGTCTTCAACAAAAATGTAGAATAAGAACAAAATGATCAGTTTTGAGAATAAGATTTCTAAATTCCTGCATGTAATTCAAATATCATGTATAATGTGAAGTAGAAATATCTCTGCTCAATATGCTTAAAATAACAAAAATTATTTCTTCTCCCCGTTTATAGAGTAAAAGTGATAGTGTACAGAGAGTAACTAATTATTAGTGTAATAGCATATAATTGTTTTTTGTTGATAAGCAGTACTCCAATTGATTGTTTTATACTGGCATATGTGCATCCTGAGATAATCGCCTCTATTTAGCTACTTTACTGATCATTTTTAGAACATTCGACTTATGGCTGCCTTATTAGATGATGTTTTTTTTATTTATTTTGTTATGATTAGCTTTATTCAATATTATATTTTTGGCACAATATAGAATTCTCTGCCCAAAGTATATCAGCACGTTTCCTTTTCTTATTTCTTGATGGTATTGAAGATAAATATTGAGTGATGGCTAGTTAAATGTTATCAGTACACGAATCGACATCTGATCAGTGTTCTTTTTTTTCAATACATATCGCCAGCAACCACAATGTTTCTGATTGTACTTTCTTGTAACTTGTACTTGTTAACTTTTCACAAACGCGGCTTAATAGCTAATGCAATTAATTGAAATAATTAACTCTTAAAACAAACATGAAAATAGATAACTTTTTGAAATATCTAGATGTCAGAAAAAAGGTAGTCCAGATATTCAGGCAGGCCACCTTGTTGTTGACGTTGAAAGCGAAAGATAATGAGTTCGGATCTGTATATGAATATCAAAAATTAGGATCAAGGTACATGTGGTTGGTGATTACCAAATAAGACAAAACACGAATCCTTAAATCCACTGCTTTGCCTTTTCGTCGTTTCTGCCTACGCTTCCACTGACTCTGGCCCAGATAAAGTGAAGGATTACTTTTACAGAAAGCTTTCTGAACTCCTTTATAAAGCTAAAAACTCAGATATAGTACTCGTAGCAAGTGACTTAAATGTACAGGTAGGTAGCTTAAATCAAGCAGAAAGACACTAAGGTGGATATTTTGGTATTCCAACTCAATGAAACAAATAAAATATACCATTATTGGTGAAATATCTCTACATCGAGTCAATCTACTCAGAATGCGCACATAACAACAGAGATTATCCTGATCACAAACTCCTTTATTTTTATTTTAACAAATGGATATTGGTACAAGGATGCACCAAATACATATGCGCCACGCAGATCTCATTTGATATGTAATACTGCTCGGGTGCCACAACCAAATCAGGTGGTTTTCTTAGGAGGCCACACCCGGGGCCTTCGACCCGAAGGTCTGATCCACAAGGCAGTGCAGTCCCATGGTAGCCGGTGGCCAACAACAGGTTCATATGCCATTTGTTCCCTCAAGATCCTGGAGCCCATGTGCAACATTGGTTTGGAATCAGGGTTTTCTAACTCCTCTAGGTGGATCCTTCATGTCCACCAACGCAGTCAGAGAAACGGACATTCGCGACTAGATGGTGGTCGAAGGTAGTCGACAGGAATCCCTAGATGCGGGTTTCGTGCTATTTGGCACTCGTCAGCAAGGTGTACCTGTAATCTTAAGTGAACTGGTGCTCCCTGGAGGATTCGATCTCGTGTCACCAAGCTTCACAGACAGAGACGTTACCACTGAACTATCCGAGCCACGACCGACCTCCTGTAGGACTGAGATGTAATCATAATCAATTGTGAAACGGACATTCGCTTTTCGTTCTCTCAATTTCGTAAACAACACTTCCACCACGAGAAGGCAATGGGTAGGACATCCCTGGCAATGGCTGTATACGCGTGACCATGTGAGAGCGTTTCAAGAGGGAGAGCAGACTCTTTCCACTCTCGACCGTATTAAAGCATTTAGGGGCTCACAAACTCTTACTAATAATTTAACATTTTACTTCATAAAAATAAGATTAACAATAAAGCATACAACTTACATTTAAAAGTTTTAGCCGCTTTCAATAAATTCAAAATGTTACCATTATTTAAAAATGTCAAGTGTTCAATAGACTGGTCACTTAAATCTAACAATATCCATTCTTCAAACATATCTGATATATCCACTTCTAATTTAGTAACATTATTATCATCATTTAAAAACAAACTTGTTAAATGTTCATTTGAATATGGAAATAAGTGTTTTAATGAAATTATTTTATTATATACATCAAATTGGTTTATATTGGAATGTGTTGTTGAAATAAGATTAAACTTATTAAGATATGAATTCAATTGATCTGGTATATTGAATATCTTCATATCAACATCATTATTTATTTCCTGATTGTTACTGTTTTCCTCATTTGAAACTGAAGATGAATTTAATTGTTTTGATAATGATGTTGGTGTTGATGATGACAATTCAGATGATGCCGATCCCGATGATGATGATGATGTTGATGATGTATGATGATGATCTGTATGTTGATAATAATGTTGAATCGGATAATGATGATAAATACTTATTCAACTGTTTACTCTTTGTACAATGATACCAATTGATTGTAGAAATAAGTATTTTTAAAATGGTACTTTTACCTGATCCAACTGAGCCAATAATTAAAATTGGACGATTTACATTTATTAGTTGCCATAATTCAATTATCTGAAAAAAAAATTTTTTTTCTTAGAAAATAAAGGAATTCACTTCAACAAATCGGCGGGTAAATGCAAATTACCTACACAAAAAAAACTTGTAAATACACGTTTAATATCAGATGGGTATTTTGTGGAGATTGTAGTAATTTCGATGGTTAAGATCATGAGTCAGTTGAAGCTAGACCACTATGAAAAACCTGGAAGCACTGGAGGGCCGTTTTGTTGTAACACATTCCACTTTTGTTGACTCTCATTTTTGATCATTGTTTGCTCTTCAAGTTTTGACACAGTTACTAGATCCCATATAGTTTACTGAAGATTTCTTGCTGGGACTATAATTTATGGACGAACCAAACAGGTATAAGATAACAGGTCGCGGATTTTCATCCATTTGGCTAAATAGATCTAATCCCTAACCTTAACCATAAACTGTTAATCATAATTCGAATTCCTTACACTAATTTATAACACTCATTTAGCCCTAGTTATCAAGTAGACACTCTTAAGGTCAGTCTAACGTTGCTCAAAGGTCGTCCAGAAATTAGTCTCACCGGTTCCTTCTTTGTACATGGATACGGTATTCATATTATATACCCTAAGAATTGATGTTTGTAAGTCATTCCATATAATTTTGTAATAATGGCATCGTATATGCTAATAGTATTACATTTGTAATCACCGAATTTTACGCGTCACTTAGACCACATTCTATAGTAATCTTTAAATGTCGAGTAGTCCACAGGTAGGATAGGAAGCTGAACGGTAAAATTACAGAAATTAATGAATCATTTTAGCTGAAACGCCTGTTCATTTTATTTTTAATTTGTGTATTTAATAGGAATCCAGTTATTTGAAATAAAGCGTTATTACATTCAACTTCAACCTTAACTCATTCATTTTGTTGGTCGTTGCATAAACTAACTAGTCCATAGGATATTAAGACAATACCTACATAATTTATGCTGTATTTTACAATCAAATTCACTAATGTAATTATTATAATTTGTGGTCTGTGTGACCTATTAATGCATAACGTAACGATACCGCCAATTAAACAGCAGTGAATTATCGATCGGACCAATGACGCATAAAACACGTGCGAGCAGTCTAGAGTCCTGATTGGTACTACTTTCTGCCTAGCCCAACCAGTTAAGTCCAAAACACCAATCTCAGCGTCTGCAATATGAATCATTCATTTAAAGCAAACTGGGTTTATATACCAACTAAACAGACCACATCGTACCATAAAATAGGAAACAACATTTATACTAGATTTGGTCAAATGTGGCTGTGAATGTGGGAGGTAGTAATTAATAGACAGGGCATCATTCAAGAATGGTAAATCGTATAATAATAGTTCATAGTTCAAAATAAGGCTCATAGTAAGAGAGACATGACTATGAATAGTTTAGTTATTTAACAATCATACGATAAAAATATACTCATAATATTGGTCCATAAATATATCCCAAAAGTTACCATTCATTATGCTTATCGGGGCATTACAGTAACAATCAAATACTGTTTAACTGTTCAGTAGCGATTACTTTTAGTAAGCTAATTCAAGTCTCATGTAACACATCAGTTCCATTGCGGATTTAGCTACACTTTGAGAAAATGTTCATGTGCATGAATTCTATGTTTTAAGCCTCGTGTTAATTTTCTTTACTAATTTCATGTTAGAAAGTACTCTCATTTTAATAATAAATTATTTCAGTATCAACTGTATGATAGGAACTGTAAAGTACCAGGTCAAGTGTAGTGACCAATTAAATCAAATTCACTCGATTGTTTTTGGTGGAGTTTTGTTCTCTGAGCTGGATGGTTTGGTCGTGGAGCTTTCATCGTTCTTCTGAACGACATCATCAGCACAAACTTCAGATAGAAGTGAAGTGTTTGAATTTCTCCATATGTGTCTCAAAGCTTGTTCTGCGCACCTTCTCCATCACTCGATTGTTATCCAAATAACTGTATTTGCAAATAAAAATCGATTGTTTTAACAATGATTTAACACTTCAACAGAAAAACAGCGCTCCTAATTAAAAGGTTTAATGTATTAATCTGACTTTGATAGACGCAAACTATCTGATTGGAGTATGAGTGACAAATGCAATCAGTGCTTTAAGAATTTTGGTGAAATGGCTAAAAATAGGCTGCAATTGCATAGATTTATTTGCACTTGATCTTCATTTCAATCTTAAATTCTAATGTCCCTTCATGTACATAATTCTTTTCTGTCCTCTCAAACCATATTCTCAAGGTTTAGTCTTTTTTTTGTATCAGTCCTACCACATTGTGTAAACCTATTTTGTTATTCTCATCTTGTCGTGTTAATATAATGTGGCAACTTGAGTCAACGAGCATCTGTTCCAGGCTCCATGTTGATGATATATTTTAGTCTGTACCAGTTCAATTGGTGGATAAACTTATAATTCAAAAGGACAATTTTGTAGTTGTTGTGTTTCATTGAGCTGGATGACTCAAGTGTGGATCGTTCATTATCCACATAGAAAACACCATCAGCACAAACTTCAGATAGAAGTGTGCTATTTAAGTTTATTTACATATAATTCACATCTCAGGTAAAAAAGGATTATAACCAAGATAATTATGTGCACAATATACGGGACAAGCATAAATGATCACTTATCAAATTCAAGGTCGACAAAGTAAGTTCCCAGTCATATATGGACAAATTAAAATAGCTAATTTTTATATAAATTTTACACTCACGATGTCATCTAGAAAGTTAATCGAAACATTACAATCATACAATCCAGCTCAAAGAAAGCAATTCTAAAAAATACATTATTCGTTGCAACCCATATAAGCAGTTTCAATGCATTAGTCAGTCAGTCAGCCAGGCACATATGTACATCGATTCAAGTTGTCATATCTCATTAGCATAACAAGATGAACACCGAATTCATAGAAGTAGTTATTCAGTGGCGGTAATATATAAATGAAAGATTGCATATAAGGACATAGTACAGGAAGAAAGAATTAGTTCATAGAAAGAAAGATATGAGGTGATTTTAATCTCTTAGTTTAAAGGAAGACAGAGTGTGCATACAACGACGCCATTGTGATCGATTCTGAGCCATGTCACCAAGACTCTCCAACCGTTGGTTACGATAGTCACGCGGACCCCAACCAAGTAGTCTGCATCTACCAACATGGCTCAGACCAGAAGCTAGTGACTTCAAGCACTGATGACACGTTTTGGTTTGGCCGCCCCTAACTTTCTTCCAACCATCCCCAACACCGGTTAGCATTGCACGTCGTGGTAATCAGTGTTTAGGCATACGTAACACGTGACCCAACCATCTCAGTCGATGAAGATTCACAACCTCATCAACTGGTTTACCATCATCCCTTGATACCGTGTCTAACCTCACTATTACTTACCCGGTGATCCCAGCAGATGCGAGCAATATTTCTAAGGCATCTGTGGTCAAATGCTAATAGCTTACGAGTATCTTCTACTCCTAATGGCCACGTTTCGCTGCCGTAAAGTAGAACAGAACGGACTGCCGCGCGGTATACTCGTTCTTTTATTGATAGACGGATATCTCTCCTTCGCCATAGGTGACGTAAGTTGGCAAAAGCTAAACGAGGTTTTCGAATCCGCATTAGGATTATAATCATAATTTACATGGTGTATATTGGTCTCTTTTCACTTGTAAACGTGTTTTCATAGAACATGCTTCTATTAAACAGTGTTATAGAATTACAATAAAAACTCGTTGGATTTAATCTTACAAGGTGTAAGAAAATGAGTAAAACCGTTTATTAAGTCATATCCCACAAAGGAAAAATAGGCTTGTCGCGAAGTCATACTAAAAACAAACAAAATTCCAGATATCTGCACTTATATTTTGAATGTATGCTCGAACTTATATCATAAATAGTTTATTTTAAAACACTAACAATATTTCAGTCTTATCTGCTTCAAAAAATTCGTTGGAAGTCTGTTGCTTATCTGCTCTCTATTTCTGTTGTTTAAAACATTCCTGAAAATCATTTGACGTTAAACTCTTCATTTTATTCTTCTACATTGTTTTCTGACCCTATACTGTTCATTCATTTTTCAAGACGATTTCTGAAATTGGTGATTGACTTATAAAGAGTTATTGTCTTCACTACACTATCTCGATAAAAACGAAGTTTGATATTCATTCTATAACTTAGAATTTCCACAAGATTTCTTTAAAACCTTGATCTTAAAAAGGCAGTTAGAAATCAGGAGATTTTGTGGAGATGTAATAATATCAATAGTTGAGATCATGAGTTAGTTGAAGCTAGACCACCTGGAAGCACTAGGCGGCCGTTTTGTCCTATCGTGGGACTCTTCAGCAGTTAGAAATCTTGATTTCTGAAAATTTCTATAAATGATTTTTTAAAATAATGTTAAAGACGATAGGAAAAAGGTATCGCCACAAGATAGGTAACATTAGTATTATTATTATTAATGGCTTTATTCAATATTATATTTTGGTACAATATAGAATTCTCAGCACAGGGTATTTCAACAAGTTACTTACTGAACAACGAACAAAAAGGCAGTAGCAAATACAAAAAAAAATTTTTAAAAAAAAAACCAAAAAAAACTTACAAACTTTTAAAATTAAAGACATGTTAAGAATGCAGGTTATTGACTAGGTTAATTCTAACAACCTGTTCGTCACAGAGTATATTTGCTAGGTAAGGTATTATAGAACTTTTATACTTTTCCTTGCGTGCATGGATTTTAATGTAATTACGTCTCGTTCTACCAGAAGATATACAAGGAGAAAGATAAGAGTGAAGGGGATGGCTAGTATCTGATAAAATAACACCTGCCAGGAGTTTGCATGATTTTAAATGTCTATCCACAACCATATTAATTATGACCTCGAAAGATTCACCACACGTCTTGCTAACTGCCTTCAGCACTCTTCGCAATACAGCAAAGTCTTTTCTCAAAAGCCCGGGAAAGAATAATGGAGAACAGTAAAGAATAATAGGTAATATGCAAGAATTGACAAATTGTAAGAGTAAATGACGAGTAATTCCAAGAGCATGCAATCTCTTTATGTAGTAGGTCAGACGGAAAACCTTCTTTGATAACGATAAAACGTGGGAAGACCAAGACAGATCAGAGGAAAAGGTGACACCAAGATAATTGACCTTCGACACTGAGTTTATCAAAGAGTCTCCGATGGTACAAGCACTATGGGATCTCAAAATAGTGTTTATATTCCGTTCATGTCTCATGCTAAAGTTAACAGCTTGACATTTAGACGGATTAAGTATGAGACCATTACCAACAGACCAACAATCAATACGAGACAAAAACTCATTCATTTCTATGGGATGTAAAGAGGAAGATATAGGCATACATACAGTGAGATCATCCGCATACTTCACAAAAGTGTTTTCTGTGGAAGATGGCAGATCATGCAGAAAAAAAGAGAATAGAAGAGGTGAAAGAACAGCTCCTTGTGGTACACCTTCATGAGACAGTAGAGACTCTGAACACTTTCCTCCAAACACAGTGTACTGTTCCCTTCCAGAGAGGTAGGAACATAGCCAGTTGGTTATCCAGCTGTCAGTGTTGACGCTGATTAACTTGTTAAGTAAACGTTGTCTTGGTATAGAGTCAAAAGCTGAAGTATAGTCCAGAAAAGCACATCGAACATACTTCTTACCCTTTTCTAAGTTGAACACTATGTTGTGATGCAGAACTGCAACAGCATCTAAAGTGCTTCTTTTGCGCCTGTATGCAAACTGGTATGGGTCAGTATGCTCTTTTATCGCAGGCTGAAGTGGAAGTATTAATAATTTTTCCATGGTTTTGAGGAAGGGTGAAGTTATTGCAATAGGTCTAAATTTTACATTCTTATCACCAAATGCTTTCTTGGGTACAGGAATTATCTTCATCTTTCTCCACATTTTCGGTATGAGATTAGATGAGAAGGATCTGTTAAATATAGTTGTGAACGGATGACACAGAACGTCAGCACATTTTTTAAAAAGGATGTTTGGGATACCATCAGGTCCCAAACATCGAGATGAATTAAGCGACTGGAGACATCCTCGTACATCAGTTTCAGTGAAAGTAGGAACACAGCTATTTTTAAACCCGTGGATAGAGGGAGCATCACATCAGATGACTGACGTACAAAAGACTTATTTAAGTCACAAACATTCAGCTGGTTATCGCTTCTAAACTTTCTGTCACCTGTAAGTTCTTTAAAGAATTTCCACATACTTGGAGAGTTTTTGCAAGATAAGAGTTTTTGAGTAAACATACAGTTGAGACGTCTAATCTCTAGGTTTATCAGACCATTTAGCTTACGAACTTCATTTGAGTTCTTCTCCTTGTACATTCTTTCTTTCATCCTCCGTAGTCGTTTTAGTTGTGAAGATGTAAGTCGATCAAAACTTACAAAAATGGTTTCAGTGGGACAACAAATATCAAAACAGAATTTAAGGTAACAAGTGATAACATCAGTAGTGTTTTCGAGTGAGTCATCTGTAAATAATTCCCAGTTAGTCGTATGAAACATGTTTTTCAGATTTCGGATATTTTCTTCTGAGTAATTCCTATATTTGACTTTCTTGGTTTGATGTAAGAGTGTACTCTTCCCATGCTTTCCATATACTTTAGGTAGAACACGAATTATACAGTGATCTGAGCTAGACAATGGAGCACGTTTACGAGTCGCATATATACCCACATCATTAATGAAAACGAAGTCTAAATGAGCATCCAAACGGGTAGGAAAATCTACTACATTTTGGTGACCTAGTGACGTAAGGAAGCTACAGTCACATGAATTGAAATCACCACATACAACTGAAAGTGAATCACTGAAGGCAGTAACAGCGAACTCAGTGAATTCATCAGCGAAAACAGATAGTGCAGATGATGTGCAATCTGGAGTAACGTAGATATTGGTAACATAAACATATTTGTATTTATTCAGATGTTTTGGACGACATCTTAGAGTTAGACAGTCGATAAAGTCATTTGAAAACTTAAAACACACAAACGAAGATCGACACCAGTTTATGTTTACAAACGTAGCTACACCGCCACCACACCTCTTTTTATTGTTTGATCGATCCTGACGATAAATTATGAAATCACGTAGTGATACTAGCAGTCATCCTGTAAATCATTTAACCAAGATTCTCGAATTGTGATGACACCACAATTACGATACATATTTTGACTTAGTAGGAATTGCAGATAGTCCACTTTGTTGATTAGTGATCGACAGTTAGAATTTAGCAGCTCGGGAATCGACATACGATTAATATTCATTCTCTTTAACGCATATTGCCAACCACCACGATGTCTTTTATGGTACTTTTTGTAACCTGTGCAGCGAAAGGTCGTAGGCTTTTCATAAAAGCGCCTGAATAGGTTATGCGATTAATGGACATAATTATCAGTTAAAACAAATGAAAAAACAGATAACTTGTTGAAATAATCAGATGGCAGAAACAGGTAGCCCAGATATTCAAGCAGGCCGCGGTAGATGACAAAAAAATGATACATGAATTGTTAATGACCTTATCTAACATCATGGTTATGACAAAGTGATCAATCAAAGATAATCAAAATATGTATACACTTACCTTTATTAACTGACCATTGACTATTTCTAAATTACGTACATACATTTCTCTTAACAATCGATAAATAAATTCCCATGAAACTTTTGGATACATATTATTATTATCACATTTTAAACATTCTTCATTACTAGACATGAAAGGTAATGCAGAATTTAAAGATAAATATTGCTCAATGGTTGATAACCAATCAAAATCTAAGCTGAATTGTAATAAAACTTTCTTGAAATTATCTTGAATACAATCCATAGATAAATTTATTCTATAAGCTTTAAACAATCCATATCGTATTGCAATTTCAGCTAATCTATCTTCTTCTTTTCTCAATATTACTAATGATTTGAGTGCAGTATGTTTACGTATATCTTGAAGATGATTAAATTTTTCTAACCAAAATTGTTTAGCATATTCAAATGTTTTGATAATAATTGAAAGTGGCAAGTAGTAGGTATTTGTTTGTTTATAATGAAGAACTGATTCATTTGTAAAATATGTTAAAGATCTATTCAACAAATTGACTAGTCGATACTTTATTGATGAACTTTGATATTCAGGTAAATAATATTTGAAAAGGCATTGTATAATAAATGAATAATTTGGCCATCCAATAGTTATATTACGAAATGAAAGCTGTAAAAAAGAAGATTCATAAAGTATATAATGTGAAAGATTTGAATAAAAGATTAATGCACCATTTAAATAGTTCATTGAAACGATTCAACATGGTAGTATGCTTTAAAGACAAAGTAAATAAAAACGTTTTTATACTATCCAGCTTCAATTAGAAAGGGTTTGTAGTTTTCTGTTGACTGCAAAATAGCTTGATTACACCTTGCGACTAAATGACAATATCGAAAAAATTCTATCAAGATACACTTAGGCCAACAGAGGCCAAAGAATTGCAATCTGTATCATAGCCCCCAAATGCCCTGGTATGGCCGAGAGTGGGGAGAGTCCACTCTACCTCTCCAAATGCTCTCATATGGCCACGCGTATATAGCCTCTGTCAGGGAAGTCCTCCTCACTGCCTTCTTGTGGCGGGAGTGTTGTTTACGAAATTGAGAGGACGAAAAGCGAATTTCCGGCGCTTTAACCGGATTCCAAACCAATGGTGCATATGGGCTCCAGTATCCTGAAAGAACAAATGGTGTATGAACCAATCGTTAAATCACCGGCTACCATGGGAATGCATCTCCTTACGATGCTCCACTGCCTTGTGGGTTAGACCTATAGGTCGAAGGCTCGGGGTGTGGTCCCCTAAGAAAACCACTTGCTTCGGTTTGGGCACCCGGGTAGTATCACAGCCCTCACACATATCGAATGAGATTTGTGTGGCTCATATGTATTTGGTGCTTCCTTGTACCAATATCTAAGTGTTAAAACAATAAATAATAATAATAATCTGTACCATAAATAACTGGAACTTTCAAACTCTCTAAAACAATTCATATTTATCGAAAACATAAATAGCAATCTGAACTAAGTAGCTTAGAAGATAACTCGTTGCTGTTTAAATTTATGCGTAATGTATCCAAGTCCCAGTGTGAAAATGAACACTGGTTTGAAGATACATCTAGAAAATGAGTTCCAAATATGGAAAAATGAGCACAAATGGCATTTCATGCATTCAATATGAATTATTAAGGCATTTTAGTTGAAGTTGCGTGGATTACATGGCTATTTTATTGAGTTGGATACCTTTACTTTAAAGCTTACTGCGCAATATTTATGAAGAATAGGAACGAAACTCTATCGTCAGTCACCAGTCGTAATAGACTGGTATAGCGATCACCAGTATACACATTTCTGTCTATGTATATACATTTAACTTTGATTCAATAGTATACCACAATCTAAGCTTCAAACAACTTCCTTTAAATCAAAGTTGAATATTTAGTATAACTTCAGTACAGAGATGATAAAATGATATTGCAATTTCATCTGAAAGCAAGAAGTACAAAATAACCATTTTAGAAAAAAAAATGTTTCTTACTTTTTGTACTTTTGGCAAATTTTGAAAATTTCGAGAATCATATGTACCGAATAATCCAAAACTGCAATCGATTCTAATACTTTGATTAAACAAACATTGTTTCGGTTCAGAAATATATTGATTAGAATGATAAGTGATTAACTTGTGACCTGAAAAATTAATTGTTAATGAATGTATCCGAAAGTGTTTTGTGGATATTATAGTAATTTTTAATAGTTGAGGTCATGAATCAATTGAAGCTAGACTACCATGAAAAGCCTGAAAGAACTGGACGGCCGTTTCGTCTTATTGTAGATCCTGGATTCGAATCTCGTGAAGCCGGATCGTTGTTGAGTTTTCCCATGATAGGACGAAACGGCCATCTGGTGGTTCCAGGTTATCCATGGTGTTATGAATGTAACAAACAACTAGTGTCAATAAGTTCAAAGATATTCTTCAGCACAGGTCAATTAATTTTCAAACATTATTCTATCCTGGCTAAGATATAGATAGTCTAAGTAAAAGATGAGTGTTATTAAACTAAGACATGAAATTAATAAATATTTCAATAAACCGTACAATTGTCGAGCTTTCTTGATTTAGATTTTGTTTAACCTAATGGAAATCCATATCGGAAGACTTTTAGTGATATAACACATAGTCAGTAGCTGTATCAAAGAAGCTTTGTTCATTGCTAGTTACTTTTTCAATTTTGAATGTGACGTTTCATTTGTCCCGCCTAAATTCTTTCAACGCGTTAAATGTTTACGTTATTTTCAAATCTGTATATAATTGTATAATATTTGTTTACACTTGTCCTCTTGGATCAGTAGCGACAAATCATACTTACTTACTTACGCTTGTTACTCGTCGTGAAGGGACATAGGCCGCTCAACAGCATTCTCCATCCAACTCTGTCCTGGGCAATCCTTTCCAGCTCCTTACAGTTGTTATTCATCCTTTTCATATCTGATTCTATTTCCCGTCGTAATGTGTTCTTTGGCCTTCCTCTTTTCCGCTTTCCTTCACGATTCCAAGTTAGGGCTTGCCTCGTGATGCAGTTTGATGATTTGCGTACTGTGTGTCCTATCCATTTCCATCGTCTTTTCCTAATTTCTTATTCAGCTGGAAGCTGGTTTGTTCTCTCCCACAGTAGGTTGTTGCTGATGGTATCCGGCCAATGGATGTTGAGTATCTTGCGTAGACAGCTATTTATAATACTTGTACCTTCTTGATGGTGGTTTTTGTAGTTCTCCAAGTTTCAGCTCCGTACAGTAGAACTGCCTTGACGTTCGTATTGAAGATTCTCCCCTTGATATTGGTTGAAAGTTGTTTTGAGTTCCATATGTTCTCCAATTGTAAGAATGCTGTCCTTGCTTTACGTCTGCATCTGATCCTCCTTGTTCATCGATGATGCTTCCCAGGTATGTGAAGGATTCTACATCTTCCAGAGTTTTGCCATCAAGTGTGATTGGATTGCTGTTCTTCGTTTTGAATTTGAGGACCTTTGTTTTCCCCTTTGTATATGTTGAGGCCTACTGATGCAGAGACTGCTGCTACACTGGCTGTCTTTATCTGCATTTTTTCATGTGTATGCGATAGGAGGGCTAGGTCATCTGCGAAGTCCAAATCGTCAAATTGATTCTGAGCTGTCCATTGTATTCCGTGTTTTCCCTCAGATGTCGAGGTCTTCACAATCCAGCCGACCACCAGAAAAAAGAGGAAGAGAGAGAGTAAACAGCATTGTCTGACTCCGATCCTTACTTGGAATGCATCTGTAGCAATAAATCTTACATGAATTGATTTTGATAAAAATGGGGCCTGAAAAATGAGGGAAATTGAGGAGGTCACTAGGTGTCCCACTCAAATAATCCATTTCTATCTAGCTCAGTGTATATCAGTACAACTTACAAAAACCTGAGCTTAAATATATAATGACTTTTCTATTATAATTATCAACTAGGATAACATTTGTCACTGAAAGGTTGTTGGCATACTAACAAATAATTATGTAATGGACTTCAACCTAATAACAGTTTGATGATTGGTTTTATTTTCATGCAACGATTATTGTCGTCTTGAGTGAAGTTGTAGAACTGGGATTTTTTCCAAATAAACCAATCAGATAGTCATCATAATAGGTTTCTTAGACCATATTGCATATGATCTTCATCTACGAGGAATAGACCATTGTCAAATAGCTAACACTTTTCTAATATGATCTTAATAATTTCAGGGAGTAAAGAGTGTTATAATTTGACAATTTCTACAGCTTTTCTCTTAAAACACGTTTGCTTATCTATTGAATATCAATTTAGATAGCAGATTATAACAGTCGCCGTAAATGCATCTTTATAGTAGGTCTTAATTAATATAAGATATAAATCTCCAAAACAAACTTGTAATTTAAGTAGTATTTTTATAATGTCATCACATATTCAAGATGAATATATCTATTACGCTGTTTTAAATGGATACATTTGTTTGAATTTAAATATTCCATTTTATTTGTAATATGGGTTAGTTTCAACAAGTTAAAGAGGGAGAAAACTACATTTTGTTGAACAATCAAAGTAAGTGCTTACTATTTTTATCAATGTTCTCAATAGATTGTTGAAGATTCTTTGTAAAATCTGCAAACTGAAAAGAAAGGGTTGTAGAAATTAATTAAACAGTTAAGTATTACAAATTTATTCTATAAAATTATCTCAATAGTTGAAATCATGAGTCAACTGAAGCTAGACCACCATAGAAAACCCGAGGCACTGGACGGCCGCTCCGTTCTAGTATGAGACTCCTCAGCAGTGAGCATCCACGAATCCACCCACCACCAGATTCGAACTCAGGACCTATTAGTGTCGCGCACAAGCGCTTAGCCATTAGACCACTGAGCCAGCCGGTATCCAATGGTGTTAATGTCTAACTTCAACCAATCCACGAAGTTAACACCGTTCCTAAAAATTTCCACAAAACCCTTTCTGATAATAATCATCTACTCACCAGTGGCTGACTTCAATAGACATTTCGTGGAGTTCTAGTGAGAAGCCGTTACCAATGGAGTTCAACCAGGTCTGTTGTGAGAAATCAGCTCACTGAAGACAATGATGTATGGTGGCGCAACTCCGTGGATTGGTTGAAGTTAGACATTAACACCGTTGGATACCGGCCGGCTCAGTGGTCTAATGGTTAAGAGCTCGCGCGCGAGACTGATGGATCATGAGTTGGAATCTGGCGTTGGGCGGGATCGTGGATGTGCACTGCTGAAGAGTCCCAAAATAGAACGAAAACGGCCGTCTAGTGCTCTCAAGTTTTCCATGATGATCTAGCTTCAATTGACTCATGATTTCAACTATTGAAATTTCTAAAAATCTCCACAAAACCCCTTCTGATATAAAATTATCATTTGTATAGGAACAAAAGCGGTCAGAGAAATTTAACGAAATAGGAGGGGGGGAATGGTAAGTTGAATTTGAACGTGTTTAATACAGTATATTTTGATATTTAAGTCAAAGAAAAGAGTTGTACTAGTCTACAAGCAGTGATTATCTCCTCCTTTTCAAATAACCTCCTTAACGAAAATTGATTGACAACTAAAAGACATTAAACAGCTTGTTTGTTCTAGTAGAAAGCTGCGATAAATTAGTCAGGCAATTATAAACAATGTAAAATCTAACACATATTTACATCGGTTCTCACATCGTATCAACACAGTCAGATGAAACTATCAATGAAGAACCCATAATAATGATAGAATTAGTAACAGAATCAGTAATAGTAAAATTGATTAATCTTAGATAATATAATTCGAGAAGTCATCCAGTTGAGAGTATAGTATTTACTCATTGATGAAGAAATTAAATGCGGATTACAGTGAATTCCAAATTTAGTGAAATAGAAAAAACCTAATATTTAATGTTTTGTGCTCAATATCCTGTGATGTATTGAGTGAGTATAGTTGTAAAGTATTAAACTAACACGAAGCATTTTTCCAGATAAGGTCAGTTCATGATAGAAATTGATATTGATATGTACAAATTCATCGTATAACTAATATAAATAACTCAGTAAAATAGTTGAATAAACTCACTTGAATCCGACCATTGCTCATAAAATTACATTTCCGAACTTCATTCAAACAGTTTATCACGATTTCCAATTCTCCAAATTTTAAGTTCTTTGTTATAGAAAAAATGTTAAAAATACTTCATGCCAGTTCTAGATATTCAATAGCTAACAACAATGTATAACTTAGAAAACAAACTCAAACACGACAGTTTACGTAGAAGAGAAAGAATATGGAATTCAGGATATGTGTGTTTGTATTACTTGGGATTCATCAGTTGAGTGTACCTGGATCTCAGAGTTGATGTTCACACATGAACTCGAGCCTAGTATCGTTCGTTTTAAACTCCAACCTGTGATCCAATTAAAAATAAATCTGGTTAAAAAACCCCTAGTGTAACGGATATGATTTTTAATTCAATTTTTAGTGAATTGGATTACCTCACTGCTAATATTTTGATTGAAATTTGATCAGTCCGGGTTAGCATATAACCAGCTAATACTTGGTAAGAGTCCTGGAGTGAAAATCAAACCTGAGATACAGATGCATACAGCTGACGAGACCCGGTTACGATTAAACATGCATCAAAGATCCCACTGCTAGCCAAATGCAATCTATTCTATACTAAATTGTGTCATAATCGTTATACTGAGGAAATTCACACAGAATGCACATATTCCAACCAAGATCAATCATATTTCAGTCAAAATACCAATGATTGAATAATTTTAATAACTATAAGCATGATCTTAAAACTGTACAGATAATTTGAAAAAACTTATCCAACTATAAGAAAAGATGATTATCTGAACGATTGATTACATTACTAAATAATACTTCATTTGATAGAAAACGTTCAGCTGCATAACCAAGTTAATTCATTTACTCACTAAGAAATTCCCATTGTATTAACACGCAGTTATATGAACGAAGAATATTCTTTTCAATGGTAGAGAAGATTTGTAGCTCAGGTGGATGATTTTGATGGAGTTTAGTTCTCTGAGCTGGATCTTTCTTTTCAATAATTTCTCATCAAGTTCTACAATTATCTCATATCCAAATTGATAATCCATAAAATTGGTCAGATTTAAGGCAGAGTACATCATCTAAAATCATAACATGTGAATCGAGGATTGTTGTTTGTTACATCAAATCAAATCAATTCGTTAATGTTGGGGTTGACTAATATAAAGTGTTAACTTGAATCAATTTATAAGTGAAATGAAATTGTGAGGTAAATGATCAACATGGGGTGAATGAACGAAAATATTCTTTCAATGGTAGAGAAGATTTGTAGCTCAGGTGGATGATTTTGATGGAGTTTAGTTCTCTGAGCTGGATTTCTTTTCAATAATTTCTCATCAAGTTCTACAATTATCTCTATCCAATTGATAATCCATAAAATTGTCAGTTTAGGCAGAGTACATCATTAACATAACATGTGAATCGAGGATTGTTGTTTGTTACATCAAATCAAATCAATTCGTTAATGTTGGGGTTGACTAATATAAAGTGTTAACTTGAATCAATTTATAAGTGAAATGAAATTGTGAGGTAAATGATCAACATGGGGTGAGAGAGAGAATAATGTAATTACAAATCAGAAATTACGTAATATGTAGAATAATATAAATAGGGTCAGATATAGTAGATAGGATTGGATGCTGAATTAATTCCTCAAAAAGGTTAGCGAGTGTAATAATAATAACAATAATAATAATGATAATAATAATAATAGCAGCACTGTGGGTAAATTTGGGACACAAAAATGAAAATTAATCAAATTACGTCACCATATCACTAAACTGATTATTACTAGTTGGCCCCGAGTTGGCCAGGGGTAAACGGAGCGGCTGAACATATTTCTTTTGGATGCAAAGCTCTGGATTTTTGATCCGAATAGCAATTACTTCAGCCGTCTGCAGGATTCTCAGTTTGACGAAATTAGGTAGACTGCTGTTAACACGATACATTATTGTGAATGAGAACTTGTCGATCTGTTGTGCCAATGGGCCGTTTTCTAGTCTAGAGAGAAAAATGTCGGCCAGTATGGGACCTAGGGGTGAACACGTCGCAACATCATATATTTGTCTATATATTTCACCATTGATTTTGAAATGGACTGTCTTCTGTAAACAGATCGACAAGTTTTCATTTTACTGCTGATATATGGATAGTACGTTTATCCTTTGTATCAACCATACGGACTTGATTGAAACACTTGGTCAACAGCTCTATTTTAGCCCATTTAATTCAGACGGAACATACAGCCAACATGGAGTAATCTTTCGCAATAATGTATCGTGTTAACAGCAGTCTACCTAATTTCGTCAAACTGAGAATCCTGCAGACGGCTGAAGTAATTGCTATTCGGATCAAAAATCCAGAGCTTTGCATCCAAAAGAAATATGTTCAGCCGCTCCGTTTACCCCTGGCCAACTCGGGGCCAACTAGTTAATAATCAGTTTAGTGATATGGTGACGTAATTTGATTAATTTTCATTTTTGTGTCCCAAATTTACCCACAGTGCTGCTATTATTATTATTATCATTATTATTATTGTTATTATTATTACACTCGCTAACCTTTTTGAGGAATTAATTCAGCATCCAATCCTATCTACTATATCTGACCCTATTTATATTATTCTACATATTACGTAATTTCTGATTTGTAATTACATTATTCTCTCTCTCACCCCATGTTGATCATTTACCTCACAATTTCATTTCACTTATAAATTGATTCAAGTTAACACTTTATATTAGTCAACCCCAACATTAACGAATTGATTTGATTTGATGTAACAAACAACAATCCTCGATTCACATGTTATGATTTTAGATGATGTACTCTGCCTTAAATCTGACCAATTTTATGGATTATCAATTTGGATATGAGATAATTGTAGAACTTGATGAGAAATTATTGAAAAGAAAGATCCAGCTCAGAGAACTAAACTCCATCAAAATCATCCACCTGAGCTACAAATCTTCTCTACCATTGAAAAGAATATTCTTCGTTCATATAACTGTGTTTTAATTCATTTGTTCAATGTCATAGTTATTCAAGATAATACCATAGCTATAAATAAACTCATTAAATTTACTCATTACCTTCTTTCACATTCACACGTATATATAAAGACATGTTTTACTTAGAATCGCATTTTCTCCTACTGACACAACTTTTACGTGAGCTGACATGCTTGTATGTCTTATTTGTATGAAGTTACTAGACGTTAGAAATCTATTTTATTTTCAAATCATCACAAATATATTATTGAGTTCATGAACCGTTCTAATTTATATCACTTTCGGAAAACTGGAAGCACCGGATGGCCATTTTGTTCAGGTATGTGGCTCCTCATTAGTGAGCATCTACAAACGCATATTTACAATGGTAGTCTAGTGTTGATCATTTCATCAATTCAATGAAATTCAACAATCTTCACAATCCTTTATGCACAAATATATTATTTTCAATAATATAAATTCCTTATCTAGTCGTCAATTCATTTAAATTTACCATGTCGAGTGTTGCTAATGATATTTAGGATCTACTTATACCTCTACAGCCTAATAAACTTTTAACAACGAACTGGTACTAATCATTCAAAACCATGATAAACCGTCGAATCCCATAACCTTTGTCAACAAAAATTTGTCGATAGAATGAGTGTAATATTCCCAGTATCAGTTTAATATGACCTCTGAATGTATTCAGTTAACTGATTTTTTTAGAAAAGAAACCATGAATAAACTTATAGAAAATATAATTCACTCTTCATGAAAAAAAAACGCTTACGTGCATATTCATTATTGAAAATAAACAGCCAATTCGTATGCAACTAAGAATATCATTTTTCAATGTGTTCTCAAATGTATCATTGAAGATGTTAGATGAAAATTCTATAAGACGACGACCAAGTAGAAAAGCAAGTTGACGAATTATTGTCTGTTTACCACTTCCAAATGATCCAATTAATAGTCCAAACTTTGAAATGAAGCAAAACAATTGAATAATTTACTTTGTTTTACTGAAAATATCATAGTAACATTATTGAAAACAATTGTACATTCTTTTAAATATAAGTATGAATTGACCAGAACTGATAGGGAAACACAGGACTTTTTCCAACCATTACATAAATCAACACAACAGCACTGATTATGTACTAGGTAAGCAGCTATCGAAATTACATCGTGACGCCTATCAACAAGATGCTTAGGATACATTCAATAACTTAATTTATTAAAAAAAACAATGCACCAACAGTATTAAACTAAAAAAATGATTATTCCACCCAGTCGATATTAGTTCCTCACACAAGAGATCGATCTTTTATGATGATTATTTTTAGTCTTATCACAACTGATCAACCAAGATGTTCATTTCTTCTTACTTAAACAGATATTATGAATCAAAGTATAACCACTGAAGATTATTTTAATCAATTTTTAGTACCCGAATAGTGGTTAAGCAAGATAAAAGCCTAGATTACGTAAAGCTTTCAATTTAAGGATAGTTTTCATCATGAATTAAAACTATCCTAATACTTAATAAAACCCACATAAATGTTGAGTAACAGTTTGGTCAAAGAAAAGTAGTATACAACCACAATTCCACATGACAAAAAGCCTACAACATTTAGATATTATGTTAAACATGTTACTCTTGGACTGACGCGTTAGTTGCCATATATCCACATTTGCAAACTTACTCAATCATCTGTTTTGACATGATATAATTATGAAAGGTTGTCGGTAGTTAAATGACTTACACACAATATCATTAAACCCGAACAGATAACAACTTCATATTAAAAATTAAATGTCAATCTGTTTTATTTTAAGTTTTTTTTTCTAAAATTTGCAAAAAACATTTAAAATACTTGACGACATATGAATATAGAAGCTGATGATTTGAATATACAATACTGAATCATGAGACAGTCTTCATAACAGAATGAAACTTTATTGACGATAATTGATAAGAGCCAAATTCTAAAAAGCTGAATTTAAGAATAATCAGAAAGATAGCTGAACGTGTTCTTAAAGAACATCTCTACTAACTAACTTACCTATCCGATTTGAGTATGAACAAGTATTACATTATATAAGACTGGTCACAATCATTACAGTATTCCTTCAGTTAATATTTTATTTTATTTATTTGGATACAAAAATATTGGTAAAACGTTACACCGAAAAGATATGCACCACACAAGTCACTTGATTTTTATGTGGGCTGTGATACTGCTTGGGTGTCCAGACCGGAGCAAGTGATTATTTTAGGAAGCCACTGGAGCCTTCGACCCGAAGGTCTGATCCACAAGGCAGTGCAGTCCCATGGTAGCCGGTGGCCAACAACAGGTTCATATGCCATTCGTTCCCTCAAGATCCTGGAGCCCATGTGCAACATTGGTTTGGAATCAGGGTTTTCTAACTCCCCTAGGTGGATCCTTCGTGTCCACCAACCTAGTCAGAGAAACGGACATTGGATTTTCGTCCTCTCAATTTTGTAAACAACACCCTCACCACGAGAAGGCAGTGAGTAGGACTTCCCTGGGAGTGGCCGTATACGCGTGGCCATGTGAGAGCATTTCGAGAAGGAGAGCGGATTCACCCCACCCTCGTCCATACCAGGGCATGAGTACTGAGTATCTTTATTCTTGAACATTATTTTATGACGACTTATGCATTATGAAAACATTTTATCAAATAGAATATACTGGATAAAGTAACCTGATCGAAATATTAATCCTTTATTACAAATAATAATGTTTTCCTATTGAATTGTCAAAAATTTTGCTGTTAAAGCTCATTTAAATGTAATATTTATATTTCTGTAATTTAGTATAAGCTATAATTTTATTTGACATTGTAAGTAGTGTTACTAATGTTTAATTAAAACAGCTTGTCATACGGACAGAAAAAATATATTCAAGCCTCAAAAAAAAAATATATGAACCAGTTGAAGTCAGTATAAGAATAGTGGAAAGTTGTAACCTGTGAGACTTGGTCATGTTTGATGTGAAACAGATATTATTTACAGCATTGATTTTGTTATCGTACTATACTACGAATTAAGCGAATTTCTGTAATCTAGCTCAGCGTAACACTAACTCAGTGATCTAATAAAGCTGGTATGTTAATATCCGCATAAACTACCTCTTCACCTTGAAAGTAACTGTTCAAATACTACTTACTAATTAAATGTGTAATATTAGAGGAACTGGAAATAATTGTAAGTAGTATGATTGAGTTTCACGTAAAATGCATCACAATGAATCGATCATGTTTATTTTTTTTCAAAAATTACTATTCAATCGTATTATATCAAATAAATATATATTTTTCAATGGTTGAGATCATCAGTCAATTGAAGCTAAACTATTATGGAAAACCCAGAAGCACTGGACGGCCGTTTCGTCCTATTGTGGGACTCCTTAGCAATATGCATCCACGATCCCGCCTTGCGTGATTCGAACCCAGGACCTATCAGTCTGGCGACCGAGCACTTAACCTGTAGACCTATAACCTCTATATATTTTCCAAATCTCTCACCTCATGATTATTCAACGCTGATCCAAGTTGAATTAATTCTTGTGAAGTATTTAATAACGGTATATATAATGTGTTATTATTGATTAGTAAACTTTGATTATCCCATTTATAAGGATGAATTGTTGAAAATTGTTTGATCCCAATTGTTGGAATATCATTGTACTCATTTAATTCATTCGAAAAGTACTCATTCCTTTCAGGATTTAATATTGAACTGATAAGTTGTGTTTTAATTAACCGTTGCCAGATAAAATTATTCTCGTCTAAATTTGACTCTTTTCTCAAGTCTATACTCACAAAGAATTCAAATATATTTAATTGATTAGTTCATATGTTTACAGTATATAATAACACACCAATAAAACAATTCCTTATAGAGGTATCAGAAAAATTAAGTACCTATAAGTTTTTAATTGAAACCATGAATCGATTGATGCTAGACCACCAGTAAAAATCTGAAAGCACTAGATAGCCGTTTCATCTTGGGTTCGAATCCTGAGTGTAAGATCATGGATGAACACTGCCGAGGAGTCTCATATTAAGAAGAAATGGCCGTCCAGTGCTTCCAGGTTCTCAATGATGGTCTTACATCTATCGATTCATGATCTCAATCGAAAACTCAACAATCTCTACAACCTCATACTGATATCTCTAAGTTATTGTATATTCAGGCAAATCTTCTTTATAAATTTTTTTTAACTTTAGTATTAATAAATAGTTCCATTTATCTCCAAAGTTTATATATATGAACGGGATAGTTCAATTGCAAAGCTTTCATTGTCGTTCTAGATATCAGTGCCTATTTCAAACAGAAATGAGCATTTTGATTATTCTACAGGTAATAATCTGTTCAAATATAATTTTCACAAATAATCTTTCCGTTCTGATGACTTCGGTTCTAATTTGTAACCTTAACAGGGTTCATCATTTGCGTATTTCTCGAAATTCTTTGTTGAAAATGTTTCGAGAATGCCAGAAAATTAATTTGTAATCAATAGAATTATCGATATGGATTAGAATAACAGTCCATGATGATAAAGTCGTTCACTTACATAGTCACAATTTAATTGTTAATATTATGATCGAGAAAAAAACATGTATAAGAATGCAATCACAACACGTAATTCAATTCACAGGACACCTCATAAACAATGTCAAACAAATAGTAAGAATTAATAAGTTGTTCAAAATGAACATTTTTGTTGATTAATAGTCTTAATTGTGAATCATAGTAAACCAGTAGAAGTAATGTCGTATCACCTAGACTGGTGGCAACATTTCAACTTGGTCGATAGGATTCGATCTGCACTAAGAAGGACCTGACATACATGATAATGATTACCCCCTAGTGATCAATCAATTGTAAAGGAAACTAATTAATACATTGAAATAATTTTAAAATCGTATGAGATTAACATTTGACTGCAAGAAGGAATTACCATATATTGCAATGTACAGATCCTGACAACTAATTGAGTAGATAATAATCTACTGTGTGACATCATGTGTTATTTCGAAATGATTGACATGGAAAAACATCTATACGACACATGGGATACATTTTTTTAAAATTATACACTGAGAACATGAAAGAAATTGGCCGGACACTATTAACAACAACCTACTGTGGGAGAGAACAAACCAGATCTCAGCGGAGGAAGAAATCAGGAAGAAGCGCTGGAAGTGGATAGGACACACATTGGGGAAAGCACCCAACTGCGTCACAAGACAAGCCCTCACATGGAATCCTCAAGGCCAAAGGAAAAGAGGAAGACCAAAGAACACATTACGCCGGAAAATGGAGACAGACATGAGTAAAATGAACAAGAAGTGGATGGAACTAGAAAAGAAGACCCAGGACAGAGTGGGTTGGAGAGTGCTGGTCGATGGCCTATGCTCCATTAGGAGTAACAGGCGTAAGTAAAGTAAGTAATATAAAAAAATTAGCATTACCTTGTATTAAATAAATAAATCCCAAAATTGTTCCAATCAACATTTGGCATGTTAACTGATCGATTCTTGAACTGAATTGATTATCATAACTAAACGGAATAGTTTTCAATGGTTCAATAATACTATTTAATTGTTCTTCGAAGTATTCTCTTATCGAAAAAAAAATCAAATTAAAGTGTTTAAAAAGAAGAAATAATTAAATGAACTCTCTCCAGTTTCTTTATTTGATCAATATCTCCTAGATCACCGAAGAAATTGATCAGTATGAAATATTTTTGCATAATTTGAGCTTCAGATTAGACAAAACAGATAGAAAGAACCTCTTGAAAGAGTGACTCGCATAAACTTATTATAATGTTCAAAAGAATAGAAATAAGCGCCTGGCACCAGACTGATAGGTCCTGGGTGGCATCGTGGATGCGCACTGCTGATAAGTCCCACAACAGGACGAAAAGGCCGTCCAGTGCTTCCAGATTTTCCATGGTGGTCTAGCTTCAATTGACTCATGATCTTAACTGTTGAATCAATTTTTTTTATAAAAACACTCAAATACTTGTGATTTAACACATTAGGATTACATTGATTTATGATTGCTGTAATAAATATTTACCCACAAAGTACACTATGAAACTGTAACATCTCAAGAAGGATAGTAAAAGAAACTTAAACATTCTTGGATTTGGGTTTTTTCTACTGATTACCAATTTGTTTCCTATTATTGTTAATGATCTTACATCTGAATTAGACTATTTGAATAGGTGGCTGTTTAATAATCATTTCTCTCATCCCATCTATCAGCACAATCTTATTTGTTCTCTATATTGCAGAAATAAATCGAAACATTGCTCATTTACTAAAATATTTTAAAATGAACAGTTCCAAAACACTAACGAACCTAAGGTTCCAAGGCGAAGTCATACTGCTGACTGTACAGACGTATGACAGCAGTAAGGTGTTTCATTCAGACAATCAGCATAACAGCTATGCTGCCTTCCCACAATGAGGGGTGGGATTAGAAAATGTCGACTCTAAAAAATGCACATCTCTCCTGACCTACGGACTTCCGTCTTTGGCGATAAGGTTCCAATAAGTACGGAGCTAACAAGAAAATTACTCACAAAACGGTCGTTTATGACCGACCTCAAGCAGTTGTCTCCTGTGCAATATGGTCACGTTCTCAGCTCACTAAGATCACGCCTAACCCAATTTCCTTCACAGGTATCTCCAGAAGAACCCTTCCACGGTGTGGGAAGCCGGAAAGTGATAATTGCCCTCATAACGCTAGCAGCACTCAAGATCACTGTATTCATAATAAATCTCCCTCTTCAAAGAAACTTATAAAAGGAATTTAACTTACAAGTGAAATGACATATATGAGTAAAAATATTCACTCGAATAAGAATTTGATCTTTATAAAAACTACATCAAATTTTTATTGGCGGTATTGCCTTAGTTCACAAGCATTATTAGCAAAGATGGATGGTGGCTAGCAGTGGAATCCAAGATGCACGTTTTGTCCAATTTAGGACCCGTCAGCTGGATGAATTAAAACTTCGTCCCATCGTACAACCTGGTGGCTATCAGGACTCAGTGGATGAGTTCTGGATGTGATGGCGTTTAAAGTAAATGGTACTGGGTTTGAGTCTTGAAGTGAACATCAACTCTGGGATTCAGGTACGTCCAGCTGACGAGTCCCACCTAGGACGAAACGCGCGTCAAACTGGATTCCACTGTTAGTCACTATCTATCTCTGTAAATAAGGTCATTCTCAGGGAAGTATTTTCCAGTAAAAAACCAGCAGCCTTCAAAAATCCAAATGTCATACAGCCCATAACCTTGAATATCATTTCAGTGATCTAAAGTTTTAGCGCCTACTAAAAGAAATCACATTTATTCCGAAAGATAGGTATGAAAATTGCATGGAACCACTATACTAAGTCCTAATATGTTACTTTAGAGATATCGCTAAAAGCGACCAAAATCAATTCAAATAAATCATTTTTATTCCCTTTTACTCAACTCCCGGATTGTAATTTCTAATATTATTTCATACACGAATTTAGTCATTTTTCTGAAACCGTATACTCTATTCCCAAGATTTATTTCATTATCATTGATACCGCTACTACTTCCTTTGACTTGATATTCATCTTTCGCTAATTTTATTTCATGTTGTTAATGACGTGTAGTAACTTGGATTGATCCACACTTTGCCAACTACTTAAGTTGCTTATCTATAACTGAAATTAAAAGTGGGAATTGTACAAGACTCACCAATTACAGATCATTTTCAAAAATCGGATGATTCATTAATAATAAATAGATAAGATAGTGTAGTCATTTTATAAGTGGTTCCTATCAAGAACTGACATAAGTTAAGGTACAAATGAAAATACAAAAATACTTAGAACTTATTTCATTCTAATATGAAAATTCTCAGTAGTCCGAACATACAAGTGCAGAGTCTTCTGACCACTATAAGCAACAATGCAAACATGTTCGGTATGCGATTCTCCTCCTCAAAATCCAAAATGTTACTTCACGATTGGGTTGTATCGACACCTAAACTAATGATAGGGAGTGAAAGAGTTGAGCGTGTCTACCGCTTCACTTATCTTGAGAGTCTCATCAGCCCTTGTCGTCTGATTTGTGATGAAATCTCGACTGGCTTTTGCCAACTTGCATCATTTATAGCGTAGGCGAGATATCCGTCTACCAAACAAAGTACGGGTTTACTGAGCAGCAGTTCGTTCCGTCCTCCTTTAAGGTTGTGAAACATGGTCGGTAAGAGCAGAGGATATTCGTAGGTTACTAGTATTTGATCATAGGTGTCTTCGAAATATTGCTCGTATATCCTGGGACCACCGAGTAAATAATGCAGTTGTTAGGAAACGGGTACCAGAAAAGGATGGCAAATCAATTGATGAAGTATTGAAAATACATCAGTTGAAATTGCTAGGACACGTGTTACGTATGCCCAACCACCAACTGCTCCGATGTTGTAGGAGTAGGTTGGAAGAAAGCTAGTGGCGGCCAGATCGAAACTCGTTACAAATCCATGAAGTCACTAACAAGTGGTCTTAGTCATGTTGATATGTGTAGACTACCTGATTGCAATCTGCAAGATGATAGCAACCGATGATTAGAAACCTTGAATGACAAGGCTCAAAATCGTTTGCAATGGCACAGGTGCATCCACTCTTTATGTTCTCCCAAATGCCAATCTTCTGAATCCTTCATGTCCCTTTCTTTTTTTTCCTTCCAAATTTATTTCACTGGATTATACTCGTTGAATAACATCTTCAAACCTTAATCTTTCCTATTACTACTTATACTCTTACTACCTCTACCACTACGGGATTTGAATCGACAACTGGATATGTGTGATAATGTGATATGGCAACTCGAGCTGATGTACGTACATACGATGTTCTACTTTGTTTTTGACAGACTAAATGTTACCCATGAATCCTTCTGTTTTACCTAACCTATAACCATGAATAATAACTCAATGATCTAAAAGATTAATACTTACTGAAAGATATTAAATCAACCCTCATATATACACAGATTAATATAAAAAATAGTTATATATGATCATTATTGAAAATTGAACAGTATAGTTTTAAATAATCACTTACATTATTTTAACAAATTCATCATTTCGATCTTCTTTTATTATAATTTTCTCTAATTTTTGCCAATTCATAATTCGTATAGTTAATTCTAAAATAATGACAGGTATTAATTGTTTCTTTCTGATGGACTCATTTATCCATTTATGGTTTCTTTCGGCATTTAACAAGGAATTCAATGTCATTCTTAAGAATGTTAATTGTAATGTTGAATAAAATTGTGTAAACCATTGATTAATTGACGGAATCCATTTAAGTGAATCTAATAGTTCAATATGTTGATGGAATTCGTTAATGACTCCAGTAATCTAAATAATAATAATGAAATATAAAATTGTATATGAGTGTGTATACAATTATTTCAACGTTTCTTTTTTTCTCAGATTGATACCGGTATAACGGATGAACAGATTTATTTTCTTGATTGAGATCGCGAAATGATTGATGTCAGACCACCATTGAAAACCTGGAAGCACTGGACGGCCGTTTCGTTCTATTGTTGGACTCCCCAGCAGTGCACATCCACGATTCCGCTCGCGGAGATTTATTTTCTGTTGGAGAGACTATAATTTATGGACGGGCCAATCAGAAGCGTTAGAGGGAATTCAGGGTCACGGCGCCAACTGCAGTACTTAATGCTAACGTATGATTGATTTACAGGTGATTTCATATAAAACTTGATGATTTAGCGGCTATGACAAATAAAACGGCGAGATTATAAATTGTGGATGAACCAATCAGGCATAAGATAACAGATCTCAGATCTTGGTGCAAAAGTTTTTCATCCATTTGGCTAAATAGAGTTTTAGCATTATAACTGATGTCAGCTAGTGATGAAAACCCTATATATAGTTCCTAACTTAGACAAATTATGACAGTTACTGCTAACTGGATAATAAAAGCATCAGTAACACTGGCTGCAGCCAGGTACTACAATATATACGGATGATTGGAGATTGTACAGACTCCTGCATAGGCTTGGTTATGTGCATCGTGTCATTATCCACAAGTGGCATTTTGTATACTCAACACCCGGAGTGCACACAAACAATATTGAAGCTATGTGGTCGAGGCTGAAAGAGTTTTTGCGACCTTTCATGGCTCCAGGGGCCGACTATTCTGTAACCATATGGATGAATTCCTCTACTGCATGCATTACGATTTTAGAACCTCCGAACCTCTTTCTAACCTTGACAAGTTTTTGAACCATGTATAAGAAGTTTACCCACTTTATTTCTTTGGTTTTGTATAATATATTTTTACTGTATACTGTCTGTTTGCTGACTGACTAATATTTCTCAAGGTCACTTAATATTAGTTCAAATGTCGTCCATAAATTATAGTTTCGCCTTTCTGTTTACCAGGGCTTACTACCATAGAGTAATAATTCGACAGTATTTGAGATTATTCTACTACTGTACTAGATGTACAATCGGTGCGCTATGCACAGACTCTATCACACTACACGAGATATATGATTCATGACTGATTATAGAAAACCCGAATATAGACTAGATAATACTTTATTCAACACAGTTACAGAGCAGTTTTTACTTCATGAACTCTAGAGTAGAAATCAATGACAGTCAATCAATGATAAGTCAGCATGTTGATTTTTTCATTTTGTACTCAGTGACCAATCACATTCACTCTCATTAGCCACATATCAGATACACTTAAGTTTCCTTTGAAAACTACTGAATCACTGAGCAGATACTCCATTCTAGTATGAAACTTACTAGCAGTAAGCGTCTTCAAAGGATGAACTCAGGATTTATAAGTCTTGTAGTCACTGCGTTACTTTTAAATATCATAGATTGGGGATCCAGTACTTTTCGATTCCGTTTTCAAATTAATCGCAATATAGCGAAGCACTAAACATTGCTATTAGTAGTTAGGTTCATTAACACATATTACTTCTTTCGACATCTGTTTAGGTTAGTCATCGGTCTTTGGTATTTGGTAATAAAACTGTCCGGAGGTGTATATTTCCTAGTTCAGATCATCTCTGATAACAGAACATTTACTACATAATTAACATAATTTATTAATTTAGTCACAGTTATAAGTATTCATTATTTTTATGATTGTTTTTAATACAACAAAATTGCTGTAAAAAGGTAATTAATGGTAATTTATAACTAATTAAGTATTTATTGGTAATTCCTAAGCTTTATTCACTTATTAAAATGTATCTGAACTGTTGCCAATACCATTTGGTTATTATAACAAGTAACCTATAAAATCATTGAAGTTCTGAATGACATTGATATTCAGGAACAATATTAGCTGAAGATAGGGTTATCCTACAAAGTGCTTGGAGTTTGGAAATAAGAACTTGAGTAGAACAATTCCCTGACATCATAATATCGTACTCGTAACAAGATTTGAAGTTTTCAATCTCGTAGTCACATGGCATCACGGATATGCCATTAATGGAGACTATCAAATCAAAATGAGCATCCTTCTTATACTTCATAATGATTGATCAATTGATATCCATGGCTTAATATAGGCTAGAAATGAGACAGATTGATTGATAGATAGATAGATAATTTTATCACACTATGTCTAACCTTCCAACATTTCTCTGCTTTACACCATATTATTACACAATCTAACAGATATGGAAATAAGCGTTTTATCCATTTATTCAGATTGACTAATCCATAATTAGTATCTAAAGAAGACTGATAAGAATCTTGTTTTTGATCAGTAAAGTCTTCAACAGAACATTTCAGTGGAGCTGCATAATCACAATATGGAATGGACCAATTACTTAGGAGTTCAATTCTTTCCATTTTGGATAATAAACAAAATAATGGAAATGTCTAGAATGGAAAAAAAACAAATGGTTAGGACTAAGTAGTTTTTTGATAATTTCGAACATCTTAAGAAAACGACTTTGTGGTGCACTCGTCCCAACTTCTTTAACTGAACCTGAGATGACAAATCTATGTCTTAGAAGGGAGAGGTGATGCAATCAGAATGATAAGTTCACGTGATTGGCCGAAACATGGTTTTCACTTCTAATTAATGTGGCATAAACCATCAGTGGCTCAATTTTCTAAGGGATATATATACGCCGATTCGGTCAGTCAGTAAACTCTCACATTTCGTTTTTTTCACTGGAGTAGCTAGTAGGATTCGTTTTTCAGAACTATGATCATCAGTATCAGGCACCACATGCCACAACAGGATTAAAATCTGTTCAACGGTTCAACTAACGTCACACCAGTAAAGACTGTTGGATTTTGTAGTTTGCATTAGAGGCTCACCTTATCTAGACAATCATTCAACCAGGAAACACTGGACAACTGAAGGTTCTAGGTTCACTCTTTGATAGTGTCATGGTGTATACCTCTGAGAAGCCCAAACAACCTTCCGGTCTCACTCTGATTTTAAATGGTTGTCTAACTAGGGTCAGTTCTTGATGTAAACTTCAATGTAGTACTGACTACATATTAATGCCATTGAATTCAGCCAACCAATGCGTAGTGTAGTACAAATGCAAATGAATTAGCATTGTGTGTGCTGTCTTCTAGTTCGAGGCTGTTAGAGACAATCGGTATGAATGCTTATTTACATCGAACACCATTAATTCACCTACGATTTCAAAGAAACTGTCATTCGAATTCATATTACTAAGCAGTTACTATCTGGAACGTTGTCATTGAAATCCTCAAGAAGCTAATGACTACTAGTGATTTCCAGTTACTAATAACAAACTTTCACAGCAATTCCATTATTTCAATGTTTTTTTTCTTCTTATCTTACTTAAATCCATATTTGTAAAACAGATTAACGACTAATACAAATTTTAGCAAAATCAATCAAAACTTACAAATGGTTGCTTACCTCACACATTTCATCGATTGATTTCTCAAACATACTAACATGTTCATAAAGATCATTCTTTAATATTAACCATAAATCCCATTTACTATGAACAATTTCAATAAAACATTGTAAATTTATACAATTTATTTGAATTAATTCATTATCTTCATATTCGATAGATTGAACAGATATTACTCGATCATTATTTGGTAGTATATCATTTTCCAAATGTACATAATTATCAGTTAATATAATGAATTGATTTGAGCTATATTCTCCATCATTTCGTTTTAATGAATATGATCGATATAAATATAACCACTGTGTAATATAAACATGTACAGATTAAAAACTTTGAATATCATCAAATGATACTTTAACAAAACAGTTATTAGATATGAATTCTGACTATTCAAAAGAAAGCCCCCAAATTCTCTGGTACGGCTGAGAGTGAGGAGAGTTCGCTCTTTCTATTCAATCACTCTCACATGGCCACGCGTATATAGCCCCTGCGAGGGAAGTCTTACTCACTGTCTTCTTGTGGCGGGGGGTGTTGTTTACGAAATTGAGAGGACTAAAAGCGAATCTCCGGCGCTTTAACCGGATTCCAAACCAATGGTGCACATGGGCTCCAGTATCCTGCTGGAACAAATGGTGTACGAACCAATCGTTGGTCACTGGCTACCATGGAACTGCATCTCCTTACGATGCTCCACTGCCTTGTGGATTAGACTTTCATGTCGAAGGTCCTGGGTGTGGCCCCCTAGGCAAACCACCTGCTTTGCTCTGGGCACCCGGGCAGTATCACAGCCCTCACACATATCAAATGAGATTTGTGTGGCGCATATATATTTGGTGCCTCCTTCTACCAATATGTATGTGTTAAAACAAATAAATAAATAATTCAAAAGAAAAGTTATCTAATTGTCAATGGACTATGACTATAATCAATGTATATTTATCGCGAAATTTTAATTTCATAAAACCGACATCAGACTCGATATGTATAGAAATCTTCAGAACATCACTACATAAAAGAGACCATTTGCTCAAGATAAGTTTTTCAATGTTGTACTGAAAAAGCTGTTACCCATAAATGAAATCAACTAAGTCAATACGGTGATATTACCCTACTAATGACTTTGAATTATTATTATTATTATTATTATTATTATTATTAGTAGTAGTAGTAGTAGTAGTAGTAGTAGTAGTAGTAGACCTAATAATGACTTTATTCAATATTATATTTTTAGTACAATATAGAATTCTCAGAACAAAGTATTTCGACAAGTTTCGCCTAGTTATTTCTTGATCGATCCTGACGATAAATACTGAGTGATCGCCAGTCAGATGTTAGCAGTACAGGAATCGTCATCTGAGCTATGTTCAGTCTTTCCAATGCATACTCCCAGCCACCACAATATCTCTGATTGTACTTTTTTGTAAGTTGTACAGAGAAAATTCATAAACTTTTCATAAACGCATCTGAGTAGGTTATATAGTTAATAGACATAATGATGCGTTAAAACAAAAAAAAACATAATCTGTTGAAATATCTAGATGGCCGGAACAAGTAGCCCAGATATTCAAGAATGCCTCCAAAGTTCGATTAGGCTTGAGCTATAAAATGGACTTTATTACACTTTGAAAATATGCTAAAACTATTCATAACATTTTAATTGTTCATTAAATATATCGTCTCCAGCAGTTCTATCCATTTTCCTGTTCATATTTAGTTAGTATTACTTATTAAAACGTATTAAAGTGTAATTTTCAATCGAGATAGTATACGAAGTAATAATTGTTGATTTTTTTCATCCAACATGTTAGAGTATTTTATACGGATGTATTCATAGTTGATATTTGTAGAGATTTGAATGCCACGGATTTTAATTTTACATACAATTGTAGGAATTTTCACTGGTAAATAGTTAAACGATTGAGATGGTGGAGAAGATTTGTATCTCAAGTAAATGATTTTGATGGAGTTTGTGCTGATAATGTCGTTCACAAGAACAATGAAAACTCACGACTAAACCATCTAGCTCAGAGAACAAAACTCCATCAAAAGTTAAACAATTGTCTAGTTCCCGTTAGTTTTTTTGAATAGTTCTTTAACTAATTATGTTTCATAGTAAAGAAAAATATTTAAAAACTTATGGAATCTGCTTTAGAACTAATACTATCAGTCATGATATTTAATTCATTTAGACATGATGTGGTGTTTGAATGAATTGATGATACCTTGATACTCGTTGAATGCTTGATTTCGAATTCAAAATACAGTACATTCGTTTGTGGTTATCTAGTACTTCTTGATCTGATTACGTTATTTCTGGGATTCTCAGTTCGTACTATAGCTCAAATACTTCTGATTATCATTGGCATCGCGATGGAGCCTGTGATGGAACGATTGGACATACATTCAGATTTTGATGCTTTTGAGGATTACTTTGAAAGGTTCGAAATTTGGGCTATGATCAAGAAAGATGCTGAGGATGTGAATACTGTAGCACATTTCCTCACATTCATCGGAAAAGAAGCATATAGCTTATTAAAAACTCTGGCTTTACAGGGAAAGCCCATTTCGTTTTCTTATACAATTCTCAAGGATCTACTGCTAGACTATGTTAAGTCTACAAATTTCGAATGCGGCAAAGAAGGAAGATTTCGTAAAATGATTCATGAGGATATAAAAAGTTCCACTACATTACGTCATCCCAACCCAGTGCATACTCAAGGTTATGCAGATAATTCATTGAGGAGTTGCGGTGCAGTTCACAAAGATGGACACAAGTTTGGTCAGTGTTTGTCCTGTGGTAGGTTCCACTCTTTTAATTCATGTAAATTTCGTAATTGTAAGTGCTTTAAATGTGGTGATATTGAACATATTTAATCAGTTTGTTGTACTACTGTTCATCTAGTTGCAACGAAGATTAAGTCTTGTAATTCTGATTCTATTAAGTTTAGTATTTATAATGATCATTTATTTTTGTCAACGATTTCAAAAGATAGTGTAGAGTCATAGCAGTTCAGAGTTAAGTGAAACTCAGAATCTTTGCAAGACAACAGTTTCTAATCAACCAACTTATCAGATTTCTCATGTTATTGTGCAAAATATGGTTTTCCCTAATGGTTCACTTATTTCTGACGAAATTCCTTGCAAATCGGAGGAAAATATGTTGAGTGAACCTAGTCATGATCGAAAACCTGATGCAGTCGTGATAGATGCTGATTTTTCTAATGATCCTTTACTCTTCAATGACATTCTTAATAAGTTTGAGGAAACTATTTCAGAAGAATCAAATCTTGACCTCATATCAAACATTATTTGTTTTCATAATGCATTTGTTTCCTGTGGGAAACTTGTTCAATGCAAAGCACAAGTACTAAATGACCTCGATTTTGATTACAATCCAAATACTTCTGATTATCACACATGATCATTAAAATGACTTACATAATCTTGTATTAACTTCATATTACATAATGTATTCTTTGTTTGATTTAATTTCTTCATTAAGTAGTAATCATTTTCAAGTAGATACTCATTTGTTGTTTCATTTTGTTTTATTCTATTCAAAAGTTCAGAATCTAGTAAACTTTGAAGTTTATTTGATAATTCACATAAGTTTTCAATTAAATTGTCAATATTCAAGAATATCCATGGATAGGGAATTTCTGTTGTACAACGGTTACTTCTGGATGAATACCTTCCAGAGAGATCCTTTTATAATACAAAAGGATATTAGATAGAAAATCACTCAATTAGTTAGAGGTAACATAGAGTACGGTAAAAATAATCAATTTAAGTTAGGAAATCTTAAAATAGAACAAACAGGAAGAAGAAAGAAAAAGAGAATTCAGCGAAGAAAATTTTCTTTTCGACAAAATCATTTACTTAAGCTGTACATTCATATATATAGTTACATGAAAAATATATGTCTGTAAAATGAAAGAAAAGACTGCATAGGCTGCACAAATCGATCACTGTACAAACGCATCTCGGAACACTATCTGGCTTGGTTCTTAAAAGGAAAATGTAAAACAATTACTAGTTTGATACCGGAGTATTTAATTAACTGTGGACACATCGCTCCAAAGGACCATTCTTTTAAAGTGATCTATAGAGTCAAAGGAACTGGATGGCAGGGGTTCGAATCAATATTTTATGCACTGCTGAGGCATTGGCAATCAATGAACTCAACCCTGAACTTTGCGTGCAGAAACGATTTATCCAACTTCTCATCCTTCCTTGGCCCTAATTTATTTGACGGGTATGTTTCTGGGTCTTTTTTCTACTTGTTTTTCCGCACTTTTATTTGATTATTATTGAATTTTTAAATTACTGTTTTGCATTTTAAAATTAAACTTTTCGAGATTATTATTCAGTCTATTATTATGACCTTTATGTTTCACTAGTTGAAATCATGAGTCAATATAAGCTAGATCATCATGGAAAATCTGGAAGCACTAGACGACCGTTTTGTTCTATCTTGCGAATCTTCAGCAGTGCTCACCCACGATCCTGCCCAACTCCAGATTCCAACTCAGGACATATCAGTTTCGCGAGCGAGCACTTAACCACTAAACCACTGAGACGGCATCCAATGGTGTTAATGTCTAACTTCAATCAATCCACGAAGTTGCGCCATCGTACACCATTGTCTTCAGTGAGCTGATATCTGACAGCAGACCTGGCTGAACTCCATTGGTAACGGCTTCTCACTAGAACTCCACGAAATGTCTATTGAAGTCAGTCACTGGTGAGTAGATGATTAATATCAGAAGAGGTTTTGTGGTGATTTTCCATGGTGGTCTAGCTTCAATGAACTCATAATCTCAACTATTAAAATTACTACAATCTTTATAAAATCCTTTCAAAACATAATTCGAATCATAAATATTGTATTACCTGATTCATTTGATCAATATATTCATTACGAAATGATAAATGAATAGATTTAATCAATTCTGAATGTGATTTCATTGATATAAATTGAATATTTAATGATTTGAATTGATTTTCAATTGTTGTTTTAATTTGATAAATCGATAATAAATATTGAAATATATTATTGATTTCTTTTAATTGATATTCTTGTTTTAATAAATTAGACTTAGGATTATTCATTAAATCATTGATTGTACAATTTTTCCAATTGATATTGATTGATATATTTAATAGTTTTGAACAATGATTCCAATATTCTGATGAGAAAGACTTGAATTTAAAAACATTTTGAAATAGAGTTGCTTTACATTTGTACAAATAAGGAAAATACTAAGAAAAGCCTTCGTACATTCATTACTGAAGAGTTTGTATAGCTTTAACAATTCAACAGTTACTAACAGTGAAAACTGTATTGTGTATAAATCTAACTAGCATGACTTTAGGTACAAGGAAGCACTAAATACATATGAGCCACACAAATCTCATTCGATATGTGTGAGGGCTGTGATACTGTCCGGGTGCTCAAACCGAAGCAAGTGGTTTGCTCAGGGAGCCACTCCCCGAGCCTTCGACATGAAGGTCTGATCCACAAGGCAGTGGAGCATCGTAAGGAGATGCAGTCCCATGGAAGCCGGTGACCAACAATTGGTTCATACGTTATTTGTTCCCTCAGGATACTAGAGCCCATGTGCACCATTGATTTGGAATCCGGTTAAAGAGCCGGAGATTCGCTTTTCGCCCTGTCAATTTCGTAAACAACACCCCCACCACGAGAAGGCAGTGAGTAGGACTTCCCTGGCAGAGGCTATGTACGCGTGGCCATATGAGAGCATTTGGAGAGGGAGAGCGAACTCTCCCCACTCTCGGCCATACCAGGGCATTTGTGGTCAGAATCGATCCATTTCATATGGAATTAAAACTCATACCTGTTGCATAAATAAATGGCTATTTAAACTCAGTAACTAAATGGATAATGCGATAGTGTTTGAAGTGAATGGAATTGAACTTGAGTTCTGAGATAGATATCAACTTTGGGATGTAGGCACATCCAGCTGACTAGTCCTAAACAGGATAAAAACTCGAGCACTGAATTCAACCTTTCATCTTATTCCATCTACCCTATACTGATAACATAAAAATGTCATGTTCAGGATTCCATCGGATGAAATCATACGATTCTTCTCGCAATCTCTCAACGTTTAATCAAGTATATATCCCAATAGAAGTGAAACAATTTCATATACTAGAAATTGTATACTACTGGTCAAATTTTGGTGTTTCCTGCAGTGAACCCAATAAAAAACACTCCACTTTATTAAATATAACATAAACTTTATTGAGATCATGAACCGATCAGTGTTTGACTAGCATTGGAAACCTGGAAGCACTGGATAGTCGTTTTGTATCAGTATGGACCATCTTAAATTGTCTTCGGTGCAAAACCGCTTCATACCCGAAATTCACCTCTCGAAGCTAGTAACTAATGAGCACATAATGATTGTCAGTATAGAGTTATGGATATTCTTGAGATTCATTGGAGCATAACACCGTCGAACGCCGGCTCAGTGGTTTAGAGCTTAGAAGTCCACGTGAGAACGAGGTTCCAGGGTCTTATTCTGGTTTGCGGACCGCGGATCTGCACTACTGAGCAATCTGATACTGAGAGAAAATGGTCATTGCGTGCTCCCAGGTTTTCAATGGTGGTCTAATACTGATCGGTTCATATCTTTCATATAATAATAGTTGTAAGCATTTGTTTTGCGTATAAATTAATGTTCTGTGTTTTGCATTCCTTACGTTAGTTAAGCATGAACCAACCGCTAAGTACATTTTCACTTATGACATGGTTGTCCCCAAATTTTAATTTTTATTTATACTGATGTGTGGTCTGGAATTTGACCTATATTATCACACTACTTTGAGTTATGAATTGAATGGTACAACGGAAGTTATCTGTCTGTTGTGTTCTTGTCCTAGTCCGATTGTTTGACAACTGGGCATACAAAACTCCATCCTAGACCAATAAGTGTTAAGTACTGATCTCGATCGTTATCTTGTAGTGTCGGTCATTATGTTAAGCCCATATACCTTATTCCCGCTTTCGGACAGCTCAATCTATTCATTCTACTTGAGTCACACTTTGACCTTGTTAATTATCCGCTTATCAATCTTGACTGTTTTTATATGAGCTCATATGTGTGTGTACATTTCTTATCCCATTCATCACGTGTCTGTAACTTATTTTTGTGTAACTATAAATATTGATTAACGCTTGGTTAAATAGGAGTTGGCTTACCCGCCATGTCTACCGCGCGTCGTTTTGCTTTGTTCTATCCCATTCGCTTTATATACAAAATAAATGTATTCAAAAGTCGATTCTCGTTATTTGACTTGTTTAATTCCGTTATTGACTAACGCGATTTAAGTCGATGATTATGTACGAGGATAGGGACATACATATTTCAGTCACAATCATTCATACGATCGAATCGGAGTCAGATCACGGGCCACTAAAGTGGAGAGCCCGTCAACAAACATCATTCGATCTAAATGACGACAAAATAAAGGACCCCACAATCTCACAATCGTTGAGTTATTGTATAAAGGAAGCAATTTATACCGTTGGATAACAAGAAATTATCAATCCTATGGAAGGGATCTGTTCTTGTAACCATTACATCAATTACTTACTGCAATATTTCAAGTATGTTATTACATAGATAGCTACTCAAACTTATCTTAACCTCATCAATCAATCTAGCATAGTAATAATGAAGTATCACATTTAAAAGTGTCATCTCCATAGCATAATAGTCAAATAACTGCTAAAAGAAAGTTTTCATCATGGAGTACTATTCTTTTCAGGTTTAGGATATACCCAATAATGTTCACTGTTATGGGTTAAGCTCATAACCTTTAGATCTGGCAGAAACCATAGTCTAAACCTGTAAACTCAGTTACTTCTCAGTATGTAACAATCATCAACCAATAACATAGATGTGTAACTGCTAAGTAAACTTAAATAAAAAACAAAATAACATAATTCTTTTTTCAGAAGGGATTTTGTGGAGATTTTTTATAGTTGAATTCATGAATCAAATAGAACTAGACCACCATAGAAAACGACCGTACAGTACTTCCAGGCTCTCCATGATGGTCTAGTTTCAATTGACTCATGGATTCAACTATAACAATTCATACTTTAAACGATAACTATAACTTAATAGGAAGTTTGTTTTTCTTTATAAAGAATGGTTTAACAAAGAACAAACTAACTAACCAACAATTCTGTATCCAAAATATAACTTAAGAGTTTCAATAATTTTTCCATTTTATTCAAACATTTCGTATCATATTGAACAATTACATCATCATTTCTTAATTGATTACATAATGAAACAAGTTTTTGATATCTCTCATTGAACATATTTAAAGGTATCTATTTTTTTAGAAAAGAAAAACACATGAATTACAAGACATGGATATGCACATTGAACATTTAATGTCGTAGAAAATTTATAAGAATGATAGACGACTTTTAAAAATAAACAGCATAACTATGAACAGTAAATTTAGTCAGTCAGTAACAACGTAGAACTTCGTACGCATGTGCATCAGTTCGAGTTGCCATATCACATTATCACACATGAAGGATGTGATCAGTCACTTCCATATAACTTAGACATTTTATCGCACACACAGGAAAAATGCAGGCGAATTTACTTAGTATAGCAGCAGATCCTGCAAAGATAGGTCCCAGTATGAGATGAATCACACATGATGAAGAGGCTCCAGGATAGACGAAAGACTTCACAGGTATTCAGTACGCATGGCTCAGAATTGATCACATTAGCGTAGGTGAATACACTCTCTGTCATACCTTAAACTATGAGATTAAAATCGCTTCATATCTTCCTACGTACTAATTCTTTCTTCCTGTACTATATCCTTATATACAATCTTTCTTTTATATACTACCACCATTGAATTAAATACTTCTAGGAATCCGGTATTCATCTTGCTGTGTTAATGCGGTATGGCAACTTGGACCGGTGCATATATGTGCCTTGTCCGACGTTGTAGTTGACTGACTGACTGAATGAATGATATTTGTATGCTAATAATTTTCACAACAATGTTTTATTAATTAGACATGATCATTCGACAAAGTAAGAGTTCTTCCATTGGTGTTCAGTGTTATTTATTATCTCATAGTTCAACCGTGACACATCTATATAATTAATAAGCTAAATTAATATTGGCATTTCAAATAACTACCAATCTTACCCTAACATCAGTCACATTCAAGAAGATTCAAAAACATAGTTGATTCAGTGTAGTAAGCCCTAAGCAGTCAGTATAGTTTGAGAGTCTCAATCAAATTATTGTTATTCTTCATGAAAAAAATCTCCACTCAACCTTTCGGATATTATTGACTGAAACAAAGATGTTATATATCTAAAATCACAGTGAACAATATTCCAAATGAAAAAGATTCTGCACTCAATCTCTGAAGATATTATGGCAATATTTACTGAAAAAGGGTTCTATATTAGCATAAAATAACTTTCCATCTGTCAGTCAGTCAGTAACAATGTAAAACTTCGTACGTACGTACATCAGTTCGAGTTGCCATACCAAATTAGCACACAGATACAATTGTCCATTCAAACCCCGTTGTGGTAGAGGTAGTAAAAGTATAAGCAGCAAACGGAAAGATTAGGATTTGAAGATGTTATTCAACGAGTATAATCCAGTGAAATAAATTTGGAAAGAGAAAAAAATAAAGGAACATGAAGAATTCAGAAGATTAGAATTCGGGAGAACACAAAGTGTGGATGCACGTGCTCCATTGCAAACGATTTTGAGCCATGTCATTCAAGGTCTCTAACCATCGGTTGCTATCATCTTGCAGATTGCAACCAGGTAGTCTACACCTACCATCATGACTCAGTCTATTTGTCAGTGACTTCATGAATTTGTAACATGTTTTGGTCTGGTCGCCTCTAGCTTTCTTCCAAACTACTCCTACACCATCTGTATTCAAACTGATATTTACCTAATCATCATAGAATCTTTCAATAATGAACAAGATCAAATCAAATATCAATGACTTACTTCTCCTAATCTTGATTTATATAACTCTTGTTTAAATGCATCAATTTTCAAATTTAGTTGCCATGCATCATATCTACAATTGACTTTTTTCATTTCATTATCAATATATAATAAAATATTATTTGTTTCATTAAAATATTTACATGATTGTTTTATATGTTTAAAGTTAACTTGACAATTATCTGTAATATAAAGTTTATTATCAATGTAATCGTTGTACTCATCAATGATCTATTTGATGAATAGGATAGATTCATTTTATCAATTTTAGCTTTTTCAAATTGTTTCTCATTATATTCACAATTTTGAACAGTTTTATGTTGATCTATAAGTTGATGAATAGAACTTTCTAATTTCATGACATAACAATATGGCTGTAAAACAAAAAAGGTTACATAATATAATCATAATTGGAAAGTAATTGATAGATTCAAATAAAAGCTGAATACACAGAACTAAATAAGTAAGTGGAGAGGAGCATCAGAACCGACAAATGTAATTATATGGAAGATTTAGAAATGACGGTGGAAAAGGCTGCAAGTGAAGGAAACATGAGATAATTGTATGACACAACAAAGAAACTCGCTGGAAATTATCACAGATCAGAATGACCAGTGAAAAGCAAGGTAAGCAAAATGGTCACCAACATTGAAGAACAGCGAAACAGGTGGGTAGAACACTTTAAAGAACTCTTGAATCGACCAGCTCCACTGAACACACCCAACATCAAAGTAGTACCCACGGCCCTCCCAATCGATGTTGGCTCAATGTTGCTAACATAAACATAATTGCATGTGAAAGTAGATCGACATCAGTTCACCTTGTCTCTAACCCTCTACTATCTGTTATATTTGGGTGACATTTATGTGGACTAGAGATACATATTCTGAGCAATGAAAATTTAAATTTCCATAACATTAAACAATTATACCTTTCATTTAAACTCACTTCCTTCATGTCGTTTAGTATCATTTGTGCATCATTATTAACATCAGAATATTTGCCAGTTGTAAGTAAATGAACTAAACGTTCAACTTCTTTTATAGTTTCCTAACGTGAAATTATTGTTATTAAAAATAAACGTAAAACATTGGCTTTTAATCAAATTAGTATATATTTTTGTATATGAATTTATGTAACAATGTTGAAAAGTACATTATTTCTCATAAATTCGACTAAAATCTTTAAGTGCCACAAAAGTGCATTTGAAGGTACCTGAAAAGGAAATTGGATTAGAGGTGGCCTTAGTGACCTGAGAGCGTGACCACAGTGCCCAAGGAACAACTGCTTGAGGTCGGTCACACACGACCTTTCGTGAGTAATTTCGTGTTAGCCCCATAATTGTTGAGACCTTATCGCCAGAGACGGGTATCCGTGGGATAAGGTGAGGTGTGCATTTTTAGTGTCGACCTTTTCTAACCCCACCCTTCCTTGTGGAAAGGCAGCATCTCCGTCATACTGTTTGTCTGAAGGAAACACCTTACTGCTGTCACACCTCTGTGCAGTCAGCAGTACGACTCCGCCTTCGGACCTTGGATTTGTTGCTTTTAGTCTTACCGCTCTTCAACCGACCTGTCTGACATAATGGGACCTTGAGGAATGGTTGTTCCAGCCAGTATAGCTCGAATGCTTCATTATGATAAGCGAGCCCAACCACCACGTCAAGGTAGCAACAACGGTCAGGAAAAGCACATCGTAAATGGTTGATTCTCAGGGACACCACACAAAAATTTATAAATAAATAAACATTGGAATGACATTTACTGCTTAAATATTTGATTTAATGGATGAGCATAGGATGACTGTGTTTATCTACAAAACATTCAGTACAGTAATTGAAGTTCTATTTAAGATTCTTACTTTCGCATAATTGATATACAGGACTGTAATTAATCACTTCATGTATATTTGAATCTTAAGCAGATACCTCAATACTGCCAATAGAAACAAATTCTTGGTATCCAGATACCCCGGCAGAGACTAATCAAATTTAGTTTTTTTATATTGACGGAATGAAAATACATACCTTCACAACTGAATTTAAACTTGCCGAATAAGTTAAAGACTAAATGAACTCTTCACCTTGGTGGAAAACGTTTTGTGTTTGAAGAGAAAAGTATCGGGTGTGAGACGTTGTTAAGTTCACCTGACAAGTCTTCACTAGGACAAAACCCTATATCCAAGAATATAATGATTAAATCTCACTTAAAATATAAATAACTGCATGAGATTAATTTTGTAGGTTACTTACTACCATTTGACATATTTTTGAATAAAACATCCTGTACTACTTACAAACAATAAACAACTCTTATCATTTAACTACTAGTATACTTTAAAAACAAGTAAAAGTCTTCCAAAGACAATTAGACTGGATCTTCTTTGCATTGCCGAAGCATTAGCCATACGTTTGTAAAAACCAGAATTGTGTGTGCAAAAGAAACTGGTGCAACCTCTTCTTCTGCCATGTCATAATTTTTTTCTCTTTTTCATACTCTTTTTCCTTTACAGCCATCTGCTTAACCTTCCATCTTCCCCTTAAAATCCTCTACCCCCAACTGGTTTATTTTGTTTCCACGATCATTCTGATTACATTAATCTTAATTTCAACATTCTATCTTATCATGATGAGCCATCCTTTCCCAATGATAACTTCCTTATCTATCCTTTGATGAATACTTAAGCCATTAACAATCAAACGATTATTAAACTTTTCTTGCTTCATAAAACAAACTTCTAATATCTTTGTTTATTTAACCTCACTGTCACCATGTCTAACAGAAGTTTATTATCAGTATTATTATCATCCTGTAAAAATAAGTATAATGTATATTTGTGATTGTACAACTTTGAAAATGAATTCACCGTAAAGAGAACTCTTCACTGAACTAATCTTTCTTATATAACCTATATCAGCATACCAAAGTATTTATTCTATAATTATCAAAATCGGTAGATAGACAATAATCGCTTGTATATATAACACTGATACTAGTACATTCAAAATTGTCAATATTACCTCAAATTAAATTCATTTGGTGTTGTTTTACTTGTATCTTCCCATTGTTATTTAGGACTGCGATTGATCAGTCTCATGTTGAGATATGTGCATCCTGTGCGGATTGCCTCGATATTGTCTGAAGTCACAAGCTTTTTAAGCAAAGATGGATAGTGGATAGGACTCAGTAGCTAAGTGGATAACGGGATGGTGTTTGAAGCGAACGGTACTGGGTTCGAGTCCCGGAAAGGGCATCAACTCTGCGATGCAGGTACATCCAGCTGACGAGTCCCAGCTAGCACGAAACCTGCTCCCTGGATTCTATTGCTAGTCACTATCCATCTTTGCTCAAAAAGCTTGTGACTTCAGACAATATCGAGGCAATCCGCACAGGATGCACATATCTCAACATGAGACTGATCAATCGCAGTCCTAAATAACAATGGGAAGATACAAGTAAACAACGCCAAATGAATTTATTCAACATCTTGTTTCAATTGATTACCGTTAGTCTCAATGACATATGGGTTAAATTAAAATAAGAAACTATAAAATTAAGAATTTGAGCAGTTTATTCAATACAAGATTAGTTTTCACTATAAAATGACATCAATTGAATATAAAGGGGAGTCCAGCTGACAAATCCCAAATAGGACGAAACGCGAGTCAAAATGGATTCCACTGCTAGCCACTATCTATCTTTGCTTACCTCAATTTTTTTATTATAAACTTGATAGAATTCTTCTTGATATCTTCGAAATTTTTTTCTAGCCCATTCAATTTGATTTGTAAACTTTTTCCATTTAATTATAAATTGTTCATACTGTGACCATTTAACAAGTTGAATGAATTTTAATTCTTCACAATGGCTTAAACATTTTTGAAAATGTTGTATAAACTGAAGAATAAAATGAAAAAAAAAGTATTTTGTTTCTTTCAAGCTACTCATTGCTTCATCAATTGTGTTACGTATTTTCAATATCAGACGGGTTTTGTGGATATTATAGTAATTTCAATGGTTAAGATCATGAATCAGTTAAAGCTAAACCACCATTGAAAACCTGGAAGCACTGGACGGCCGTTTCGTCCTAGTAAGGGACTCCTCAGCAGTGTGCATCCAAGACCTCGCCCCCTGCGAGATTCGAACCCAGGACCTAATGGTTTCGCGCGCAAGCACTTACCCACTAAACCACTGAGCCGGCATCCAATGGTGTTAATGTCTAACTTCAACAGTCCCGAAATTGAGCGACACATCCACCATTACGGATCTTATAGTTGAATAAATGGGTTAGTTGAAGCTAGATCACCATGGAAAATCTGGAAGCACTAGATGATCGTTTTGTCCTAGCATGTGACTCTTCAGCAGTGCGTATCCACCATCCCGCACCCAAAACATTTGGTCTCTTAATCTCTAGACCATTGGGCCGGCATCCAATGGTTTTAATGTCTAACTTCAATCAACCCACAATATTGAGCGATCGTCCACTATTATCTTCAGTGAGTAACTGCTTCACATCAGACAATATTTGACTCCACTGGTCACATCTACGTACTAGAACTCCAGGAAACACATCTTGAACTTAAGATGAAAATTTCATTTGCTTTTCAAAATCATGACAGATATTTATAATTAAGTACACTCACTTGTTTACAAATATTACAGGTATTTAATTGTTAGTTAATAAACATCATACATTATATAAATTAGTCTATATACAAAAATGAATTTTAAATTGAACTGGCAAGACTATAATTTATGGACGAACTTATCAGATTTAGGATGATGGGTCTTGGATTTTGGCGCGAAATTCATTCACTCATCCGGCTAAATAGCGTTTTAGCATTTTAGCTAATACCTGTTCGTGATGAAAACTCTAAATTTAATTCCTAACCCTGACCATCAACTGTAAATCATAATCCTTATTCTTCACACTACTTTATAACCTTCATTCACCTTGAATTAGTAGGTGGTCATTCTCAAGATCACTTTAGCATCACTCAAAAAGTCCTTCATATATTATAATCTCACTCTAAGTTATACATTTATGTTTACTTTTAAAAACAAAATTAGAACATACTTCAACTTGACGACATAGATTATCATGGTCTTTAAATAATTTCTCATGACAATTATGTACACGATTTAAATAGGTAACAACTTGTATGAATCCATTAAAATCAGATTGAATATTTGTATGTATCTATAATAAAGTATAAAAACATATTAAACATTATCAAGACATTGAATGTGAGCTTGTTTGTTTATTTTTTAACTGAATGATATGAGTCAATTGAAGCTACACCACCATGAAAAACATGGAAGCACTGGACGACCGTTTCGTCCTATTGTGGAGCTCCTCAGCAGTGCGCATCCACGACCCCGCCTCGAGGGATTCGAACCCAGGGCCTATCAGTTGGTTAAGCGTCAGGCGTTGTTGAAATTACTACAATCTCCACAAAACCCCTTCTGAATTATATGAGTTTAAGCAAACTGTACTGTTAATAGCTTTTTGACTTAACTATAAGATGCCTAATATGTTTGTTCGTTTGTTTTTAAATCCAATACTCTTCAAACTTAGTCATACAGCTAAATGGTAATGTTTCTGATTGTAACATTGATGAATTTAGGTAAGATTAACACAAAAGGAATTAGTTCTTTGTAGATTACAGATACTGTTTGCTGTAAACTATCAACAAGCATGAAACATGAGTCCAGTTTCTCTTGATAATCTCGTCAAAACAATTTGATATATTAATGTATACATGAATTTCAGTTCTTCATTTAATGAAGTACAAAATATTTCATCTTTTAAAATAGATCTCAAATCTTATTTCCTTAATATTATTCCTTCTTTGTACATTGATCCTATCATCTTAATTGATTCTAGTTTTTTGCGTTCCTGAAGTGTTGTTCGGTAACAAGTCAGCTATGATCTTGTTTTCTTACTCCTAACAAAAAATCTGAGGATATGACTACAAAAATTGAAAAAAAAATAGTGGTTCCATTAAGTGGTATAGAAATATACATGCTAAAGATATCTAGATGCATAGTTTTCACTCAAATATATAAAAATATAGCATGTCGAGAAACAAACTATCTCTGATTGTAATCGCATCCGAATTTGAATCTAAACTGGTGATTGCATGAAGGATTGTGGATGAACACCAGGATGAAACGGACGTCCAGTACTTTCAGGTTTTCAATAGTGGTCTAGCTTAGATTGACTCATGAATTCAATTATTAAAAACAGGTAATCATGACTAAACAAATTATTGCTCTTTATATCCATCTTATTTTATTTTATTTGAACACATAGATATCGGCACAGGGTGGCACCATATACATTTGCACCACAAAAATCTCATTTGATTTGTGTGAAGACAGTGATACTTCCGGGTGCCTAAGCCAAAGCAAGTAGTTTTCTTAGGGGGCCACACCTGAGCCTTCGACCTGGAGGTCTGATTTACAAAACAGTGAAGCATCGTAAGGAGATGCAGTCCCATGGTAGCCGGTGACCAACGATTGGTTCATACACCATTTGTACCCTCAGAATACTGGAGCCCATGTGCACCATTGTTTTAGAATCAGGGTTTCCCAACTCCCGTAAGTGGATCTTTCGTGTCCACCAACCCAGTTAAAGCGCCGGAGTTTCGCCTTTTCGTCCTCTCAAGCTCGTAAACAACGCCCTCACCACTAGAAGGCAGTGAGTAGAACTTCCCTGGCAAAGGCTATATACGCGTGGCCATTTGAGAGCATTTCGAGAGGAAGAGCGGACTCTCTGAACTCTTGGCTGTACCAGGCCATCCGGGGGGGGCATATCCAACAACAATAATAATAATAGGTTATATAATCGTTAAAACCAATCATTTAACCGGATGATAAGTTACATGAATTCAAAGAGGTGAAAGTATGAAAAATTATTCAACAATGAAGTAGGTGAGTACGAATTTGTAACCAAGACCTCATATATCATTTATCAAACAACATTACATAACTTACTTGAATAAAATCATCCAATTGATTATTGATTGATATTAATGAATTTTGAACTATTGTTATAAATATTGTAAATAATTTACTTAATTTCTCTGTAATTTCATTATATAATAAATTAAATAATGGATTGTAGTCAATTAAAATGAAACATTGTAAATTATTATTATCATTATTGTCATTTAAAAGACTTTCATATTTAACGTGATTTATTAAACGATTGACCCATTCAAATGATGCTTGAAATAAACGCTAAAAATAAGGTGAACAAAATTTCAAAAAAGGTCGTTAAAATATGTTGTGTACTGATTAAACTGATTCTTATTACGTAAGATTGTTTTTACTAGAGAATTGATAGGGGGAAGATTTGTAGTTCATGTAAATCTTTATCGTGGTATTGTATCCTCTTAGTTAAATTGTTTAAATGAAGAGCTTTCATCATCATTCTGAACAAAATCTTCAGCGTCTATTTCTAGCTCAGATGACACAACAGTACCAAACGTTCTTATTGCCGGTTAAAATAATAGGTATTCACTTGCTTACTTACGCCTGTTACTTCTCGTGAAGGAGCATAGGTCGCTTACCAGCACTCTCCATTCAACCCTGTCCTTTCCATTTCCTTCCAGTTGTTATTCATCCTTTTCATATCTGATTCTATTTCCCGACGTAATGTATTTTTTGGCCTTCCTCTTTTCCGTTTCCCTTCAGGATTCCAAGTTATGGCTTGCCTCGTGATACAGTCTGGTGATTCCCGAAATGTATGTTCTATCCATTTCCATCATCTTTTCCTAATTTCCTCTTCATCTGGAAGCTGGTTTGTTCTCTCCCGCAGTATCCTGTTGCTGATGGAGTTCGGCCAATGGATGTTGAGTATCTTGCGTAGACAGCTATTTATAATACTTGTACCTTCTTGATGATGGTTGTGGCAGTTACCCAATTTTCAGCTCTGTATAGTAGAAATACCTTGACGTTCGTATTGAGGATTCTCATTTTGATATTGCTTGGAAGTTGTTTTGAGTTGCATATGTTCTTCAATTGTGGGAATTCGGCCCTTGCTTTGCTAATCCTCGCCTTTACGTCTGCATCTGAACCTTCTTTTTCATCGATGATGCTTCCCAGGTATGTGAAGGATTCTACATCTTCCAGAGTTTCGCCATCAAGTGTGATTGGCTTGATGTTCTCCGTGTTGTAAAATAATAGGTAGAAGGCCAATAATTCTTAGAATTCAGTCAAAATGTTTTTTTTTCATGTGTGTTGTAATTTTTACACATTTTAAAACATGAAAAACAGAACTTCTAATCGTCAGCTAAAATTGTCTCGATTAAATTGTTATTAGAGTAATCAGTATTGGATTGAGTGTATGAGTATGATAATGAAAATTAAAGTTCAGTCAATTCACAGGCGAAATTCATAAGGATTTATCTTAAATAAAGGTGCTTTCTTTAAAGCAATAACCATGTATTCACTAGTGATCAACTTTAAACTGAATTCTCTGAGTTCCAAATAAAAATTCAAGAGACTCAATAAGGTCCAATGTTTTTGAACACGAGACAGTTGTCACTAGTGATCGGGGAATATTCATAACTAGTAGGAAACCCAAGTTCAAAACTTCCTTCCAACTACCTCTTAGTAGATAACGTTAAGACACAGAGCACGTAAAATCAAGTCACTTAAACTGATGATTACATCTCAATCGGACTGGTAGGATGCAGTCAACACTAAGGCTTAAAAAAATTGTGTCTATTATTCAGTAGTGATCAATCGATTCAATTTATTTATCTAACGGATAATAAAACTCGACTCAAACAGCTTAGGTGTGCTATCTCAGACTGCAGGAGTAGCGTATGTTAATCCGAATACTGTAAAGCATAAGTTTCTTCAAGATTGAGAGTGTACATAGCTGATGATTGTCAACTAGCACAAAACATGGGTCTGACGTTTTCTTCCAACTACCTCCAACCAGTTAATATATCTTTGGATTAATGAAATTCAAAACGTAAGTCAACAGATGGTACTAAATCTAAGATCTTAAGATTTTAAAAATATAATAATGTCACTAAGTTATAGGATGAAAATTCAATAGTTTAAATTTCCCAGTTAAATTCAGTTTACAGTAGAGTCTGATTTTTATTTAATATTCTCAGTCGATAACTTCTATACTTTCGAATTAAGGCAATACAATAGATCTTGGATTTTTCCAATAGTTGAGATCATAAGTCAATTGAAGCTAGACCACCATGGAAAACCTGGAAGCATTGGACGGCCGTTCCGCCCTATTGTGGGACTTCTCAGCAGTGCGCATTCACTACCCCACCTCGCGGGATTCGAACCGAGGACCTAACAATAAAACTCCGCTAAATAAATCCGAACTTTAATAGACATACAATTATCATTAATTTTCGTGGAAAGCATTGGAGCTATTATTTTACAACTGATATCGGTTTGTGGTGAAAATCATCGTCAAATGTATACAGCAAACTTTTTAAACAACTGTTAGAATTGAAATGTGTCTTAACATACTACTTGAATGACTCACTTGATGTTTATGAAATTCTGTATGTAAATCTTCATTCTTTAATAGTATACTTAACTCATTTATTGTTTCATCCATATTGATAATCCATTGTAAAGATAGAATTATATTATTCGTCTTTTCATGTATTCTGTCACTCCATGAAGTCATTAAACAGTCATAAAGTTTCATCGCTTCACATCTATAAATAGAATAGTTTATAGTCTAAATTAAAATGTATTTGATTATCTCGTTGTTGATATTTCGACTGAATTTTTATTAGTCTTGGTTGGCACGTGTCCATCCGCTGCGGATTGTCTCGATATAGTTAATTATGACACAATTTAGTACAGAATAGATGAAATGTAGCTAGCAATACAGTCCATGACGAGCGTTTCGTCGTATCTTGGACTCGTCATTTGTACGTACCTGCATTCTAGAGTTCATATCTATCCCGAAACTTAAACCCAGTACCGTTCGCTTCAATTGCCACTACGTCATTCAATTAGCTGCTGAGTCTAGACAGCCAGTAGTTCATTCCATCTATTCTGGAACAGTATTTAGTAGTGATCGTAATAATTATTTGATTTAGGTAGTAGCCATTAAGAATTAGTATAAATTGAACAGAATTATTGAAAAACAAAAAGCTACTGTAAATTTATTTCATCTTTAATTGTATCCAGCCAATAGTTTCATGCGAAATAGAATCTAGACACTTTGAGTAAAACAGCGGACAAGTGGCCAGTAGATCACTGAGCCAAAACTCACTGGTTCATACCTTCAACTTATCAAACCTTTTGATAGATCATGGAGTTTATTTCCTACCAGGAAATTTAAAATACTCGGATGACATTTTCCTATACAGTTAAGATACTGACAAAATGAGGAGTCTACTAATCGCTTTAAGTAACAATACAAGTATGCTTTGGGTGCGTTTCTTTTATTCTACATGCAAAATGTTGCTTAAGGATCAGACCATGACAACTGTGAAATTAATTTTAGGGAGTGAAGTAGTTGAAGGTATCGACTACATGACTTATTTCTCAATTTTCATCCTACATGGTGGGTTGGTGTCTAACTAAATCTCTTAACAAATTTAGACTTCTTGGAGGTAAGAAGTTCAGACAAGTTTGCTGAACGAAACGTTGGAATTATTTAAATGTCAATCAATTAGATTAATTCAAATATAATTTTACATATAATGAGATTATTCATAAAACAAGACAACCGAATTCAATGACCACAATACCATTCCGTGCACTCAACTTCTACTCAAACTTTTTGTATAAAGCTTAATGATGTCAACTAGTTGTTTAAACTTTACTTGGTTAGCACAGGATTTGAACTTTTCATTGGTGAAAAATCAAGCGAATTATGCAACAAACTACTCTTCATATATATTTAAATGAAATGAGATAAACATAATTCGGATTAGCTTGACTCACTGTTGCTCAATAAGAGAGTGTAATCCCATTTGAGATGCATTTTCAATGGTAGGGAAGTAATTATGACCACTAATATTAAGATGGGATTGATCCAGATCCATACCAGATAATATCGATTGATTATAGTTAAACTGATGTTCAGGTATAAGGCCTAAAATTAAGATTGTTTGAAATTAAAAAATAAACTTTCAGGCAATTTTATTCATTTGTTAATGGCATTCTCGAGGATTGGTCTCATCTGTGGCATCACCAAAAAGTAGGAAGCACTGGACAACTGGTTCAAACTAGTACGGGATTAATATCAGAAGGGTCTTTTTGGATATTATAGTAATTTTAATAATTGAGATCATGAGTCAATTGAAGCTAGACCACCATGGAAAACCTGGAAGCCCTGGATTCCTTATCCCTCCGCATCCACGAGTCCGTCAGAGATCTAACCCAAAAACTTTAGTCTCACAACGAACATCTAACCATTCGACTTCTTGGTTGGAATCTCGTCGTCGCTTGATATAGCTAATCGGCTGGATTTATGTATCAATGGGACCCTACTCACTTTTCTACTGATTATACTCTCGCTTGGTCATAAAAAATGCACGACTTAATAGTCGAATTCATTTGCATCAGTACTATCAAATGTAGACCATATCAATTAAATACAATGATCACAGATTGTGATTATCTTTCAGATGTAAATCATGAAATAGTTAACTGAACTCAGCACAATATTTAATAAATTCATGAATCCAAATTTTATTGTTTGACAGGTGCTATTCTCTTTCCAACTTCTCTCCTTGATAGCATACCAACTTACGATAAATAGTGTTTGGGTATTCATGATACATGCTAAAAACATTTTTTTAATGAAGATTCACAGACTCATTATAAGTCCTGGAAAATCTATAACTATATTTCCATTTAATTCATTGTTACTTAAATTTATTTTTCTGTTCCATTTTAGCATCCTTTTAAGTTGCCTCATATATTTTTTGACATATTTGTTAGTATCAACTTGAAACAATGCATTAATTTTTAGGTTTTTCAACTATTGTTATCTTGTCTAATCTTCGGTGTTGATCAAACTATATTGATCAGATTTTCAGTGCGGCCACCTAAACTAAGTGACTCTACCTAGAGATCCATTTTATTTTTGTGTTACTTGATTGGAACAAATAGAAAGTGGTTGTGGATCTACATTTTTTTACTAGTAGTCACTTCTCAGCACAACATGCTAGTAATCTGACTATGACATATTAAGATGTGATTTCTATTAGCTGAAAGGGTAACAATTTCGTTCGACTGAAATGAAACGTAAGTTTAAAAGCTTTCTTTTGACTGTCCTCAATCAGTGAACAAAAGTGAGTTGTACGAATTACCTTGCTCACAAACACTCCATACAAAACTAATTAAATATATCGTTACGATGAATTTATTTATGTAGTCCACCTTAGAAAGCCACAGTAAACTGATAATTTCATTACATTAAATAGTATTAAAACTGCGGACAAATCAGTTTTCGTACAAATGATACTATTGAAGGAAAGAAAAATAAAGCAAAACTTTTAACCAAAACATTCATGTAAAATGGATATTCATTAAAATTTATGAAGCAACATAAAATCCATAATATTTTTTTAGTCTAATATGCTTATAACATTAAAAAACCCACCATCCAGAAGTGGCTCATATAATCTTGTATGAAGACGAAATGAGCGAAGCCTAACTCATCGTTAACTAAAAGTCAAGATCTATGCTTCACCAAAAACCCAAATACCAAGTAAACAAGTGTAACACATTCCATTTTGTCGAAGAGTTTTTATGTATAATAGGGTATATATACCTTCGGAGGGGCACTCGTGGTCTCAGTCAGTCAGTAACAATGTAGAACTTCATACGTACGTACATCAGTTGAAGTTGCCATACCAAATTAGCACAGAGGTGCAATTGTCGATTCAAATCCCATGGTGATAAAGGTAGTAAAAGTATAAGCAGTAATAGGAAAGATTAGGGTTTGAAGATGTTATTCAACGAGTATAATCCAGTGAAATAAATTTGGGAAGAGAATAATAAGAAATGGACATGAAGAATTCAGAAGATCAGAATTTGCGAGAACACAAAGAGTGGATGCACGTGCTCCATTGCAAACGATTTTGAGCCATGTCATTCAAGGTCTCTAACCATCAGTTGCTATCATCTTGCAGATTGCAATCAGGTAGTCTACATCTACCAACATGGCTCAGTCCACTTGTCAGTGACTTCATGGATTTGTGACATGTTTTGGTCTGGCCGCCATTAGTTTTCTTCCAACCTACTCCTACAACATAAAACATCGTACGTCGGAGCAGTCGGTGGTTGGGCATACGTAACACGTGTCTCATCCATCTCAACTGATGGAGTTTCACTATTTCATCAATTGATTTGCCATCATCACCTAGTACCCATTTTTTTCTAACAACTACATTACTTAGTCGGTGGTCCCAGGATATAAGAGCAATGTTTTGAAGACACCTATGATCGAATACTTGTAATCTACGAATATCACTTTCATAATGTTGTGGCCTATATCTAGGGGTGAATGGACAAAGTAAATGTATTTCAACGGTCTAATTAGAACATATGAAAGATAAACATGCTCCATCATTTATCTGAGTATTTGTCAAAAGTTGGACGAATAACTGAACAGAAACTGGTTATATACATATTAGATGTTCAAATTATGCTCAAAATAATCTCAGCAAATGAACTTTAATAATAACTAAGTCGTATTATCAGACATATTCAGTTATGTTTACTTTTTATTTCTTACCATAAAGAAACTAGATTTTTATTTACATTATCAAATATGAAATAGAAAAACACAAATAGAAATGAACACTTTATTGATTAACCTTTTACAAATTCTGTATAACTTGGTAGATAACAATTAACCATATCACGAATAGATACATTGGTTACTTCTAAACCATTTGGATTCATTCTATTCCATGAAATCATAGTTGTATGTTTTAAATAATTTCTATTCATTAAATTAGAATTTTTATAAAACATTTGAATAATAGAATGAATATCAATTTGATTATCAATAATTTCACAAATATTATCAATTTCTTTCTCTTCATTGAAATAGATTTGAGTAAGTTGATTTTCTAATATTATTTTGTTTAAATGTAATGATTCTTTGAATTGTTCAAATGTTAAATTGAAAATAGTTACCATAGTGATAGATGGTGGCCAAAGAAGTAATTGACTCGATTCTTTAATAACATGAAGATTTGATATGAATATAAAGGTGGGTTGTTGTTGTTTTTTTCAAAAGGAAATAGACAAAATAGGATTTATTAACATAGTTTAATATAATAATAAGAGTTTGTGTTATCTTATTACTGATGTTGAGGTATGAAGTTTATTTAGTTTTTTTGTCAGTAAACATGCATCCTGAAAGGATTAACTCTATATTAACCTCTTTAGCTATATATTTATATTAAGGCTACCTCTACAAATAATGTGTTGATGCTTGAAATGACAGCTATTGAGTTTCAATATGGAAATCAATAGGTGGGATGCGTTTCGTCTTATTTGGAACTCATCATCATGTCTCATTAGTGTTAATGTTCATTTTGTAACTCAAACCCAATAATTAGTGCTTTAAATATCAACACGTTTATTGACAAGGCAGAAAATATGAATCTACCAAAACTTGTAACTAAAGATGGTCCTCAGGGGATGCATGTATGTTAACATAGATTAATCCAAATTGGGTCCTTAATTTTAAAAACAAAAAATTGCAAACCGTTACTAGTTAATTTGTAAACATCTTGAATGAATAATCCTGTACTCGTTACGATACTTAAAGGTTCTTCACACGGTTATGTTGTGTACTTTTAATTACATCATAGATTGACCACTTTCAAACCTATATTCTGTAACTAAGAAAACAATTTTTGGGACGTCTGAGAGTAGTACTCTAGTTTATTTCTTGACAGCATAATTTAAGTTATTTGTATGATATGGTTTGTTCCAAGTTAAAAATCTAACAAACTTATGACCGGTGAAGTTAAATCATGTTAAAATTGCATAAGCGATGAGAGACAGCGGATAGAAAACCTTCGACATGCGTGACATATTAGTTTGCAGTTTTCAGCAGGCTGTCCGCGCAATCTTGATACGATTAGTGCTACCCGATGGGATTTAAAACTGCTCTATCAAGCTTACCATGCTAATACGTTAGTTACCATTGTCTTATTAGGGCCTTTACTGATCTGCTGACTGATCCCAACCACATAATATCAAAACATAGTGTACACAATGTCAAGTAACTTAGACTAATTGTTATACCATAACTTGATCAATCAGCACTAAGTAACTTGATAAATGTGACATTGATTACTACACAATAATTCGCTAATGTAAATGTTGAGGTTGATATAGTTACTATCCGATTACAATAAACTGATTATCTATCCGTATCAAGAATTAACTAAAAGCGAAAATATAGACCATTGTATTCTAACCTAACGGTATATTTAAAAGTATTGAGTTTTATCCCGAGTACGGTTGTATATCTGTTCTCATTTCTAAAAACCTTCAAACTTTTTACATATTCTACCAGTTTTCTAGCGGCCTCTCAGTTAAAACATACCAATTGATGACAACAAAAATCTATCTTTAGAAATAAAACAAACTTAGACAATTTGAATTAAAGTAAAATTCATTCCCTATTAATGGATAGTTAATGTCAGAAGGGGTTTTGTGGAGATTTTAGTAATTTCAATAGTTGAAATCATGAGTCGATTGAAGCTAGATCATCATGGTAAACATGGACAGCCGTTTCGTCTTATCTTGGGACTCCTCAGCAGTGCGCATCCAAGATGCCGCCCACCGCCAGATTCGAATTCAGGACCTATCAGTCTCGCGCACGAGCGCTTAACCGTTAGACCACTGAGACGGCACCCAACGGTGTTATTGTCTAACTTCAACCAATCCACGAAGCTGCGTCACCGTACACCATTGTCTTCAGTGAGTTGATATCTCACAACAGACCTGGTTGAACTCCAATGGTAATAGCTTCTCACTAGAACTCCAGGAAATGTCTCTTGAAGTCAGTCACTAGTGAGTAGATGATTATTATCAGAAGGGGTTTTTTGGAGATTACAATAATTTCAATAGTTGAAATCATAAGTCAATAGTTAAGGTTCATATATTGGATACTTTTAACTTACCCTCAGATTGTTTTAATAAAACAGGATAAATAACTAAACGAAAATTTTTCACAATTATATCTTCTTTAATATTCTCTCTTTGTTTATCTTTCTGTTCTATACAGTTCAAATTTAATTCATCATAAATATAGTTTTGTATACTTGATTGAAATTTATATAAAAGATAACTTGCCAGTCGATAACGGATACAATGTAATACATTTGGAAAATTATCCAATTGGTTACGTAATTGTTCTAAATCATTCTTTATTACTAAACTTTTTTTCCATGTTTCAGTCATCGGTATAGTTTGATTGATTTCTCTTTGTTTAAAATGAAGAATACAACAGAAAGAAGTTATTTATATGTCAATAAAGAATAATTTAAAAGGTGTTTTATAACGGAGAATTCAATTATATACTGTGGTGCGTGCTACTTATATTGATATAAGTAGTATATGGCGCGAGTCAGGAATGTAATGTCTGGCAGCAGAAGATTGGGAAGATCAAGAAAGGAAGAACGGGAATAGAAAACAATTAGTATGAGGACGCAAGAACAATGAAGTTCGAGACAATTATTGAACATTTTGCAAATTAAGTATTATAGTATGGCTTTTTTTCTATTTTACCAAGTAACTCTGTAATTTTGTGCTAAGTAATAATTCGATTTTCCCCACCCATGTTCTGTTCACTACAATACTACTGCAAATCTAGGAATTTATAGAACATAAGTATTTAATGAGTTTTTGTACATTGAAAGTTGAGATCACAAACAAATCTAAGTTGGACAACCATTGAAGACCTTGAAGTAGTGGATAGTTATTTAATATTAGCATGAAACTCCTAAGTAATGTTCATTCTTGATGAACTCACAGGGGATCAAAATTAGACCTTTCAGTCTTGTGCGTAAACTCGTAACCTCTAGACCACTAATTACAACACATTTATGTATAACTCCAAATTCAATCAATCCAAATATTTCCGGCTATCTTTCATTGTCACTGGTAGATATTTGTCTCACACTCGAGTTCGAGTCAGAAGTCATGACCAGTGGAGCTCAATCATATCAAATTGGAATCAGTTATCTTGAGAAGACAATGAATAGTTTGGCTTTTGATAAACAATCATCACTTCGTAACACTATTTATAACGAGCAGTCGATAATAATAATAATTCTTTCATCATAACAATATTAGTGAGTCTTATTTAATTCAAGTGGACAAAGTAATGAAATTAATAGTATGTAATGATCAACTTACTTAGAGTTCCAATTTAATTCATCTTCTTTATAACGTATTAGTTTAGCAAGAGCATATCTTGCAAATTTTAACGCAATACATATACAGTTTGTTACATGTGACATTAAAATAGTATTGTAACGTATTTTCGGTTAATGTGAGCACAAAATTGTACCATATTCAATGGACTGTACAAAATAAAAAATCTTAATAAGAAGAACATAAATACTAAGACATAAACGAGAAATCCTAATTATTATGTAGCTACAATGAAATTACTTTTTGACCTGTAGAAAGGAGGTTTTAGAATTATATACGCAGATAAATAAATAGATACTAGTCATTTATTATGTGTAACAAGTCGAGGAAACTACAATTTATGGACGAACCGATGAAATTAAGGATAACACCTATTTCCTAATCCTAACTTCTAATACTAAAACCTAACCGTCTTTGAACCCAAACAAGTAGATGAATATTCTCATGATCATTGTAGCATCGCTTAAAAGGTCATCCATCAATTATTGTCTCATCAACAAATCTTACTCCATGATTTCATTTTACATTAGTGCCTACACAAAAAAGAGAGGAGAGAGTTGGACTAGTTGGGCTAAATTTTGGTAGGTGGATACTGAGGATCAACCTACAGGGGTTAAAGAACTATGACTCCAGACCAGTGATCCACATTAGGCACAGGTTTCTAAATAAACGAATGACATATGAGTCCACTTTGGTCAAGTCAAACATTCATAGATCCCGTAGAAGAATCATCTCCTCCGACTAGGTAACATAGAGCAGTAATGCACCCTTCACGTAACAAATGATAATCACTAAACACTACGATCTATCATATTCACAATAAAAGTTTATCTTATTATTAAGATAAAATAATCATTCACATAACTTACCACGTGCTATTCGGAAAGAATTTCAAAGTATCCAGAGAATCAAAGAGTCTACAAATAATGAATAAGCAGAAGAAGAAGAACTAGTAACATACACAGACTTTAAAAATGTGAAAATCAAAAGAGTGCATAACTCTTTAATGCTAGACATACACAAAAAAAAATCATGAATAGAAAATGTATGAGGTAACCTATTGAACACTGAACTATTTTACTAAACAGAATTCAGTAATTCATATCTATATAGGATTAAAACAAATCAGGAAATAAAAATGTAGTATAGTTACAAAAAATAATACTCAGTGGAGAGGGTTTGTAGCTCAGGTGGATGATTTTGGTGGAGTTTTGTTCTCTGAGCTAGATGGTTTGGTCGTGAAAACTTTCCATTATTAAAAAGATTATGATAATAAATATATGAAATTTTTTGATTGAGATCATGAACCGATTAATGTTAGACCACCATTGAAAACTTGAAAGCACTGGACAGCTGTTTCGTCCTATTTTGGGACTCCTAAGCAGTGGAGCTAATCCGTGTCGGGTAGAGAGAGGTATCTACATCAGAACAATGGAAGATGGCCGTGCAATTTCGTGGATTGGTTGAGGCTAGATATCAACACCATTGGATGCCGACTTAGTAGTCCGGAAGTTAAGTGTTCGTGTGCGAGACGGAAAACCCTGGGTTCGAATCTCGTGAGGGTTGGGGTTATGGATGCGCACCACTGAGGAGTCCCACAGTAGGACGGAACAGCAGTTCAGTGCCTCCAGGTTTCTAACAGTGGTCTGACATTAATCGTTTCTTAATATGTAAATTATACTCATCATAAATTAATATTCGTCCAAAAGTAATATTGAGTACAGGAAACACTAAATAATTATCTAATCTTAGTTTATTAATAGTTTTAAGTGCTCTATTTCAATCTTTTTGATGAATCTAACTCAGAACTTGGAATGTGTTACTAATCAATAATTAATTTATAACTCAGTGACCTACCTTATTTGCTTCATTTACTAATAACATACTGATATTTCATGCAATGAGTTCCCTTAATGAATGTAAATAAAGCCAGAATGAACATGGATGCAGAAGAATATGAATTCATTATATTTCGTGGTTTCTCATCAGCTGCTTACAACCAAATATGTAGTAGAATTTTACATTGAGGTAAGATATAGTGTGGAGTAATATATATATATATATATATATATATATATATATATATATATATATGCAAGAACAGGTCAGAAGTTATTATGTGTTCAAATCAAGGAAACATTAAGGATGGGTAATGTAATCGTTGAGTGAAGTTCAGAGACAAGATAAATTATGTGGTAATTTTAGAAGTAATGAAGGATGCATGGAATTAAAAAAAGTGATAAGATGGGTTACGTAATAATTGAATAGGATTTGAAGTGTTTACATAATTTATGGGAATCAAGTGAGTGGAAATGTATGAATGAAGGGGAATTCGGTAATGGAAGAGAAATATAACAAACTAAACGTTAACAAAATAAAACTAATGACCGAAAAATTGAATTACTAGGGTAGTAATGGGTTTATTACTGTTTCTTTTTGAATACATAGGTCAGGTTTAAGTTTTTATCGCGATCGCTTCCGCGAAACGGAGAAGCCGAACTTCTTTGTCTGCTAATAATTTCAAAAGCATAAAGGATGTCAGTGATATGCCCGGTGTCAAGTAAATGCTGAGCTATTGCATTGTTGAGAGCCCTTGTCCCTCACAATCTCAATTTATTTAGGACATGCTCAGAAATGAGAACACGTAATCTTCTCTCGGTTCTTCCAATGTATGTGCTTTGGTACGTACATGTAAATTGGTAAATGCAGTCGGAGCTACTGAGAAAAGAGAACCTGTCGATTTTATTTTGTTTGAGCGAGTAGTTCGTTTCCCATAGCGTCGTCAGTTTTGCTGCTGTGTAGGTCAGTTTCAACGCGGAATTTATTCTGCAATTAATTATTTCAGTGATTACGTCTCGTTTAGAGCGTAAGTATAAGAAGCAGATTTTCTTTCCTACTCTACCATACTTTACCCTAGGGTTGGTCTTTGCATATTTCTGGATGAAGTTCGACGAATATGCACTTTCACGTAGACAATTTGTGATGAGAGCAATTTCATCTTCCAGGTATTCCTTTGAGCAAATTTGCGTGCGCAGTCGAAAAGGGTTCGAACAATACCCTTTTTGTAACTCATTGGACAGAAACTGTAGTAATTGAGATAAACTCCACTCCATGTATTTTTCGGTAATGTGCCATCTGATGTTCGTCTGACTCCAATATCAAAGAAATTGAATTTACCTTTGTACTTCATGTTCCATAGTAAAATCTATATCCTTGTGTGCTTTATTAAACAGATTAAGTAGGTTCATGGAATGCTTATGATTGTTTCAGACGAGAAATGTGTCGTCAGTATATCTACAATAGAGTGTAGTTCCATAGATTATGTGCTTGAGCTTCTTCTGTTCAAGGCTTCCCAGAATTGGACCCAAACGGCTACCCATGGTTACTCCATCAATTTGGCTGTACAACACATTGTTGAAGTGAAATTTTATGTTTTTGGTACGCAGAAACAGGAGCTGTTTAAATTCATGGATTGGTAAAGGCAGAAGTTCAGGATATTCACATATGATATCTGCCGTTTCTCCCGAGGGGATCTTTGTGAAGAATGACGAGACATCAAACGAGACTATGAATTTATCAGAAGCAATTAGACTATCAAGCTTTTGTACAAATTCAAAACTATCCTTCAGACTGTAGGGTGCTAGTTTCTTAAGGATTGGTTCTAAACACCTTGTCAGCCAGCTGGCGAGTTTATGGAAGAGTGATCTGGTTATGGATAATATTGGTCTTATCGGGATGTCGAGTTTGTGTTTTAGGTAGGCCGTATAAGTATGGTAATTGTGATCCTTTTGGTTTGAGTCCGTTGTATGTATGATTATCTATTACATTTTTCTTCAAGAATTCTCTCAAATTTTTTAATAGACGCTTCTCAGTCGCATCTGTTAGGTCTTTCTGGGTATTATCGACGATAAATTTAGTGGAATCATTTAAAATGAACATTACTTTCCCAATGTATTCATCTCTGTTTACAGTGATTACACCGGAACCCTTATCTGGACGAAGTGGCAATATTGTTTCGTCTTTCATAAGTTTTTTCAATGCTTGCTGGTGATATTTAGTCAACACCTTAAATTTTGGGACTGGTTTCGTAACGTACTGACTTGTAATATCCACTAATTTCTATTTCAACTGACTTTGTTTTTCGTCATTCATGGGTTTAAATTTCAAATTACCATCTACTGTAAGTGAATCTCATGAAATTCTCCGAGTGATGCTTCTCTAATTTTATCCACGGTCATAGATTCATTTGACAAGCAAATTTCAGACCACTTCATTCAACATTCAGTTTGGAATCGATCATACTTCGAACGGCCCATGGTAATTGACATTAAAAGTGTTGAGTGAGGCTCCATTTAGACATTGTGTGTAACTACAAAAGTAGTCCTTTAGATTAAAGCTCTTGAACTGTCAATTTGTAATCGACCAGTTGCATACTACTAGATTTATCTTAAAAGTTCGAATGATTGTACATTTTCAGTTTGTTTGTATCAAACGGGATTGTTTGAGAACATTCTGTAGTCATTCGGTTGTCAACTATCTTCGAATTCGGTTTGTTGATCGGCTGCTGCTGCGACAAACTTCTCCGTATTTCATGTTCCTATCCTTCTTAATCGTATAATGCGTTGTGTTTGTTGTATTGACACTGAGAACTATTCGTGAGTATGAAGTTTGTACAGCACAAATAACCAAGTCAGAAACTATACACACTATCTAATGCTATATTCTATATAACAATAACCGCATACAAGTTGCGAATGTCCGAGATTTATTTATTGGTCAATAGAGGGAGTCAGCAGGTGACCTATTTGTAGAATGCACACAAATTTGCAAATCTTTCCCAATCTTCGTTTCTCTCTCCCAGACAGTCCATGTCGTCCCATGATATCTTCATTTCCGGTGTTTTGTCTTCCGACTTTGGCGTTTAGATCTCTCATCAGAATGATGAGGTCCTTTTTGGGCACTTCTCTATGAATGATTGCAGCCGCTCGTAGAATTGGTCTTTAATGTCGTAGTCGCTATCAGCAGACATTATTCCCAATTTCCCTTTTTTATCAAGTGATTATTACCACAAAACCACAGTTTTCTTGCATACATCTGCCTTGCTATTTTAATTATTGATATTTACTAATTGGGTTATATGAAGTTATTCTCCAAATATCCACCGATAGTTATTAAGATTTTTTAGATGTTTATCAGAAGGGGTTTGTGGAGATTTTAGAAATTTCACAGATTGAAATCATGAGTAAATTGAAGCTAGACCACCATGGAAAACATGGAAGCACTAGACGGCCGTTTCGTCCTAGTATGGGACTCCTCAGCAGTGCGCATTCACGATCCCACACCCCATGAGATTCGAACCCGGGACCTATCATTCTCACGCCAAGAGCTTAACCAACTAGACCACTGAGCCGGCATCTAATCATATACACATTTTCCTGTATGTAAAGCAGAAAAATGATATATGAAGTTCCTCTATATGTCTTTAAAATCTACGGCTTCTCGAATGCTAAAAAGGTTGAAAATAATAGTTTAGAGGTCATCAGATTGCTCCTAGTTATAATTTAGTGCCAGAATTAGGGATTTAGGACTAGGGTAATGAGTCCATTTAAGTTTTATATACAATCTATAAAGGAAGAACCAATCTTTTAAAACTTATTTTTACCGAATGCTGACAAAAAATTCTTTCGATGGTTTTAAACGTTCTACGAAACATACTTAGACATCCCTGCCGCTCTCTTAACATGATATGAGATCAAATTCATTCATTCTTAAATTTTATGTAAAATCTGAAAATCACTTATGGTGTAAAAATCCCTCTGCATAACTTAGCACAGATACATGTCCCATAAAAAAGACTATCAATAAAATAGGAATTAAGATATATTCGAACATATAATTCAGGGAAAATTATAAAAATGTCGGGTTTCACTTATTTAAAAGGTATGTGGTACTGTTTGTGCGGTGTAGAATGAAAAGCTACTACACTTTACTTTATTCTTAACCAATGTTTAATAACGTTTTGTAAATCTTTAAACATCCAATAGAAATATTTTTCATCTATACACTTACTTTTGAACTATCTGAAATAATCGAACATATAAAGGATTTGCAAGTAGACAATTATTTAATAAAATATTACGTATCCGTTTGAATTTTCTTCTTCTCGTAATTTGACGCCAGCTGAAATTCGAAATATATATGAGATATTATTAACTTCGTGTTAGCACCAGATAAAATCATCACATAATAAATGAATATCATTACTGGACTATTCTGATTAGTCTGAGAGTGGACATTAGGATACTGGAATATTAAGTATATTATATGATTTTATCTTATGCTTGAGACTCTGCAAAGTTGAAGATCTTTAAATGATGGGATATGACGACCCGATTCATGAGAGAGAGATTCGACATGAAAAAAAGAATATAAATAGATCCCTATTTATGTTAGGAACAAGCATTAAAAATGAGCCATAGAAGGGTGGTTGTGTAAGGAAAGAATGTACATAGTTCAGGTCTCAGATCGCTCGATATTTTGGGCCAATAATTAGTTGAATACAGTTTGACAAATTCATCTAACGAAAAATCCTGTACAACGTCAAGCATATACTTATAATTTTATCTAATTTGCCAATGAAACCCATATTTTTCAAATTCCAGCCCATAAATGAAGAATCAAGATACCCTTGTAATTCATTGTCTTCCTAAAATACTGTGGTCACGACGCTCGACTTAAATAGGAACATTAAACCTGAGGTAGACTTATATTTTCAAGTGTTGTTTGTAAACAAATAAAGTGGATCCCGGTACTTAATGTATGTTTTCCTAGTAAACCTTACTTACTTACTTAATTACGCCTGTTACTCCCAATGGAGCATAGGCTGCTGACCAGCATTCTCCAACCTACTCTGTCCTGGGCCTTCTTTTCTAGTTCCATCCAATTCTTGTTCATTTTTCTCGTGTCTATTTCCATTTCCTGGCGTAGTGTGTTCTTTGGTCTTCCTCTTTTCCTTTAACCTTGAGGATTCCATGTGAGGGCTTGCCTTGTGACGCAGTTGGGTGATTTCCTCAATGTGTGTCCTATCCACTTCCAGTGTTTCTTCCTGATTTCTTCCTCCGCTGGGATCTGCTTTGTTCTCTCCCACAGTACGTTATTGCTAATAGTGTCTGGTCAACGGATCCGAAGTATTTTGCGCAAACAGCTGTTAATAAACACCTGTATCTCCTGAATGATGGCTTTCGTAGTTCTCCAGGTTTCTGCCCCATACAGTAGAACTGTCTTGACATTTGTATTGAAAATCCTGACCTTGGTGTTTGTTGACAGTTGCTTTGAGTCCCAGATGTTTCTAAGTTGTAAATATGCTCCTCTTCCTTTGCCGATCCGCGCCTTCACATCTGCATCAGATTCACCACCGTGTTCATCAATGATGCTGCCCAAATATGTAAAGGTTTTTACATCTTCCAAATCTTCTCCGTCAAGTGTGACTCGGTTGTTGCATGTTGTGTTGTATCGGAGAATCTGGCTTTTCCCTTTGTGTATGTTGAGACCTACTGCTGCTGAGGCTGCTGCCACACTGTCGTCTTCTCCTGCATCTGTTGTTGCGTTTGGGATAGAAGGGCCAGATCATCTGCGAAGTCTAGATCGTCCAACTGCATCCTAGATGTCCATTGTATCCCGCGCTTCCCTTCAGACATTGACGTCTTCATGATCCAGTCGATCACCAGGAGAAAGAGAAAGGGTGAGTAAGCAACCTTGCCTGACACCGGTCTTCACTTCGAACGACTTTGTCAACTGTCCTCCATGCACAATTTTGCAGTGTAATCCATCATATGAGTTCTGTATGATATTGACTATCTTCTGAGGCACGCCGTAGTGTCGAAGAAGTTTCCATAGTGTTGTTCTGTCCACGCTATCAAATGCCTTTTCGTAGTCAATGAAGTTTATGTAGAGTGATGAATTCCATTCAATTGATTGCTCCACAATGATCCGTAGAGTTGCGATTCGGTCTGTACACGATCTATCCTTACGGAATCCTGCCTGTTGGTCACGAAGTTGGGTGTCTACGCAGTCCTTCATCCTGTTTAACAATACCCTGTTGAAGACTTTTCCCGGTATTGAGAGAAGAGTGATGCCCCTGTAGTTATCACAATTGCTGAGATCTCCTTTCTTTGGTATTTTGACCAGAAGTCGTTCTTTACAATCTGTTGGTACTTGTTCCTCATCCCAAATCTTATTGAAGAGAATGTGGAGTATCCTTGCAGTTACCGCTACGTCTGCTTTCAGTGCCTCTGCTGGAATGTTGTCTGGTCCTGCTGCTTTGCCACTCTTGATTTGTCTGATGGCCATGCTGATTTCTTCAATTGTTGGTGAGCCAACATTGATTGGGAGGTCCGTGGGTGCTGCTTCGATGTTGGGTGGGTTCAGTGGAGCTGGTCGATTCAAGAGTTCTTCGAAGTGTTCTACCCACCTGTTTTGTTGTTCTTCAATGTTGGTGATTACCTTGCCTTCCTTGCTTTTCACTGGTCGTTCTGGTTTGCGGCGATTTCCAGAGAGTTTCTTTGTTATGTCATATCCTAGTTAACCTAATCAGTCATAATTTATGCTACGTAAAATTTAAAGCATGAGACTTTTTATCAATTTTAGTGAGTTAAGTGGACTAAAATATGACACTTCTTATCATCTGCAGACTTCAGTGTTCATTTAACTTACGTGAAAAAGGGTTTCCAAGCTGAAAGGTAGCAAAAATGTGGGATTTTTCTTTAAAGCTTCGCATAAAACTGCTTCTGAAAACCATTCTGTGAGACTTAAATGCTCCTGTTCAGTTCCAGTCGCGACCAGTATACCGAATGTACTGAATATATAATGTGGTTCATCATTCTGCAGAGAACAATATAGATTGTAAGAGTAGATTTTATCTACGTTAACAATAAATTTCTCTTACAATACATAATTTTTCCAGACGACTCAAAGTTAAACCTTTGCATTCAGCCTTAAATTATTAATCTTTATATTATTACTTTTTAACTCCATGCAATACTCTGACATTTACCTGGAAGATCTCTAGATAGCAGGATAATCTCTTGAGAGTTAAAGGTTACTCTTATCAGATCGTTTACAGAAAATGGAGGTGGAAACCGTGACTCTAATTATTTCCATTAGCCCGAATAAAAGTGTATATAAACTTGGACATGTTAACGTTATCTGAAATAAAAATTATATGCCCTTTCATGCTTGAGATATCTACGTTTCTTCGTCGAGACTCTTTCCTCAATATTATTGTAAACTTCTCATTATGCTGAATAAAGCTTTTAAAATCCGATTGTTTAGTGATTCTAGTGTTGAACTATCGTATCTTCCAACCATAAGATTACTTTCTGTTGTTTTATTTCACAAATTTAGGAAACGTTTCAGTGATAACACTTGCAAATTTCGTCATCTCTGTTTTATTTGAACTTAACGTCATGTTATTAGACGATAATTGTTGTTATAAAGAACCTTCATTTATTCTCTATATTCGATCGATTTATCCATTAAAGGTATTATTTGGCTCGTCTCAAAAGTTTTATGAAGTTTTTTTAGTGACTGTTGCATAAAAGTGACTAGAAAAAGAACCATTTAGCATTTTGTAGAATTGATTGGATTTCAGGCCAAGTTGTAGATCATTAGGAAATGAAAGGATTACAATAATCCAGAGGAATACTACCTTTTAGCAACAAATTGTTTCCTTAAAAAAATAAAGACGTGAGAAAGTTAAATAGATTATTTGAATATAAAAATACCGCTTAAATTAGCTCATAGAAGGGTTTTCAAGTCTTTATTTGTCTTGTCACCGCCTTCCTGGATGTTCTCAATTCTTAATTCTTTATTTGCGTATTCGACATTAATATGAGAACAAAATGATGTATACCCATAAATATTCCTAGCGTTTTAGATTTGAGTAAAACTATGAATGAAATCCCTATCATACTTTATGATTAGTAGTAGCAACAGACTTGACACTGACTTATGATGCACATTACAATCATGCACTTTAACCCAGAAACTGGTCATGAAGTATTTCGTTATTACAACAATCAGTAAACAAATCATATAACATCCCCAATATCTCAGTTGAAAGGCTTGAGAATCCAAACAAAGCTTTACCTGAGATGATTTGTTGTGTATCTATAAGACACAAATGAAAGCACCTTTCATATCATTATACTTACCAATTCCATATACCAGATTCAAAAAATTGGCAATTAATAAAGTAAATGGATCTAAGAATATGCTCCATCTTTTATCTTAGATATATTGCGGTTGTAAGCTGGGCAATGCAAAGGCGTAAACAGAGATACAACTGGTATGAATCATAATCCCATAAATTCTAAGAAATCAGTTTTGGATTGCAGTTTAAGTATTTATTTATAATAATAGGTAAATAATAGGTAACTTGAAAAACCTAGAATCGGCTTTTCTGGTGTAAACTTCACGATCTATTAAGATTATCTCGACTACATTTATAGATATTCTACTAACTAAAATGATACATTATTATTTAGTGGCCCGTGATTCTCGACTCCATTTTAGATTGTATGGATGTTTGTTATCGCCTTTTCTCGTATATCATCGTCGACTTAAATCGCGTTATCCAATAACGGAATTAAATAAGTCGAATAACGAGAATTGACTTGAGAATACATATATTTCGTACATGAAGCGAATGAAACATAGTAAAGCAAAATGACACGTATGGAAGATGGCTGGGAAGCCAACTCCACTTCAAGCCGGGCATTACTCAATATTTATAGGCAGACAAAATAAACTACAGACATGTGATGAGTCATGGGACATGAAGTGTACACACATATACGCTCATACGAAAACAGTGAAGGCTAATAAGCGAATAATTAACAAGGTCAAAATATGACTCAAGTAGAATGAATAGAATGGAATGTCCGAAAACTAGAATAAGATATATTATGGGCTAAAACTAATGACTAACACTACAATTACTCCTTAATGATATTTACTAAATTCCAGCACTCAGTTGATCACTGAAAAGACCAGCTGGTGGCATACGTGTAGTCTTTGTTATTCATAGCGCTGATAGGAAGAACAGAAAACCAATACTGTTTCCGTGTTTATCGTGGCGGTTGAAACCTTTCCCACATGTACTTCAATAAATCTTTATGGTTGGAGAACCTTCTGAAATGTGCATGATGAGGAGGTCTTTTAAGTAACTTGTTGTACTAAAACCAGTTAGTATGATCCAAGTGATTGGCTTAAGTCCGTAAACTGTGACGGACTTCTGTACGCAAAATTAACTTGCATCTAGACTTCATGTTATAAATGCCCTAAAATATTCTAAGAAAAAAATTTGTCCATTTACCCTTGGTCTTAAAATAGGTTCTAGATCATATGGTGATATATTTCTGCTCTCGAGGTTTTTTCTGGTGAAGTACATAAACTCATAAACTCCTATTTTTCTGCAGACTGAAAAGTAGACGATTGCATCAAAACCATTATTTGGGCGCATATTCTCAATTTCTTTTGAAGATGTTTCGGATTTATTACTTGACAAATTCTTTATGTATTCATTAAATGCTCTGTATTTCGAGTTACGGAATGGAATTTTTTGTAAAAGATTTTCCTGTCAGAAGATAATACACAGTTTATTTCAGTAATTTACCCATGAATGATCTTCCTGTCCTAACAAACTAAATAATGAACTTTGAATACTCTTTGTTTTACTGCTATCGACAGAAATCTATTATGTGGGTCAAAAGAAGCACACAATTACTGATTTCTCGTCTTGAAAATTACTGATACCGCAGTACCATGAAGGTAAAAGTGGAATAGTGACAGATTCACTATCGTACACCATATTCGATTCTGTGGAGCATGTAGTTAACACGTACGAAAACATTTCAGAAAGTTCAACAAAAATAGTTCTTAAACGTAATGTTGAGTTTGACGATCTATCTCCTGATTGGTTATCAAGTGAAATTTGAAGATTCCTCATAGATCGATTGGCGAAATATCTGAACTATAAAAAACTATAAGTTGATGGGGTGGAACCCACAGTTTACCTCAGCCTCATCTTTTACTGATTGCACAAAATCCAAGTTTGTAGTCACAAAAGAGTATAAATCTTCCCACAAATTAATACTTTATTCGTTAATTTATAAAATTACAATGAATAAGAAAAATTGAAATAATTACCTATCTCCTGCCAAAACTTGCATAAATAGTGATCTTAGCATTAACCTTTTGTCGAGATCTGATCTAAGGTAGTCTTTGTTCGTTTTATTGAGAAGTTCAACAATTTCCATCGTTTCCATTAACAAACATGTGCAGAATTCAAAATAGTGAAATAGCGTAGCCAATAACAATTATACTATAGCTGTGTGTAGTGATTTTAAACAAAACAGTCTGAACAATCATTTTTCGAAAGAAAGAAACACAAAGGTTCTGATTCATCCAACAGAAACTGATATGCATTTTAAAATAAATTTATGGTTAACCAATATGAAGTATTACAAAAAACGGAATGAGCGTTTTACGAACAAATATTTTATTCCTAACGTGATCTGGATTTCTCTCTTTGTTTCCCGAGACCTTATCCAATGATCCTTCCTGAGCTCAAAGTCCAGCCAGTTACTTTTGTTTTTGGTTTTTATCCGACTGGATTTCAATTGTGGTTTTGCCTCGGCCTAACATTCCGTTTTTGTTTTTGGAATTTTCACGTAGACGCTAGCTTTACTATATCTTAAATTTTATTCAATATCCGTTTTTATACGTTTTGAGTGCATTGGTTCTTATAACGGTCATCAACTTTTGCAACGATTTAACTAGCAACCTATAGTCCACCATGTTGATTTATAACACATGCAAGCGACCTGTGAATGTGAAAAATAAAAAGATTGGTTTCACAAAGCATGAATAGAATGGACTTTCAAAAAAAGAATAAACGTCGATGATTCATTAACGATCAACGCGGAAAACCGTGAGTAAGTAGGATGTCTTTCCAATCACATAAGGCTCATTCAGATAAACAGGACTAGGAAACGCATGCGTTTCAAATCACTAGCACCTGTATACGAAAGCTCCGAGTTTTTTTCAAGCAGAAAAGATGAGTTTTATGAACTAAGTAACACTGGTAGAGATGTTGGAAACATGAGAGTATCAAACTACAGATCAAAAGCTGGCAATACCCGATATGTCTTTGTTACGCAACAACAGATGAAGTAGGATGGGTGACTGAGCAGCCCTATACTTATTATCTTGCCTGGTAGCACATAAAATATACACCTAGGAGTGCATCTATCTTGATGAATCTTGTATGGTGCTCAGTGAGGTTCTCTAAAACCTCGAGATGTGTAGTTAAAGTCATTCTTGAGAGGACCAGTGCAGACACCGAATACAACTATCGTATTCTGGGGGATTATCTAGCCCTATCCCACTCCGAGACACACATTTCCTGATTCTAGGAGACTTCAATCTTCCTGTAGTCAACTCCTCTGAACACACGTACATTGGAGTTGACAGTTCTACTGAATCTCGCTTCTTCAGCATCACTAAAGATTTAGGATCATTCGAAAGTACGAATTTAGCAACTCGTTCGGGAAACAGGCGGACGCCATCACACTTGGTATGCATATTTACAAATTAGGAATTCTTAATTGACAACCTCTTAATCTTTGACCTCTGGGAAAAAGTGGTAATGCCATTACAGCTCTAAATCTTACAAGCGAAACCAAGCTAAAACATCCTACTAACAACGAGCGTTGGAATTTCAGATAGTTTCACGAGTCAGCTTTACAGGACAGCCTACAGCAGGTGAACTGAGAAATCCAACCTCAATTTGACGTGAATGTTTGCTTGGATTTCCTACAGCACATGATCTTACGTGCTACAAAGCAATCTGTCCCGCAAACGATCCCCGGAAATGTACAGTTATAACGAATTCCACACTTTAAACACTAAGATTCAAAAGGCACTGCTGGGCGGGATACAAACGAAAGAGTGATGACTGCAGATACAGGCAGTTCAAATAAACAATGCACCAATGCACAAAGGCAAAATAAGGAGATATGTCTCAGCATAAGATAAAGCTAATCGATAAATTTGTCTTTAGTCTGAAAGCTTAGCCTCTCTTCGAAAAGCCAAAAATGAAGTTTTCCAATTGTTCGGTCTTCATGACCCAACCAACAGTGACGTTGATGCCGCCCACCTTCTGACGAAGTTGTATTTTCGAACATTTTAAACATTCCATTCAATCTTCTTAGACGAGATCTTCATCTGCAACTCAACAGGACCTTCAAAATTGAACCTGAATGCTAACGTGGCATATCAGAAACTACAGCATCCAAAAAGCATCGTATCAAAATTATCCCGCTCTATTGAGAGAATCGGCCTCGATCCCAGAAAAATCAGTAAGTGTGATATCTTCACACTCGCTAAGCCAAAGAACATTACCAGAAAATTGGAAGTTAGCTCAACTTACACCAATTGTTAAAGGCGGCCAAACAGCAAACTATTGAGCTACCGGCAAGTAGCCCCTCTATCAATTCCTGAAAAGTTAAGGAGTCCCTGAAATGCGATGGTCTATATGACTACTTGTCATCCGTAAGCTTCATTTCATCTCAACAGAATGATTTCAGGAAGGGTCACTTTCGCATAATAAACCTGCTGACCGCAGTGGACAGAGGGACAAGTGGAAGATTGATGTCATATACCCTGAATTATTAAATACTTTTCTATAAAGCTTACCATATTCGTCTCATGAATAAGCCTAAACGGTTAGGCATCAACTTATCGATAATTGACTGGCCTACTTCATATCTAAATAATCGTCTATTTGATGTTAATGTAAACCTCACCTAGGCTACAGAATGTCTTAGTGAATTTCATCAAGGTTCAGTACTAATGCCTCTCCTTTTCTTAATTTTTATAAATGACCCTTAACGAACATCTCCTGATGTGAAACTCGGGAGACAAGTTTGTAACCAACACAGTAATCTGGCTTTTCAGGAGGAACTGACTCAACCTCAAAGTTGGGAGGATGAGGACGAACTTAGTTTCAACATTTCCAAGTGTAAAGTAGCCCATCTGAAACATGTGGCAGACCATGAACACATAATAGATAATTGCCCTCTAGAGTTATCTCAAGTTGAGAAGCATTTAGGTGTGTTGGTACCCCATGACCCTCAGTTTTACCCTTCAGTCTGACTGGCTCTAGCTTTCTTCAAACCTACCTCTACAGCAGCCATTACTGCGCGTATTTAAACAGAAATGTTTACAAAATATATGTAAACATTGAGTCAGAATCTAACAATAATCATAAGCACCGGCTAAGGGATATCTATAAGATTAAAAATCTCATTCAAAAGGAAATTTGTATTGGAGTTCACAGATCAGATAACAAAATGACAATAAATAATACTTAGGTCCTCAAACAAGGTTATATTGTGAGTATAACTTGACGTATCTAATCCCAGAACATCAAACAAAGCCAAACTACACACTCTAATCACAATGTAAGGGATTCTTCGTCGTACTAGTGAATATTACATGACTGCAAATAAGATATATCAAATGACCTCCTTTCTAGTTTCTTTCAAGCTATCTGAGTCAATAACTGTTGTACTTTGAATAGTACTATAGCATCGGAGAGTAATTTATTTTGTCGCATGTTTCCCGTTGCTTTCGAATATATTTGTTAATCTAAGGGGTTTGTGAAGATCGCTAGATTTTATAGTTTGTTTCACAGACTGGAATAAGTCAGACCAAAAAGCACTGAACAACTGTTTAGTTCAAGTAAGGGACTTCTCAGCAGTAAGCATCCAAGATCCAAAATATAAGGTTCAACAATCTCTGCGAACCATTTTTGCTAATACCAGACATGCTCACAAATAACTAAATTCGAAAGGTAACTATGGCAAATCTAAGTAGAATCTATGATACTTGGAGTTCAAACATGTTGAATCTGAGACCATTACCTGCCAATGGCATTAGAAAATGGTTAAATACTACCAGAAGTTGAGTACGTTTGAGCAAATAATAAACCAGGAATAACTATATACTAACATTACCGTTTGGCTTAATCATACATGTCCTCCCTTCTCAATCAACTTGTACCATAAAAATTCACACAGATTAAATGATTTATTCAAAGAGTTTGTAGCGTGGCGTCGAGTCGAGATTAACTATGAACACCGCTACCAAGAAACACGTGCCAAGTAAATCAGAAGGAGAAGGTTGGACGTAACCAAATAAATCCATAAGATCCCGAGAAGCCAAATATCAGAAGACAGTTTATGGACCAAATCGAGATATATTCGCTGGCGATCTCGTGGTATCGAAAGGATACCGAGATCGTGCCAGAATACAAGCTTGGTTACAGAACGTAACCGAATTCGCGCGAAGTTACAATCAAAGTGTAAGTATATGAATGGAGGCACAATATAGTTGTCATTAGCACAGTCAAACAAAAGCACATCAAAACAAACACTGGTACAGTTGTTTATAAGAATAATTGTTTTTGTTAAACCAGTCGTGTTCTCGTGATAAATGAGAGTCACTACAAGTTTTTTGAAACGCATATGCTCAACAAAAATTTATATCATTCTTTCAATTTTTAATATGTTGAGTGAGTGAAACTGAACAAAGGTCAATAGTCAGTTAATTATGTCCATACAAGCAATACATTACTGAACAAAATGAGAAAAACAAGTTTTCTTAAATGAATCCATCTTATTCTGAGTTTCTTGTCCCATGTTTGCAAGTTCCAATAACAAATAATTACAATTACCCATTTGAAGTCAATCAGGTGAGATGGATGAAGTAATTAATGCCTTAACTAACCGATGAAATTAATTTAGGATCACACACATTTATCACAATCTAAATACAGCTTACAATGGAAATCACCAAGTTCTAACTCAATACTTCATAGATACTTTTTTCACTACGAAACCAGTAGCATATATATGAAACGTTGAAGGTATTAATGTTCCCTGTATGATTGTAAATTGCATCACCCAGTTCCATATACAGTAAAATAAGTTACCTCTAAGCTATTCAAACTGTAAACGACGAAGATAGACAATCGTATAGTACTCCTTGATCTTTAAAGGTTCCTCAACATTTTTCATGGTTTTCATGAGAAAAAGATTTTGATTGGACTATATGAAAGAGGACACTTGAAATAGATTGATGTTTAAGAAATATTATGAATAAATGTTAGATTCATAGGTTTTTTATCATTTAAAGATCGACATAATGAAATTATTATTTTCGTAAAACTAAGAACTACTCACAAATTTTAATAGTAACTTAAATGGATATAATAAAATACACATACTTATTCTGATAGGATGTACCCT